GTTGTGCAGCACAAAAGTGCAATCTGATATTCCTGTGAGGGACTGTTGATGCAGTGCACAACGCGACACAGCTGTGCTCCTTTGAGGTGTTTACCAAATGACCCAAAGAGTGACTTCAGCATAGGAGGGTTAAGAGACCAACAGCAAATTGCGCAACACTTCCCGCAAACATCAGCGCGCCGCCTTATCAAATAAACTTTTCACCAGCCGCCAAACCTCTTGTTCTATTTGTTTTTCCCCTGTTTGTTAGCTGAACTGGCATGAGTCCATGTTCTTATCAAAACTTCAACCAATGGCCATTGAGTCTGTAGTCGTAATACATCCAATGGGTAGCCTCGTCTCACAAAGGTTATCAGAAAATAATCAGTAACGGACTAAGAATTTGCCATAACCTAACCACTTTGATAACAAACCATCATGTAGTTTCGTGGGAAGCACAAATTTACATACAGTGTTTATTGTGTTGTCAAAGTCTCTCCACTTTCCCATTTGCCTGTAGTATGAAACGCTTTAAGTCTTACAGGCAAGCACTGCTAAGTTTTTTATCCACACATACCTCAGCAAATTGTCGGAAGGTTTGGACTTCCTTGGCTGATGGTTTGAACTCAGTCCCTTCAAACTGCTTCTCGCTGACATCTGGCCTGTAGATCTGAGACGGATCCAAAATAGTAACAGTTTCCTGCGGGTGGAACGAGAAATTGGATTATGAAAAGGGTTTTCAGGTTTGAAGTTACATGCACACTTGTTTGGGCGGGCTTTGAGATTGCGACCAACTTTAAATTTGCCTTGGGCTGATTGCCGATGCAAATGTCATTGTACAAACACAGTTTGCTGGTGCTCACTGGTTGACTCCCACGATACTGACCTGTGATTAGAGGAAATATTTAACATGTAGGCCCTCCAAAAGCCCTTCAAAAGATAGGAAGAAGTCCTTCACAGGAAAAAAGGGGGGGGGGTTTCTACAAGGTTGTTACTCTATACAATGTGTAATTGCATGCATTGTTTTCTCCCACAATTAAAACAGTTCTCTGCAAAGTTACTGATCTCTTGACTTTCTACATGTATGAACATTACTTTGAAAACCGACGTATTTGTCATCTCAATTCTGTCTAATTCATGCTTTTAAGCATCAAGACCTAAACTGTCTCAGTGCAATAACTGTATGTGTAAGCCAAGCTCAGCCAGCTGTCATATTCCCACATCTGTCGACTAATATACACATTTATGTAGAGTAGCATCCTACAATACAGCACAAAAATGTGTGTGCTTTAGGAACATACTGTTAACTGGGTAATATTTCTGTTTGGGGGTGTGTGCTATAGCTCTAAGCAAAGACCATTTAGAGGGTGTGCCTTAATTTTAGCCACTAAAGTCAATCACCAACCTCTATAGTAACAGTACATGTACTTGTGAGACCTGTTCCCCTGTGAGGTGACCTGACCAGGGCACACCCACCCACTGTTTACCTACTGCAGCTCTGAACCATCTCACACCACTGATACTGGTCTATATCTCTGTTTGCTTAATGTTTCTCTGTTTGCACACTGCACAGTTCTATGTGGGGCTGTATTATCTAAGCCAATGCCAGTTAGAGGGTGTGTTGTTAGGTAACAAAGCCGATAGCCAAGGACAAACCTCTACATCTATTGTATAACAATACAGGTTAGACCTGCCCCCCCCCAAACCTGACAAGGTGAACAAAGGCACAACTGCCTCACTCCCCTTCTCTCCCCTCCCCCCTCTCCTCTGCAGACACACATGTATACTAACTCTTTGGCAAAGGAATGACAACCAGTTGTCATTTAGCTCCCATCAAATGACAGTCTGGGTCCATCCCTGTCCGATCCTCACAAATGTTGACTGATACAAGGTGTGGACCCAGAACCAAATTTCTGGGGGGAGGGGGGAGGAAGAAGGAGCAGGCCAAATTTACTGCAGGAGGGGGCAAAGAATTGAGGGTACCCTGACTTCTCATGATCAGTGCATGGTATAATGAAACAAAAATGGCTGGATGGTAGTCACTCCAGGTTTGAACATAATTCATTTTTTCAATGTATACATGTAAGTTACTGTTCCGTACTTGGATGAATTAAGCATTGTAGTAAGCTTTCCTATGCACATATATGTATAAATTGTCCAACCCTCAGGAAAGACCTACGTGCATTTCAAGAAATAATGTACCCGTCATCAGAGTTTAGCAGTTTGCCCCTTCAGCAATTTTAGGTATTAAGCAGTGTTTAAGAAAAACCAGTAATGGCCACATTAAAAGACCAGGGGCAAGAGACGGTAAGAGTTTCATATACATGTATGAACATCACTAATTTTTCCCTGAAGTGGCATATCAGCAATCAGAAAATGTCCTAAAATGTCAAATTTTATGTTAATTTCCAAATTACTTAGAATTTCTCAGACCAAATCAAATGGTTGTGCACAGAGTGTCAAGTGATGTCCAAGTATGGTACTCACACCCACACTAAAGTACCCACTTTATACCACCCTGTTTGTAGAAACTGTAGAACCTTAACAAATCTTTCCCTGGTTCCATACTTAAATTGACAGAGTAACGTTGTATTTACAAAATGTGATTCAGGCCTATGGAAATTTCAGACATTAGTTCCCTGGAAAATATCCTCTGGAGCTGCAAATCAGCCACAAGAAAAGGAAATTAAACATCCTGCAATTCAATGTCGATTCAGTTTGAAATAATGGCACTGGTCTATGTGCAAGTAATGAGGACTTCACATTGCCATTTTGAACATTTGAACATGGTCCGGTGATAATGATGAAAAGGTTAATGTACCTAGGGTCTGTTTGTTTCACATGGATCTGGTTGTCGATCAGTGACCCCCAATGCTGGTTAACTCCATCCATTTGGCGGGTTCTGTTGTCAGTGACCCAAAGGCGGATCACTTGGAGATCCAGCTTTGTATGAAATAAATAGGCCCTGGTAGTTGCTCGGCAGCATGGCATGTTCGTGAACATGATGAAGATTATCATTACTGCATGCTTGAAAACACAAGACATCCATGCCATCATTCAATGCCATATGGGAATTCAATGCTAAGTTGGACTACTTCAGATGGAAATTTAATGTTATGTTAGCCCACTTAATGTTTAAATAATAAGCCTTATTGCTAATACTTCATGAGTGATTTTGCACGATGGTAGAGACTAGAGAGGCATTGTGGGAAGAAAAAAGGGGCAATTTGTTTTTTTATAGGGCAATAGACCCTTCCACATCCTTCTAGAGAAAATGATATTGAAATTTGTGCCCCAGTATATTTTCAATGGACCACTCCAGTTTTTGCCTTCACATGCCATTTATGCGCATGCGCACATACATTAGAATGTATTAGCGGAAGGGTCTATGTTTGCCCCCCCTTTTTTCCCACGATGCCTTCTACCACTGTGCAAAATCAGCCAGGCGGCATTAGCAACAAGGGCTGCGGGTGACTTAATTGCAGAAACAAAAAAGGGACATTTTGCATTTACCATGTAAAACAGTGAGACTGACATGACAGCACAGACAGTTATTAAAGAGTAGGCCTAATCTTGACTTGTGCGCAAATTTACAGTAGCCTACCCCCCTCTGAGTTGATTATCCTACGAATGGATTTCATTAAAATGCAAATCAATTCTGGAAGAAGTAGCCCACAATAAATTTGGGCAAGAGTCAACATTCAAGAGCAATGTCACTGTCAATGACTTCACTGGCTACAACACATCTCAGTGGTCATCATTAGCCTTTTAGAAGCATGGCGGACACAATAGGAGGGCGCTATTTGGTTTGGGTAAAATCTTTTATGTTTGCTCCAAATTTACCTACTTCAAATAGCAACCCCCTGCTGTGTCCATCATGCTTGAATGGCTGATAAGATGACACATCATGAAAGTGGGAATGTTTTACTCGCCTCATTCTCAGTGAACATTGTAAAAACGAGCAAAAGTTACGAGGCCTACATGTACAATGAAACCTAAACAACTTCTACTCCAAGCATGCCAAGGGGAAAGAGTTCCATGGGTGGACAACACTTATTTTCCCTTAAAATGTTAAGGGCCTACATAGGCCTAGCTAACGTTAGGCCTTAACAATGTCCTACAGTCATGATAATGTGAAATTTAGCTAGGAAAATTCCCAAACATTTAAGTCTATTAAGAAAGTTAGAAAACACTACTTAGGTTTTTAGAGACAAGTCTTTTACTTAAGGTTTGTGCCAGGTGGCATCAAGTGTTGTCCGTATGTGAACCTCTTTCCCTTGAAGGAAAAGACTCCAGTTACCTGGTCCATTGTGATTGTGAATGTGGAGTTTCTACTGCAAGTACATGTCCGCCGCGCCTGGCCTGTACGGGAATGACGCAGTACTGAAGAACAACATACACACAATCACAAGCGAGTCACATGACACTCGTCTCCAAACAGTGGTCAAGGCCAAAGATATCGTATAGACTTGACTCAAGTCGGGATCTCTGTGATGTCTTCGTTTCTGCTTTGGATACACTTTGGATACTTCGCGCCCTCTTGTGTCCACTTATTACTTTGTGTTCAGTTTAGAAATCTCGGTTGTACCCAGCGAATGTACCAAAAGTGGTAGCAGCCAATTACATTACCGGCTTTGTTTTTACGTCGTTCATACCTGCATTATAATGAATGAGTCTGAAAGTCTGACTACTTTGATCGGTGGAAATTTCGTATGCATCATGCAAGATCATGTCGTTCATATGAATAACTACATATCACCGACGGGGGTCTTATCCGTCAAGTCGGACTTACTGACTGGTGACGTATGAAACACGTTGTACAAGAGTTATGCGAGCTGCCGGGCTGAGCGCGACGACCGCGTAGTGCGTACCTGCTGAAATGATGGGGATGGCTGAGGAAGAGCAACGTAAGTCCGACTTGATGCAAGTCTAGTATTCGTACAGCTACGCGCTTGGGTCGTTTTAGTCTGGGCTAAAGACGTCCTGTACATACAGTGTGCTGCCTTCCTTGTTTATTATTTACGGAAGCGTATTGTTGCCAACACGAAAAATTTATCTTGTCTCTTTTAAACGACCTAGTATCTCGTTTAAACAGCATAATACATGGAGATATTTCTTTTAGTCGAGATAACTAAGTCGTTTAAACGAGATAACTATGTCATTTAAACGAGAAAACTTTTTTTGTGTGTTGGCAGCAATTTGCGCGGTTGGCGTGACGTCACTAGGGCTTCTAACACACGACAAAAGGGCAAATTTACCCTTCGTTCTATTCAATAATGTACAGAAGTTCCCGGATGTCCGCGCCGCTCATGACGTGTTTCAAACTTTTCAACGTTCGAAATGCATTATGGGTTTGGATGACAAACACGCATAACCCAATATGGGAGAAGTGTACCTGCAAACGTTATCTGTTTATTACATACTCAGAATTGAGACTTAACACTTCTGGTGACTGACGAGAAAACAGACGTGGTGGTGACATGCGTGACTTTACCAAAGCTGAGGAGATAATGACGAGGTGGATACCCCCCCGAACTTGAAATGACCTTGCTACAGCTAGCACATCCCGCGCTCTCGTGGGACTTTCCCCTCCCTACTTCATAGTGTGTGCTAATCCATCCTGAGTTGAAGTGCACCCTCACCGGCAAAAGAAAAAGGGGCTGGTACGAAGTTTTTTAACCGGGTTCTGCACGCGCTCCATTCCAGCGCTGTGCGTACTCAGCGTGCCAAGCGTCAAACGCTCATTAACAAGCGCACCCATGCGGAATGTTCATACCAAAATAGCACCATAGAGATCATAAGCTAGAGGCGTTAGGCCTGTTCTGTCACGTTACGCCAAGTTTGCCCAAGATTCACAGGGCGAAATATGTTCGGTTACGCTGCCGAGTATACACACACAGATCACGCAGTGCGGTCCGCAGTCTTCTGATTTCTTTTTAAATTTTAACTGACGTCATTGGACTACAAAATTAACCTGGGCAATGGGAATATTCATTTCTGACACGAATGAGTAAAATCTCGTTTCCAAAAAAAAAACATGCTCCGCTTTTAAAAGCAAATAACCGATAAATTTCAGGCTGACACCATTCCCTCTCCTGGTTTATACATTTATGAATACTGACGTAATTGGGAGAGGTAAAGAGGCATGGATTTCACACCCCTCACCTTTGCATCAGGTAATGAGATGTGTGGAAAGTGTGTTAGCACTCCCGTGTACAACGTACTCTGTTTTGGCTATTGTTTTAAGCTTTTGGCTACGCCATTGTTGATTAGCAGTTGACATCCCTCGGGTCCAATTTCGACGATTTTGTTTTCTTGACTGATTATGACAGACAAAACAGAACAATCAAATACATTTTATATTGAAGATTTAATTTTTCATCTTTCTGTGATACAACACAAACCCCATAAAAGGGATTTGTAAATAAACAGCAGTGTGATGTTTAACCATCTCGACATCTGCACGACACCCCACCATCGAGTTCACCAAGACTGGAGCTGTCCTTCCTGGATGTCCGCCTGTCCAGGAATCCTGACGGCACCCTTAACCACCGTGTCCACTGCAAGCCCTTCCACATTATTCGATACCTGCACCAGGGATCCTTCCACCACCAAGCTATGAAGCCCTCAGTCAACCGTACCCTCGTCTGCAGAGACCTCGAAATCTGTGACCAGAACAACCTGCGCCAAGAGCTCCAGCATTATCAAGACTGCCTTCCAACTTAATGTATACCACCGCAAGAACATCAGCCTTTGCAACCCCCTCAGGACGCTATAGGGTTTCCTATACCCGAAGTCCCTTCATTCCCTCACGGCGTTAGAGTCTCCTAAATACCCGAAGCCACCAGCCCCATCGCCACAGTATGTCTACCCTTCCAGGGTCCCACTTCCTACCAACTCCGCAGCATCCTGCAGTCAGCCAACATCCGAGTCTTTCACTCCACACCCAACAAGTCGAAGAGGCTACGTACTCCACACTCACGCACCACCCGGCAGTCGCCCCAGTGTATACTGCATTCCATGTGAATGCGACCAAGTGTACATGTAGGCCTACATGGGAGAAACCGGCAGGAGCCTCCCCACCCTGCCAGTTGAAGATCTAAGAACACCGTGCACACGGCCGACGAGGAGAAGACAAATTGGCCATCATCAAAGTAACATGCACGCACACTCTTCAGAACACCATATCAAATGGGACAACGCATAACTCATCGCCCTCATCGGGAACTGGCTTCCAAGAAGAATTACGGAAGCCATCGAGATTTTCCGGCACAACTCCGTTCCCAAAGACATCGGTTTCAAGCTCAGCGAGATCTGGCGCCCACTACGAACACCCAAGACAACTCCCACCCCCGGGCAGTAGGGTCCCTATACCCAACACCCAAACCAACTCCCCAGAGGCGTTAGGGTCTTCTCTACCCGAAGCTAACACCCCCCCCCTTGCGTGGCATAATAGTCCCCTACCGAAACCTGGTTTCCAACCTATTCTGCATCCCCACAACACCACAGGACCCAACACTTTCATGATGCAGTGCACGCATAGCCAGCAATCCATTAGCAATCCGGGGATCCTTTTCATGCTCCATCGCCTTTACCTCACCAAGTCTACCAAGTGAAGTCTAAATGACGACTTGTTTATAACTGTACTATCTTACAATGTCGATTTCCTGAAGTGGTATTGTTATATCATGATAGGTAGTCTTGTCTGTCGACTTCGGTAAGTCGACTTGGCAAGCTAACAGACGTACACAAGTCATCTTTATCACTTTAACAAGTCATTTTGGCGAGATAGTATATCTCAAGTAGTTGTCATGCCGACTTCATTAAGTTGAACTTTCCAGATATCACATCTAGATAAATCGTCATATCGACTTTGAGAAGTCGGTTTGGAGAGCTTATTTTAGCGGTAAGTCGGCTTATAGCCTTATGCTGTCCGCTACATGTTGATGTAACATGATCAATTGTCGCAGTATATAAACAGGTGGATGGCACTCATGGAGAACCGTTGGCGACCGGGTACCGCCCGGGACATCCACTGGCCGGGCCTGTGCCATTCCCAGGAATAATAATACGGACGATTCACAATAGTGCGCCTCCAAGAGTTTGCAACGCGTTGACCAATCACAATGCGCGAAGTCTGTCGACCCTTCCCGAACGCGCACTGGGTCGACAGATTTTTCATACTGTGATTGGTCAACGCGTTTCAAACTCTTGGAGGCGCTCTATTGTGAATTGCCTGTATTGACGCATTAATTCCGTATTTGAAGGATAATAACAGACCATTGGTGTGGATTATGTTGATAACCTTACTGTCAGTGAAAACAGATCATGCAGTTTTGAATTCGACCTGGTGGTCAATGTATTTATGAGTGCAATGACCGTGTGCGTTTGAGCATCACACCGCAGCTCAGGACATCTTGCGACCACAACAAGGGCCATGTCCGAAACAAGCTGCCAGAGTATCGGCTATTACCAGTGCAAAGATTTCAAGAGAGAGAATACCTCGACCAAGCTCTAAACAACACATTTTGATACTACGGAGGTACTTGTGCCATGAAGTATAAAGTTAAAAAAGTAGGTCTATTTTTTCCTTATCCGTTTTTTTCAAATTCGTTATGGCGAAATATAAAACGAACAACCATTGGTTTTGGTACTGTGTCCTACAATTGCCATCCGAATTGTTATTAAGATAACATTAGACAAGGTACGAGATGCATACATGCGTCATGTAGCACCCACACGAAGGGGGTAATCACGTTTTCCCTCATTTTAATTAGTGAACACACTGTGCACTGGTGGAAGGAGGGGAGGTTAAGACCGTGTATACTTTCAAAAATATTTAAAATGGTGACAACATTGTCCAACACGGAAATCATCTTTTTATTTTCCTTAAAAATATTTTTGAAGCTCAGGGGTTCGAAAACTGATGAGCCCACAACTAGGTACTGTTTAAAGTTAGTTTACAAACATACAGAACATCCAACAACCAAGCAATGGAGGGTAGTGTTGCACAAGGGCAAGTCTGGGGATCGCCCCCTAAAAAAGAGGTCCCCCCCAAAAAAATTTCCTTAATGTCCATTACCCAAAGACGTGTAAAAAGCCCCCAAATGTAGCCTCACCCCTCAGAAAAGCAAACATTATGTGAAACAATCTGACCCTGCACATAAACACCACCAAGCAATAGCGTTTCAGCTCAAACAACACTGGTATATGTGTGCAATGTGCACTTATTCTTTAATAAAATCAATCAAAAAATGAGCATAAAAATCATGGGAAGGTGATACTACTATAAAAGTCATACACAAACATTAGGTATTCTAAAAAGTATTATCATATAATATATAAAAAATCAAATGTACATGTAGTCGCTTCACAATCCTAGGAATAAAAATGTAAAAAGAAAATCAAAAACCAATAATACTACGTGAGGTTCACAAATGAATTCCCTGGAGAGCAGCTTGGATCTACTCGGCGCCTGATTCCAGTTCAAGAACCGGAAATAAATGGCTCGATTGGGCGTTCGGTAATGATGACAACCACCAATGTACATACTGATAGTCAGCTGATATTGCTTCTTCACATAAATCCAGAGTAAATTGGAGCGCTGGCAAGCCCAACTTGACCCTTGGCAAATAATTGTCCCGGCAACTTCCCAATGTCGGACGAGAATGTTAAATTCTACTGTTGCAATTTCAGAGTAGTGAGCTAGCTGTCTAAAGTTGAAGTTAAAGTTGAAGTTTGTTGGAAGCTTACACAGTATATATACTGTCTCGTAGGCAAGCCATGGAGAATTATCGTCTAGAGAAAAGGAGAAAAATGGACTACTACAAACCGAGTAAGTGAATTGACGTTGATTACCTACATTAAAGTAACAGTCCTGAAATTACAAGCCCTCTTCCATTTTGCCAAGATCTTGATCAGCCTCCGTTGGTACAGCCTCGATTTCATTCCCACATCTTAACCAGATCCACACCCTGAGCTTATACAGCGCCCAGATGAGGCCGTGCATGATAATGACGGCTACAAATATGCCCACGATTACTCCGGCCGCCACACCGGGCGCGTTGCTGTAGTCAATAAATGGATAGATGGCGCCAGTCGAGCTTATCGTGCGCCCGCCAGCCGCCCAGAAGATCACGGTCAGAGCCATGTAAGCCAGGTCGAAACCGATCGGGTAGATGAAGTGCAGGAACCGCACAGGTATGGGCATCAGGAAAAGGTCGATCAGGGAGACGATTGTAGTGAAGGTGTGCACGTGGAAGTCGTAGAAAAACGGGAAATTAGGGTTGTACAGGGCACCCCAGTAGATGATGGTTACAAGAATATTCGTATTGATGGTGATGTTGAAGAACATCCACTGCATTTTATGACGTATACGCATCTTACATGTATTTGCATCTGACGAAAGAAAAAAAAAGATTTATTTGGTGGCAACAATTCGGATAAGTACGTGTGAAAACTCATCCATCATCTAGCCCATTAGCGTAATAAATGTAGGCTGAGGGGACGGTTAAAAGCTTATAATGTTCGCTTTTCATCAAAAAAGGCAATTAGCGAATGATAAACATCAAAAGTCTTGCGTCCGCTTTTAGGAAAAAGAGGAATAGAGTATTTTTTATGCACTCATAAAACTTATGATTATGTTTACTTTAAAAAGAAATAAGAGGACGGTGTTTATCAATACAGTATCATGGCACCGGAGTTTGGGAGTTTTTACTGAAGCAGACATGGGAAAACCTTTGATATCTGATAAAATAGAAGCGCAACACTGAAGTAAAGTTCAGCTAAAATTTGCATACTCGATGTGCGATTCGCTGTCTGCGCATGCGACTTGAGAAAGACCAATGCAGTGTTACGATACACTGAAGTACTTAATAACACATGGAACAGATGTAGTGACCGAGTGCTGACGGACAGATGAAAAGTCGATCGATCCATTCACCCGCACATTTTTTTTTTGCGATGCGGCCGCATAGTGCTCTGGAATGAATAATTCATGACGCGCAGTCGGCTGCCATATCCATCATAACAACAGGTATTCTTATCAGCCTACAATATGAGACTGACCTTCAGAATTTCTTGTCCGAAACAACTTCAGGATGGCCCCATCCACAACAGCGACGATGCCAGCCAATACCACGTAGATGAAAAATACGATGAACCCCAGATTGGTGAGGTACACAAAGGCTTGACCGCCAAAGAAGTTTATTTGCTGGATGAGGTAGGCTATCAAAATACCCAGCAGGTAGAGGGCAAGTATTACACGGTAAGCAACGAATACCACGTGAGGAAATTTCTTCCACTGTCAAAGAGAAGGCAGGGAGAATTTTGAAAATAATTATGAATAACGCCGACTGGTTGTCAAACGGCCTGCAAAATGTAACATTTGTTTGGTGTGGGGGCCCCCACACCAAACAAATTAACAGTGTCTTCCTGAAATGACATCACAGCAACAGCGCCTTCATTTTGTCAAGAAAGAGCATGCACTTTTTAGAGGTTTAAAAAGTTGACTTTTCAATGCAGTTAGATGGAAGTTGCACAAAATATGATCCCAAGTAAAGTTTGTTAATAGACCCTTTTATAATGCAACATAATGCTTTTGTTTCTAATAAGTTGGAAAAATGCACTTCGCTTCCGTTAAAAATCCTTCTACCTCAGATTAAGAAAAAGGAGAATGTTCGAAGCTGACCTTTAATGTCAGAGGAAAAATGCCATAACTATGAAATATTCATCAGGGGTCGCTGTTGCAGAGTAAATTTAAGAAGCAAATTTACAGAGCCAATACCATGTGCACCACGCAACAATTTAATTGGCGTGTGGAAAGTGTAAACGCGATGTGTAAGCCACTCACTGTGCAATGTTAACCGCGAGGCGCGTGGTAAGACATATTTATGAACTGTAGAAGATATAAATTTAACTGTGTGATTAAACGATCAAGACCGTGATCCGGACAAGGTAAGTTTTCCCTTGGCCTTTCATCTTATTTCTGTTAACCTGTCGAACGGCGTTGTAAGGCTAAGCGTACGTCATAGCGGTTGATGTACCCTAATAACCGTGGTGCGGCCTCTAACGCGGCGCACTTTCATTTTTTGTTTCTTGTGTCCTAACTGGACAATATTCTGTATGTAATTTTATTTTCTCCTGATTTTCCCCGACTTGCAAATTGAAATCTTTTAAAATGTGCCCAAAATAGGAGAAGAATTTTCTTACAGACTTGTGGTGGGTATTTTTGTGGAATTAATGATTTAAGAATTTAACAACTTCAAAGGATTTTGTACATGTTGATGTGGGATTTTTTCAAAAAGACTTTTTCAAGTGCGCCAGGTTAGGGAACACTCAGCTGAAGTCGAGTCCAATTTCCGGACGCCGACAGCATTGAATTAACGAACGAAATTTCATGACACTGAAATTATTCACAAAGGCTCAACGCGATGTATCATAAAGTCAACAGTACCAGTTTTCAACCAAGTGAGTTTTAAGTTTTTCAAGAAAGAGGTTTGGCGACGCTGTGTGAGGAAAGTCGGAATATCAAAGTGCGCCAATTTATAGGACTCTAGCTTAGGCCTACTAATGGAGCAAGGCTCCTGCATGCTGCAGCGCTGGTCTGCCAAGGCTGACATGTACAGTACGTAAGATGTACTTGTACATGTACATATCAGTATATTGAGTATACATGTATAACGGTACACGTATCCGTGTAACCTGTCTGCAGAAGTGAAAGGGAAAAACGATTGTCCACCAACATACTGACATAACTGTATACAGGACAGGTCGGCTCAACAGTGGTCCAACCACGGTCAAACGACACCCCACCCTCGGCCCGGTCAACCATTCAAGCGAATTTCGAAGTCAAGAGGGCTCACCTGTGTACGATGAAACACACCAGACTCCTGACTACCGAGCCCAAAATCCGACACCTTTGGCCGCTCACAACATGTCATTGCCATGATGTTATTGCTTCTGGGTGCGGCAGGAATACAGACAGGTTCCTCGCAATGAAACGCGGCCAACGTGCAAAACAACAACGCTTTAAATCTTTCTATATTACTTCCATATATAACTGCCTTAAATGATTCACAACCAATCAACACGGCAGAATTGCACGCTTTAGTAACTCAGGGCCGACTGAAACCGGGAGGTGACGTGTTGCCCACTGTTAGTGGGAAGCTTCCTTTTGTTTGTCCTCGACCTCTCTTGTAGTGCAGCTACGTCAATATCGTTCATTCTTGTCGAGGTCAGGCTGGCTCACATCACTGGACAAGCGTTCACCCGCGCCCACTCACTTTAATACAGGCCATGCCCACTTGGTAATGCGTGCAAGCTATGCGAGGTAAGGTCGCACCAAGCATATGTCTGCCGGTACTAGTAGGTAAAGGAGTCTACACAATTAATTACGCCAGATGGGATATCCTCGAGTGTACACATGCCAGTTCACTCAGTGTTTTTATTCCTCCTTTGTTCAAGGGATTGGGTTCCCGGAGCTGACATGTACGACACACTAAAAAATCCCGGGCCATAGTTCGGCGTGACCTTTTTCCGGGTCAAATTACGACCCAGAAAGGGTCACATACGAGCCGAATGGGGGTCATTTTTACCCAGAAAAGGGTCAGCCCGAATGCGACCCTATTCTGGGTCAATCTGACCCGGTTCTTTTAGAGTGTACATGTAGTGCATCATTTCCACTGAAAGAAGTCCGCAAGAATCCGATAACCATATCAGTCCACAGTCTCCTAAAAACTTCGTTGCATCAGAACTGTTCTCTAGGCCGGCAACTGCTTGGATGTGGTGTGCTGATAAATAGCAGATGTGGTAACAACTCAATTTTTGTAATTAAATTTCATTTGCAAGTCTATGCCAAGTCACAAGTCATTGGTCCAGTCACAAGTCAAGTCACAAATCAGTTGACCACTGTTCAAGTCATAACTCAATTTGGTCCAAACATAAGGAAGTCTTTTTGTCCAAGTACGAGTCCATGCGCACGATGCGTGATTGATTCAAACATAGGGCAAGGAACGACCAAGTGATTCAGATCATGTGGCCTTATATTAGGGAGACGAGTCTGGCATCTAAGAGTTGGGAGCCAAACGAAGCTTACGCTGATTATTCTAAGAACGCAAGGCAAATTGAAAACTTTAAGTAGTTTTGATTGAGTTGTTTTCTGACTAACGTTGGTAACAACTCATGATGTGCAAGTCCAAGTCACGTCACAAGTCAAAAACTGATAGTTACAGTCAAGTCACAAGTCACAAAAATAGCAACTCGAGTCCGACTCGAGTCGAGTATTAAACTCGAGTCTACAACTCTGATACCCCCCCCCCAGAACAAACACGAAAATCCTGCAGGGTCCGTTGATGAAAAGCCTGACCGAAAAACTGTCGCTTTGAGGTGAAAAAAATTTGCATATTCTATACTAGTGCGACCTCACTGGAATATTCCTTGTAGAGATTCCCACTTCGAATGTCACATTCACTGTTTGGAACAAGTGTAGAGGCAATTTTTCCGCAGGTTTATCTATTGCCAAACAGCAGGAACCGTCACAAATTTACTTGAGTGGGCTGTACTAAAAACACACAGGAAATCCAACCATTTGACTCTAAATTCAAGAGCGGAGAACCCAAAGCAACTTCAACACATTAGCACTCGCACCAGCGCATTTGAAAACAGTTTTCTTCCAAAGAACTATCAAGGACTGGCACAAACCATGCACAGACTAACACCATCTACATCATGTGTAATAGCTAGTTGGCAAGGAGGAAATTCGCAAAAGCTGGGTCAAGCTCACATTTAAAGATAAAGCCCGAATGTTGTGATTTGGCACAACCTCACACGAGATGCACAAGTTCGTGTGATGTTTACTCCGAGTTACTTTGCCAACTACATGCATACGGATCATGCAGATGCAGATGGTTGTAATACTTCTGGCATGTTACAACAGACCGTCGAGCAGATGAGCTCACCCTGAGGTCAACGACCGTGACTTGCAATCATGCACGCATTCACCAGGTAGTGTTAGTTTGCCTCTTCAGGGCTGTGTCCATTCCTCCCTGCTGTCGCACTTTTGGCACTCTGCTGATGGTCTCGATGAAAGTCAGGCCCAGAATCCTGAAACATTCACTCTGCCAGCCTTCGTGGTTATCGAAACGCAAGTAAGCCTATTTGGGTGCTTTCCTCACACGGAAAGGTCCGTAGTTCCAGGTTGTCAACCAATTACATGTACTCCTTGCAGAGCTTTAGCTAGTTGAAATCTGTGTATCTTAATGCAGATAGCCAATTCTCCTTGCCAAGAAAGATGGCGGAGGTCGATCTCAAGCTTATACTCGTCTCTGCACCTCCCAGTGAATCATGGCTGGGTTGCTCTGTCTTCTCAGTCATGCTTTATCATACATTCCCAAAACAGATGGTTCAGAAATTCCACAATTTGAAGCAGGATTCCAGATGTATCCAGAATCCTGCCTCAAGCAAAGTGCATGCTATGACACAGGTCCAGAAAAAGCTCTTTGACATGTCCTGCCTTCTCCGAGCAAGGACAAAGTACACAGGTCAAGCAAGCCCTTATTTGCCAGCTTCTGTATAGCTGATGATGAATATTCAACCTTCCATTTGATCAAATTAATGTCAGCACACCCAATGTAGTCGTCCAATCTGATGCTCTATGAAACAACCTAATTAGTACACTGATGCAACTGACGGGGGGCGACGGGTGCGGGTGTGTGCCCTCATTAAACATCCACGCCCTCACTCTTTTTCAGATTGCACCGCATGCAAATGGCATATATCCCCATCTTAGAAATAAGTGCACCCCTGTATACCTGTTAGACCTCGGTAAATGGAACAAACACATGAAACTAAGCTATCCAGCCCTATGTGTGTGGGTTCTACATGACTCTGGGATATTTATCTGGAGATGCCAGTCTGATATAATGAAAATCCAGATTTCAGTAAGCTTCCCATTGGGCTCCAAAAACAATCTTTTAATACTTTTCCAGGACTTGATTACATTTAGCTTAATAATTACAGTAAGTACTGTACCTCAAGGATCTGGTAATGCATAACAATCAACTGACCGTTCATATTCATAAGCACTTACATCACCTGCTCATTTAGAACTTTTCTTTGGCAACGTACAGCGAAATACACATCTTGATCAAATTTAATATCATATATTAAATATCAGGATACTGAAGATAGGTATGGGTTCCTCCAAACATGTACTAACAAGCACGAACCAATAAAAGATACAATATATTTAAGTTAAGATGACAAGTGAAAATAAGATACTTTTGCACAATAGGGTCAATGACTTTATTAGGTCAATTCGTTTTCAGCTATGGATCACAAAGTACCATTTCAGAGTTGGATTCACAACACACAGTTGAGGGGGCTGTTAAGTTACCAATACATTGTTATGGCCAATGAATCGTCGTAGTCGAGACCTCTTAAGACCATTTATAGACCCCCCAAGACCAACACAAGACCACCACTCTGTCTTCAAGTCCCACGCTTGTCAAATGAAATGTACATGTAACAAATGCATTCCTTTATCAGTGGTCACCCTGTTACTTGTGACTGGTCTTGTGTGAGGTCTTGTGTCTGGTCTTTTGAGAGGTCTTGAGATAGTTTCGACTAAAACACTGTCATGAATATGACTGAGGGACTAATTGACCAGCAGGTGTACGCATTGAAGAGATCTACAGTTAGCTGTTTACGGACTTTGTTTTTTTCACAAATATCGTTACTTGGAACAGCTTGCTGAGCATAACTTTGAACTTAATGACTTGTGATGAACTTACTGGGATAATAGGTACCTGCATGCATACATGTTCTGGGCATGGACTATTGGACTTGTCTATGAACACTATGGAAGGGATATGCTTTGAACTTATACTTTGGGTGTTCCGATCAGCTCTGCAGTGGGTGGATCTTTGACTAAATTTTCCTGTTCGATGCAGTGTTCTTCCGCACTGGTTACTGATGCCCTCATCTGGCGGGGCCTTGTGCCACCATCACATTTGAACCAGATCCAGAGTTTCAGTTTGTACAGGGCCCAAACAACAACATGCAGGAATAGCAATGCCACAAAGATACCCACGATTGCGCCAGCCGCCCGGCCTGGATAATTGCTGTAATCTAGGAGCCAGTAGATGGGTTCACGCCCGTAGCCGCCCACTGCCCAGAAGACTACGGTGAAGGCCAGGTAGACGGTGCCTAGGAGCAAGGGGTAGATGCAGTGCAGGAGGCGGACAGGCACCGGTGTGAGGGCTAGGTCCAGCAGACAGACTACTGACGTCAAGGTGTGCATGGTCAGATCATAGATGAGCGGGAGGGAGGGCATGTAGAGGGCGCACCAGTACACGAGCGTCACCAGGAAATTTATGTCAGTGGTCATGGCAAAGAGGAACCAGTGGGTCTTATGACGGAGGAGAAGTCCTGTTTGAAACCAATCAACGGATGGTAATGACATTGAGCTTTACTTCCAAACTGTGCAACAACCCCAATAGCCACAGGCACTTTCTGATGCCACTAAAATCCACTTCTGCCTTGTTAATACATGTATCTAACTTTCAAGGGGCATCAACCCTTGTGTAAACAAATAACAGTGTAATGATTGGGCTCTACTTTCCTTAAATCTGTAAAATGCTCCTTTAGCTCATGGCTTTTGAAGGATCAGGTTTTTCATTGGTCCATCTTTAACAATGAACCAAATTTTCATGGGGGAAGGGGTGGAAATGGGGAGGGCAGCAAATACTTCATTTATTGATTAATGCTAATTTTATGGTCTGATGCCTGAGGCTAACTTTGGGGCTTTCTATACACTTTTGTTGGGGGGGGGAAGTGTCCCAAAAGTTGTCAATGTCATTCTCTCGTACTATAGAAGGGGAGGGGCAGGACAACCTTTTCAAGCTCCTCCCCTAGATGTATCAGTGATCTTTTTGATTAAAACAAGCTTCGGCTTGTATCCTTTTTCTGTTACAGTCCGAGGCAGTGAAAAATTCTTTCAACTTGATTTACCACAGTAGACAGACACAAAGGGGTCATTTGACTGATTTTGACCAATAGGTCAACTTTTTCAAGAATGCATCTTCAAATTGGAAGGTTAAGAGGCATCCCTGAATCTGCCTCCCATCTTTCCCTCAGGTCAACCAGTCTATCAAATGGGCAGGAGCTGAATTAGATGCCTGCATATGTCATTACCTTCCCCTGCAGTTCTCCGCTTCATACATCCATCCCAGATGACGTTAACAGTTGCCGCCACATTGTACGCAATGAAGATCATGAAGGCGTACGTTGTCAGGTAGATAAATGATGCACCACCCTGGTTCTTAATGGAAAAGCCCAATACAACAATGAAGAACCCAGTCACGTACAGGGCTACAACTGCCCGGTAGATGGCCAAGACTACCAATGGGAACTTGGAGCACTGAAAGCAAAATGTTATAGATCCTACTCATAGTAAGCTTTGTGATAAAGTCAATATTTTAAGATGATTACAACTTTCCCAGTGCAAAGAGTACTCCAGCTAGCTGGAGTAGCTCAAACCAGGAGTCAAACTTCCCCCCCGGCACCTATCCAGCTCAAAAACATGAAAAAAGTGGAGGTATTTACCATGAACTGGTCATGCCAAACACTGATTGTTCTTGCATGCTGACACAGGTGCTCAATGCACAGCAAGTGCGTTTTTGTGACTAAGCAATTTCTATAGAGACAAAACTTTGTATGATGCCAGGCTGACACAGTGTCATGAGTTTGTTATCACAAGATGGGAATTAGCAGGTGTGTAATTTCGAATTTTAGCCTATTTCATTTAAAAAATCATTCTCGGCGACTTCTAACACGTGACAAAGGGGAAAATTTACCCTTTACCCGGACATGAGAGAAGTTCCCAGATGTCTGACTGCGAGAATGAGCCACAAACCAATTACATGTATATGTAGGCCTCTGCCTCTAACTTTCTGGCTTATGTAAAGGTACTCATTGACTGATCCTACAATGTACCATACCGGTTCAACAGAGAGAAATCACATGGAATTTTCCTTGTGATTATCATGGCAAGGCCTAAAGTAATAGTAATATCCTACCTGTGGACGATAAAATACACTGCTATCATCGGTAGTAAAACCGATATCAGCAAGCTTCGGTCGCTGGAAGCGTGCTGTCGTCATTGTTCTTTTTTTGCTTTCCAATAAGTCTTCAAATTTTTTTGAAAAAAAAAAGCAAAAGCACGTAGAATCGTGTACCAAAATCAGGGATCACACGAGTAGTGCAAGCGGCTCTTTGTATGTCCAAGTATCATCCCAATCTGGGGCTATAAAAAGTCGGTAATGAACGTTATCATGTCACTAACGTAACACCGTGGAGTACAATACCTACATAAACGTAAACGCGTTTACGTGACAGCCCCCACACACATTCGGCGCATGTGAAATAGCGCCCTCTCTTGTCTAAGGGACAGCAGGAAACGACTAAACTCGTCTCAAGTCTTCCGATTGCTAAGTGTCAGCGAATGATTTGACTATCCTGCTCGTGTAAGTTCTGGGAATACATGTACAGTGTACATGTACATGAACTTCCCGATGGGGAACTGGTTTAGTATCAGCCTTGAGATAGTCTTCACGCCTCGAGGAAGCCCCCTCCCCGCGTTGAAATGTCGGACTTCACTTCCCTTCAATTCGAATTGAGCAACCGCGCCCATGTAGAGTTACATGGAACCAGAAATTCGTGCGCACCCATAGAGCTATATATTTTATATAGGCACTATATAGACCTTTTCACTAATGAATTCATAATTATTAAAACATTTTTGCTGTTAGTTTCTAATGTAAGGGTGTGTGTTGGTGGTCTTGCCATAGGGTGTTTGTGATGCGTCTGGTGCAGTAGTGTAATTGTAGTTAGTATTGCGCACCCCGCTCTATTTCACCGTCAACTGCTGGCTGCTGCCACTGGCTAGCCCTTTTTTGGTGCGAAAAGGAGCCGAGTGCGCAAGTCTCCCCTGCCAGTACACACAACGCCATCGCACCCTACATTGTGTGGACTTTTTTGTGCAGAGGTCCACACTATGAATGTCACGCCTGCACATAGCCTCTCCATCTCAAATTAAGACTGCTGCAGTGCCTCCTCGCGGCAACACACGGTAACTTGACATCTTGCGACCCCAGGCTAAACCTGCAGTGGATCTCGGAGCTGCAGTGGTCCCTAGAGACAAGGTGTGCAGGCCCACCGGTGTGTAGATACGCTACAATGTCAGCCATTGCTCCAACTGTGGCCAAGCGTGAGGTTCCGAGCTGCTCACAACTGCAAGTGATAACAATGTTACAGGTGCTGCAGAGGAAACCATGAGCTTCTGCTGCAGTAAGCACCATGACTGGTTTGATGACAGCCGGGATGACATTCGGCGTCTACTCACCGAGAAGAACAAAGCTCATGATGCTCACCCTGCACCATCAAAACCCCGGGCACTGCAAAGAAAGAGAAGTGGCTGAACCTGCGAAGGGAAGCACAGGTTGCCCTTCGGCAGATCGAAAATTATTAGTGGGAATTTAGCAAGGGCAAGAGAGATTCAAGGCCTCGCAGATCAGAACGACATGCACTCCTTTTACGACTCCATCAAGCAGATTGATAGTCCAACTATACTAATCGAGCACTCATACCTGTAAAGTCTGCCAACGGCGCTCTGTTGCGTGCCAAAAAAGAAGAAATTTTTCACCGATGGTCTGAACATTTCCGCGACCTCAATACCAAAAGGCCAATCGACGCTTCTGCACTGCAGGATCTTTCAGCTTTCCTAGAGGAGGACGCTTTGAGTCTTTGGTCCTCTCGGCTGGAAGTGGCAGATGCGCTCAAATCACTGAAAAACAATAAGTCTCCAGGCACTGATGGCGTGCCTGCTGAGGTTCTAAAGCATGGTGGTCTTGCCCTTCAAAAAGCCCTGCTAGAGTATATCGAGCATGTTTGGGAAAGTTAGGAGGTACCACAAACATGGAAGAACTCTAATATCATTACGATAAGAATAAAGGCCAATGATCGCATTGTTGAAATAGCTGGGGGATCTCCCTATCTCCCTGCTTTCTTACGCTGGCAAGTTACTGACCAAGATTATGCTGAAACGACTAATAGCCCCTGCAAGTTAACGTATCCTGCCTAAAACGCAGTGCGGCTTTCGGCTTAACGGAGTAACAACCGACAACCTAGAACAGAACCAAGACGTGAACATGGCATTCGTGGATCTGTCAAAAGCATTCGACACTGTCAATAAGGAGCTGCTATGGGAACCCCTGAGGCTTATTGGCTGTCCGGCGAAGTTCGTGTCGGTGCTGCGGCAGTTCCACGACGGCATGGAGATTAGTGTTGTGATGGAAGGTGGCGAATATTCTCCTGTGTGACTGAACCGGTACTTGTATGTCATGCTTGAGAGTGACTATGCTACTACAAGAGTCCGTGCAAGAGAACACGAAGATCGATCTTAGATACCGAACTGATTGCAACCTATTTGACATGAAGAAGCTCCGAGCCTGCAGTACAAAGTGTACCACATCCTCTTTGTCCTGGAGCTGCAGTATGCTGACGACTGTGCGCTCGTCACATACTCGCAGCAGGCCACGCAGAAGGTCCTGAACCTGGTCTCTCACTTCTACGCAGCTGTTGGCCTCAGTATCAATACCACTGAGACAATAACTGAGATACTGTTAAACCCAGCGACAGAGACCAAGGTGACCCATCGAAATTGACCGTGGATGATGCCACGCTTATCGTGGTTTCTGAGTTCAAGTACCTGGGAGGCTTTCTCTCAAGTGACTGCTCTCCCGACTTTGACATCAAGTACCGCATCAGTCAAGCCAACTGATCCCTATGGACGCTTCAGAGGCCGCATCTTTGAGAATCAATCCCTGCTGGGTGGAGGAGAAGCATGGGTCCTCTATCGCAAGCAGGTGAGAAAGTTGGAAGCTTGCCATATCTGTTCCCTACAGCGTATGTTGGGGCTCACATGGTGTGATAAGGTGCCTCACGTTACGATTCTGCAGCGCGCCAACATCACCAGCATTGAGGCAATGTTGATTCAGGGCCAGCTCCAGTGGACCGGCCATATGATCCGCATGGAGGACCAGCGGCTGCCCAAAGGGCAGTGCTCTATGGCGAGCTCACTAATGGATGCCGCCTTCGTGCCGCCCCCGAGAAACGTTACAAGGACCATCTTGAGCAGAAGCATCCATCCGCAGGTTGAAAATAGCCGTGGTGGTGGGGAGTGTTCATTTACTGGTAGCGACGCGACCATGAAACCTGCATTTCAAAGTCGTTGTGAACCAGCGAAGTACACGAGTTCCCTTAATTCGCTCGTCACCCAGCTCACTCGTCTCCCTGGTAAATGTTGGTGGCTTTGCGCTGTGATTAGCTACATTGTACACAACCCTGTGACCGCGAGGTTAGCGCTTCCTCTTAGCGATACATTTCACATCACTGGTTATTTTGATCAATTTTGGATGAACGAAGAATATAGAACGAAGAATGAGAATGTTTTCAGCTATGAAGTAGAAAAGGAATAAATATCGAATCGATAACCGCAGCTCGTGTAACAAATTGAGCGAGCTCGCGCGCCTAGTAGACATTTACCCACAGTGCTCTGCGCATTGTTCGCTGTGACCCCATGTGACGTGTTTCCTTCACTAAAACCTCTACAAGGCCTGATGCCCTTCCCAGCGCCCTGTTCGAGCACAGGGCGACGAAGTTTCTACCAAAGGAGCCTCTGTTGCTAAGGAAATTGCGCCATCTATGCCATAAATCCCGGTCCCCTATAGCGCAACTTGAGCACCGTGCACTATTTCTGGGGTAAAAATTCAGTCCAAGCCCCCCCCCCACACACACCCACACAGACTACAAATCATGGGTGCATCACTGCAGTATCTGCACTACTTGGCTGCCGTTTGAGTCCATGGTTATATCTGTGCGATACGGCTTTGAAACATCGTTCAGGTTTCTTTTCAACAGCATTTTCGCATCACTGTTCAATTTTTTTTTCAACCCGGGTGAGGATATCTTCTGCCACACATTATGAACAGTCATTGGGCTTTACCCTTTGCAATGCCTTTTTCCTCTAGCATTTCGGCAGTGTTATACCCCCAAACTGCACAGGAACATAAAATCTGGAGGGTCAAAGATATCCTCACTCAGTTGACAAGCCAGTTTCAAAGTTGAGAAAATGTCACATGACATGATTATATCAGTTTTACCTTCAAGAACCCCTTTTTAAAAGAGTAAAAAGAAACAAAACAGTAGGACATATGAATGAATAAAAAAAATCACAGGTTAGTTAGTTTGTGGATTTAGTGAAAATAGCATGCACCATTATGCACCCTCTGTCTGATTTTTTGCCTGATTTCTTGACCTCGACATTCCTTTTGACTAAACTTTAAGACTCTTATTTCTATGAAAATGATTTTATTACCATAGTTTTTAAAGACATAGGGAAGAAAACGTGAAAAAACCACTATTTGAAGAAAATCTGGAAACAATTTTTAGTGGATTTTCATACACATTGTATACATGAAAGACAGACTCATAACCGCAATGAGTAGCATTACGTTTATATACAATCACATACACACGTTTGTGTATAATCCACTAGTCTGAGCCGAATGAGGGCTTTAAAAAACATCCCAACCGAAATTAGGAAAGACAGTTTGAACGCTACCTCACACCCCTTGTCCACCGCTTAGGAAGTGACCAGTTGCAATTGTCCAGTTAGGAGATGGTCATCATAATCCTCGGCAGGTAAAAAAAAATTTAATGGTTCATTTTGCCAACGTATTATAACCATCCTGAGATGCTACTTGAGCCCAAGTATGTTTAGCGTCCGTTTTATTTTCAAAATTCAGATTTACCTTCAACTTAGAGCAAGGAAGTCGAGGGTCAGACTTTGTTGTTATTTACAAACAATGGTTGACGATTCAAATGTTCAAAGACTCAACAAAACAAATAAAATGTAAAATGGACAAGCGAACTGAAAATTTTGTAGTGGTTTTAATTTTGTGGGGGTAGCACAGTTTTACGAGAATGAGGCCCGAGCTGGACCCTAGAGATGGCCATCTTTGGAATTGGTTGTTCGCGGTACCCGCTGCTATATCTGACTCGAACCAGCCTGCGACACTGGCAGGCTCGGTGGTTAAGACGTCTGCACTAGTAAGCAGGAAGTCGTGGGTTTGAGTCCCACCCGAGTACGCTTATGGTTTTTACAAGCCCTCGAAGGCAAACACCGGGTATACATGCGGTGTTATAATACACATCGGGCAGGGCAAAAATCCAAAATTAATAAACGTATTTTTCTTCCCCTAATGGAAATGCTAACTGATTTGTTTTCAAGTCTAGGGTAGCTGAACTTCAGGCGTTTCTTCGTTTCCGGTGAGAATGCAGTTTTCTTCCCGTTGGTGACTGAAAAATCGCTCATGGATAAAGACACGAAGCCGGTATCCTCCGTAGCCAATCAGATGGATGAGCGGCACGGCGAGAGAGATCAAGACGCACGATAAAATAGTCCAACCGGGCCGGGACCAGTCCAGCACCCGGGGATATATTGCTGTTCCTCCGGAGTCTGGATTCATACCGCCAGCCCAGAAGTAGATCAGGGTGAAGCTGATGTACAAGATGCCGTACAGGAAAGGGTAGATGAAATGCACGACCCCAACAGGAATGGCTGAGAGCAGGAGATCGGCGTAGATGAAGACCGTGTTGAGGGCGTGGAAGTGAACATCCATGGCCAAGCCGAGACCAGACTTCCCGGGTGATGCGAGGAGCGACCAATACACTATGGTGACGATGGGGTCGACGGTCAGACAGATGTTGAACAGGAGCCAGACCAGTTTGAAATAGTGCGGCAGGCGGGGCCTGACGGTGCCCTCCAGTGGTCGGGCTGATGGGGGCAGGGGCGGTAGCTCATGTCCGGATGTTTGGGAGGTAACATGAGACCCTAGCTCCTGACCAGTGCGTCCAAAGTGTGATACAGCGCGTGTGACGTAGACTTCCTCAATAAAAACGGAAAGGGAAACAGGTAAATTTCCTGGTACAAAATGTCAGTGATATGCAATGACTCAGTGTCAGAGAAGCTGTTCTTTAATTTTCAATCACAGTGCAAAAAGATCAAACCAACTGAGGCCTAAAACGATTTAAAAGTTTTGTAAAATTTACTAGGAAAAAAATTCAAGCTGACGAGCAAATATGACTGGTCAGTGTTGGCTGAGAGAGCTTATCGACGTTCAAGTTAAGATCATAATTCAAGACAAAAAATTAGAGTTCATGCAATGAATTCCCAAACATTGTTTGTCTGATGAGTTTCTCATTACACATGTGGTTTACATATGTTCGTGTTCCCAAACCTTCAAATCATGACTTATTCCGAGTATTCAATAAGGTGGAACGATTAATGTGTTGTGGTACAAGTCCCCCAATCATTTAACCCCAACAATGTATTGAGAACGTCGAAAAGATTTCCTGCTTTTGACATGATTATTTTAATCAATATCCTTATACATGTGTTTTGTCAGCAAATTAATGTCAGCGATAATAGTAGGTCATCATCTTGAAGAAGGCCATCCCTTGGTACTAGCGAAAGTATCCCGCCATCTAAAATCAGAAAATGAAGCACTTTTACAAACAATACGTGTTGCTAGTACACATGTAGTCCGCCATCTCTTCAGGAGATAAGACCCCTTGATGTTCGTCAACAAAACGTGCAACTAGAACAAAACAGGGGCTTTCTTGAGTACACTGATTGATTAGACGTTGCAGGATTCATATATAGTCTACCCCTTCCAAAGCAATTCACATATTCTTAGGAATGATTCAGAGGAGATGTCAAACTCACACCGGTTCCTCCCGTTCGCAAAAGTGAAGTAGGTGGCGCTTACGCACGTGGACACAGAATACAACGTCAGCACCGTGAAGGTCCAGTCGGTCAGGAAGACGAAGAATGGCCCGATGTCTTTGCCGATGGCAAGACGACAGATCAGCCAACCGAGTAGGTACAGGGCGAGGAAGACCCGCCAAGCTAGGTAGACAAACTGGTGGATTGGCCACTGAAATACAACGGAATGGAACATAGAGTCACTTTACCTTACCATCCTTATAGTGCACTGCAGGTCCTGTCAAATTTTGTTAATGAGAACTTATATCTTGTAAGTTTTCTGAACTAGAGTTGTTTAAAATAAACTTGGGTGATCAGTGATCTGAAATAGCAGAAAAACAATCATTTTATTGTCAGTCATATCAGAGAAATCCTGCGTCCTTTGACCCACTTTAAAAGGAGGAAGGCACAATCGCTAAAAGCCAGCCACTGTGTAGGTTTAATAGATTTAATAAATTCCAGGGCATGCACAACGGCTGTCAGGCGCGACTTACCTGAGGTCGTGCAAAGAGGGTGGCATCTCCATGGTTCAGCCAGAAATCAGACAACTTAAGTCGACCCCCGCATGCCATTTTTTCCCCAGAAACGGTATAGGCCTAACTCTTTGAAGAGATATTCAGGAGATACGCTTGCAAAACGTTCACTTGTAACTTCTCATTGCGACAGAGTGAATGCGAAATATTTCCTTGATCTTATCGACTACAGTTGTGACAGAGGCATGTTGATGCAAACCCGGAACTACGTAAGCGCATTATTTTAAAGTTCAGTAGGTCTATGCTTTACTATGCGTCAGCAGGTTCCTGCCGCGGTAAAAAATTGTAAACTAACATGTATTATACAGTTTCAGTTACATGTTTGACTTAAGTCGACAGTCAGAAAAGGTTCAAAGGTCCAATGTTACATTAATTTAACTACAGCGCAACTTTCTACATGTTTATCTTCCCGAGTTCGATCGAATTCCTGCTGGTTGAAGTGATCACGAAGCTTACTCGGGAAGATAATGATGGACTTTGTACCACTTAGTGACTCGTTTATGATAATAACGACCAAGTGGAATAAAGCGACTAGTCCGAACGTTATGTGAGGAGTGCACTGTCAAACATTGTCAAACACTGTAATACTTGATGTTTAAAAACAATCCTCGTTGAGAGAAGCAAATTCAGAAAATGTTTTCAAGCAATCCCCACAGCGCGACATTATAGAAAGAGGTGGTCACATTATTGTGTTGGGGGAGGGGGGATGGGGGTGTTTTTTTCTCATGCTTTATTTGATTATTTCAACGGTTAAAAGCTTATATTCCTCTGTGGTAATCACACCATGGTGTACACCATGGTGAGCACAACTGTCCATGGTGTACACCAAAGAAACACGACGCAACGGAACCGTCGTTGTGTCGCGTGGTGGCGTTGGGGCGATGGCGCGGGGTGACACAGTTTTGTTGGCTAACACCATAAACGAGGGTCACAGAGTTCAAGACGATACAGATGGTTGTAACACCAGATCGCACAGCTTCTTGACTTTAATATTGCAAGTATATTACGTATATTGCGTATAGAGAGCGTATTATGTGCGATCCGCAGTTTATCACTAGCTTCTTGAATCAAGATAAGTAAACCAAATGGGACTGACTGACAATCTCCGGCTTCAGGCCCATCAATGAATATGTCTCTACACTCGACCAATCTTACTGGTTAAAAAGAACTAAACAAATACATTTCCTTGGGGATGAGGGCAAACCCAAATGTCCAGAATGCAGGTAGCCTATCTTTATTATTTTTTAAAATTGCATATTTGACTTACTGCGATTTCTGTCACTGGCAAAGGTAAAGTAGAACGTGCCAATGCAGGAAGAGAATGCGCAGAACGTAAAGACGATGTATGTCCAGTCAGTTAGAAATATGCAGAATGCTCCTATGTTCCCTTTATGGACAGCTGAACTAATCAGCAGCCATCCAAGAAGATAGAGAGCAAGAAAGACCCGTCAAGTCAGGTAGATAGACCGAGGGATTGGCCACTGAAGTGGCATACAAGTTAAGGAATTTACAACTCAAAGTATTTAACAACGAATCACCGAAGTAGAGAACATCTAGTCCACCAAATTTTTTTTGCGCAGAAACCAATGCAACGTCAATGCTTTCTTACTGACATCACATTTTTACTTATGAATATGCAAGTATTAAAAGCATTAAAAAACCAAAACGGCAGCAATATACCCCTTGAGACAGTGAAACACAACTTGAAACTGGGGTTAACTGAGATAGATAGGTGCATTTTTAAAATTAGTGTTAAAACCAGTTCCATCGCAGCTACCCTTTGATATCAAAGGTAATAAAAGGTGTAAAACAAATCAAATGTCGCTGTGTTCTTCTAGGCAGGAATATTTCTTTTGACAAATAGAACAAAAGCCACAGTGAAACCTATTTCATAAACAGGTAATTAATTCATTCAGTTTTATTCTTGCCATTTCATATTTGACAAAGTTCATACGCATTCCCAAATTTTGTTTGTAAGCGTTAGATATATTCGTGTGAAGATTTTCTTTCCCAATCATCATGTAGATCCTACGCAGCCAACTGGGTGGGTAGTTTCTATCGCTACATTGTGGAAAAGATTTATTTTCCACTCAGACCATAAAGCAAGACTTTTAAAATTATTTACAAACAACTGATGTTGTTTCAAATGTTCAAAGACCCGATGCAATAATATTCAAATGGCAAGCGATTAAAAATATTTCATTTCGTTCGTTTCAGTTTGTTTCGTTTCGAGCACAGTTTCGTGAAAATCCAAAATAGGCACTTCCATATAGCAAGCATTTTATTTTCAGTCGCAGGATAAAATAGTTCAACCGGGCCGCAACCAGTCCAAAATCTGGGGATATATTGCTGTATCCCTATCCCGTGAGTGTGGCTTCACGCCACCAGCCCAGAAGTAGACCAGGGCGAAGCAGACGTACGAGTTACCGTATTGGAGTGGGTAAATGAAATGCACGACCCGAGCGGCAACTTGGCCGTGGAAGTCGACATCCATGGCAAGGCCGGGGCCAGACTCCCCGGGTGATGCGAGGAGCAACCATAAACTATGGTGATGATGGGATCGAGGGTCAGACTGATATTGAACAGAAGCCAGACCAGTTTGAAGTAGTGATGCAGGCGGGGCCTGCGGCGCCCTCCAGCGATCGGGCTGGCGGGGACAGGGGTGGCAGCTCCTCACCGGATGTTTGGGAGGTACCATGCAGTGCTGGAGGCCTCGAGGCCGGTCTTGGCCTCGANTTTCTGGCCTAATTACCAGGGTGCACCCCGAGGCCGATTGTTATGGCCTCGGAGGGCAATGCCTCGGCCTTGGACTCGGAGATCTCCGGCCTCGACGAATCAATCGAGGCCGGCTCAATTTTCCCTACAATTCAACATGTTTTTTTTTCAATCAAAAAGTGTGGATTTTTTCTTATCATTTTTACATTTGCCTTCATTATGATATATGAACATAAAAGCAGCGTCATCCATGTCAAGTTTCAAGTTGTAACATTCTTTTCGTGGGTTCCTTGTGGTTTTTTTTCCTCGGTGAACCAAAATTACGTAACGTGCGCACGTTCCCTAACTTCCGTGCGAAGGTCACGGCCGCCGCTACACATGTACATGTAGCACCTTGTTGGAGAACCAGTCTAACCCACACCATAGTCTGGTCCCCGTCTGCCACTTTGCCTGAAGTGTTGCAGTTTTCCCAGGAGATGTTGGAGACCCTGATGTCTTTAAGATGTAACAAGCATTTTCTTTTCAGTCTCCCATCGGTAACATGCCATTTAGCCGTTTGACTTCAAAATAATTATAAACAAGTACTACATGTACATCTAACAAAATCTTGACCTGGTTTTGAGTGATCAATTTGATTTGTTGTTAGGATGTACACCAATAGCTGGCCTCAGCCTTGGTAGCTGTGGCCTTGGCCTTGGGGTTATGGCCTCGGTCTTGGAGGTTGTGGCCATGACTACAACACTGGTACCACGAGACCCTCGCTCCTGACCGGTGGTGCGCCCATGGTGTGATACAGCGCTTGTGGCGTAGACTTCCTCGATTGAAGTGGAAAAAGGTAACTTTAGTAGCACAAAATGTCATTGATATGCAAGGATTCAGTGTCAGAGGAGCTGCTTGTTTCGTTCAAGGTTGAAAAGTTCCAACTAATCAAAAAGCTTGAATCGACCTCCGCATGCCATTTTTCGTCCTAGAAAGGCACGGCCTTTAATTCTTCGCAAAATCTTAAGGTCCGGTAGATACGGTAACAACGCTTCACCTGTAACTTCTCATTTTGGCAATGGAGGTCCCCCCGTAATGTATTTCGTTGTGTTATCGACCACAGATATGAAACATGCAACCCTACGAGTGCAGTATTTTATGATCATAAGGCTTCATACTTCACTGTGCATCAAGAGGTTACTGAAGCGGTAAAACCATGAAACATACGTTATAATGTTTCAGTAACATTTTTTGGCAGTGTTCAGAATTTACAATAAATAGGCTAATAATGTAATCATGTGCGTCAAGAGATTACTGCCGCGGTAAAGCAAATAAACCATACGCTATAAGGTTTCAATAACATTTTGAGGGTCGAAAACGGCTCCAAAGTTCAGTACTGTATAAACTGTAGCGCAAATCTCTATACTAATTCGATCGAATTCCTGGTTGAGGTGATCACTCAGAGAATGTGAGCGAAAGGTCAAAATATGTAGCGAGTATACTGCCAGACAGCGTAGTACATGATATTCAAGAACGAGGAACACACCCATTCCTCTATTTTAAATTCCTTCTTTTCAATCCTCGTTTTTATCCATTGTCCCGTCTGTGAAAGAACAAGTATGTTGCAAAGCCAACACATATTTCCAATGTAAACAAAGTTCCACAGTCAAACGCAGTAACAACCCCCAAGATGGGGTATCGGCAAAAATCGATTGTTTGATAAAATTTCGGCAATCAGTATTTATTATGGACAGATTTCTACTTTCAAATGAAAGTAAAATGTCACGCTAAGCATTTCTCATACAAGGCTCAGACGAAATTTACATTCATTACATTCCTACTCATTAAACTCGACAGGCTTGCTTTGAATATTCTCGTTTACAACAAATTTTTCAACACAAGTAAACAACAAAGGCTGACAAAAATAGCAACAGATTACTACTACCGCTAACATGATATTCCGCAGTGTATTGTGATATTCCCTTTACAGACGAGTTCACTGTTTTACATATAAATTATGTGATAAAAAAATGAAATTTGAGTTCAGTTCCAACCATTTAAATTTAACCATGTATTTTTTTAACTAAGTCAAAACGTGAACCGCACATTCCAAGAAACCAAAAAAAGCCACTGAATTTATGATGCTTTTGTCAAACTGGAATAGGCTTCATGTCGACATAACTAAATCAAATGTGGCAATGTTGTAATTCTACTACAACTCCAATCCAGCTTTGCAACCCTCATGTTGCACCCTCTATGGTTACAAACCCACCACCACCAATTTTCACCTATACACACTGCCACCTGTTTTCGCCTACGCTAAATAGAAAACAATTGCACCGGGAAAATTTAGTTTTATCCTTGCTGGCAAGCATTATCGTGACCGTGCGAAATTTTAATGAAAACAAGGGAGCTGTATAAAAATGATAAATGCATTGAATTGATGTCAACTGGTATGTCCTAAAAAAGTCACAAAATATCTACATTGTGTGGGAAAACATGCAACGGCCCTGAATCCAGTAAAAGGAATAAATGACGCAGTAAAATAGTTAAAGTAAGATGTCATGTGTTTACTCCGGGTAGCATGTTTTTTTATTACACAGCTGTCTGGGGGAACATCATGTTCTTTGCCATGGAAAAAACATTTTCTTGCCAGTCTTGAAGGGAGACTAGTCTTCACGCCTTGTGGAAGCTTCCCCTTTTGACATGTGCACTTTACTTCCATTTGAAAAAAAACCCAAAATCCTCACTTCAATAATTCAACAGCTGACATATCCCCGTTTGTGAACAATACAATGCCAGATTTATGTACGTTTCGTTACAAGAGCCATGGACCTTCATACCTTTTTTGTTTAAGCAAATTTCAATAAATGTATTCACAAGCTACAAAAAGATCCCATAAGCACTATCTTCGGTGCCATACCTGTTTCAAGACAAAATACATTGTACAGGGTTCCTGCAACTTAATACGGACAGCGTAATTTGGTGGCTTCTCCATAATTTTCTATGACCAAACCTGCTACACGAGCTAGTTCATCAAACTGGTTAGTTAAATTGTAGGATTTTTACTTGCACATTCGACGAATATGTCAGAAATAGACACCAAATTTGTATAAAAAATTATTATTGTAAATTGGTCATCATAAAATTCCATTATTTTTGTCATTACAAGTTTTCAATTAATTTTCCAGACCTAAAAATTTAAATTATTACTACGAAACTATTCAAAGTTTTTCCCAAGTTTATGAATAGGGACCTCAAAACAGCACAAAATTTTCATTTTGGAATGAAGTCGGTTCTCTGACATGTTTAGGAATTTTCGAAAATGACGGTGAGTATACAGATCTACATGTGTAAACTTGAAACTATGAGTAGCAATTTGTGCTGAAAAATTCCAAACTGAAAAGTGAGTGGATAATAATATGACATATCATTAACAGCGCCCTCAGGTGACAGGAAATAACAAAACAGAGCTAGAATACATTTTGTTTAAAAAGAATGAAGTCGAAAAGATGATTCATTTATTTTCACACAATTCAGAGGAAGGCAAGATATGATTTTACACGCATGATGACAATAATTGCTTCAGCCAATCCCTCAAGAATAAAAGAATAGAGCATCTTCTGTCAACAGCGGCGTATCAAGGTCTTGGGTCCACGGGGAGGGGGAGCTTGAAATAGTAACTTTTGCAAGCATTTTACCAAAACCTTTTTTTCATCTGCAAAAGAATCCTTACTCCTCTCTACGCGCACAAAGACAGGTGGTAATAGAGGATTTTCAGTCAGATGATTTTTGACGGTCAGCATTCAACTTACATAGATGTGTGCGGAAACGGACGTCCCTTCAAAGTTTCTCCACATTCTGGTGTACATGAAACTGCAAACAGAAATACACAGATTCGAAAATGCATGTGCCTTCACGGACATGGTACGCTCCCTGAAATACCTTTGCCAGTCACACTATGTCATGTGTAAAACCTTGATACCATTTCCAAAATACTAGTCTTTTCAACTCATAAGATACAGTAACATGGCTTGGAGGGGGAGCGCCCTCGCCCCCCTCGCCTGGATATGCCACTGTCTGTCAACCTTCTTGGCAATGACGGAGGGACTACTCCCTCTTCTTTGACAGCATCCTGCTCAGGTACTTCCACTTGAGGACGTTGACGCCAAGCAACAGGGCGTTGACGATGTAAGTGGAGACGCAAACGAGGCAGAAATCCTCCAGGACAAAGTAGAGGATGTAGGCCAGGTAGACAGATCCCACGTTGGACAAAATGGATGTCATGAGGAGGAAGTTGGTGGCCGCCAAGGTGTGAATCTTGGCTGGGCAAAACGATACAGCAATACGGAAAAGGATGTTACAATTACCATCAGAATAACTTGTTAGTTCATACAGTTAAATGGAAGTTTTCCCATTGTGTTTTTTTTTTTTGCTTTATCTTGTATTTTTTGTTCCAAAGTCTCTGTTCTGTGTATAACTCTTCCTTTCAATTTTTCAAAAGATTCTTTTGATACAATCAGAATCAGATGGTATTTAACATGCTAAAGCTTGGTCTTTACTTCAATGAAACTGTCACTGGGAAGGGCTTTCTCCATCTGTTTGTTTGTCTTTTATTGTTTGTTTTAATATTGTTTTGTCAACAACAGCTTAAAAAATATAATAGTTAAAGCAATATCACAGTTATGAAGCACCTTTTCTTTGTTTAGATGTGCTTGATGTAAGTTTAAATATATTTATTTGTGAGATACAATGAGGTTATCAAAGGTACAGTCCATGATTTGCAGTTGTCCAAAAAGTAAGTGTTGATATTACTGTTGAAAAGCATGCACTGGGTTTAAAGATGCTTTATGGGAATAAAATTATTCTTTCAGGCATGCTGTCATTTTTGAAGTAAACAGCAAAAGAGTGCCATTTCAAATGGTGCGTCTGAGAATGGATATTTGAAAATTACCATTTGAAGGGCGCACAAACATTGACGCAACACACACTTTTGACTGATTGACATCACACATGTCACATGGCTGCATTCAACTGTGCGTGTGATTGTGTCCCAGATACTGAATTGAAAAACATGAGTCAGCAACTTTTGACCTGAAATTGAAATCCTAGAATATTGTTTTTCCCGGATTATACAAGATTCCCTGAGCTTGCATTCAAACAATGCAAGGATGGATGACTATCTACATAGTCATATAGACAACCTGTTGAATGAGTAGTTAAAAAGTGGCTTCCTGGAGGCAAAAGCTTGAAGGCACAATGTATTGCAGGTAGCAATAAGTAAAACTACGGAAAAATCTGGTGACCACTGTAATGCCAACACTGGTCATTTGCAGTAGCCCCCATCAATGGTGGTAAGTATTGTGATAGCTACAGGTACATGTGTTGTATGGAGACACTGTTATGTGACAGTTGCTCCATACAAAGCCCAACATAACAAGTCTTTTGGCCATTAAAGGGGGCCACCAGGAATTTTCATGATGTGTGTGAGTTTCTATCCAGAACCTCAGGATTAATCATATTTTTTCATGGTCAAATGGTGAAAAATGTTCATCAACAGCACTCACTGCTCGTGCATACTGGTCCAGACCAGCAATGCTGACATAAAAACCTTCAATGAAATGACAATTCGGGTGCTCCATTACGTGCCAGAAACATAAATTACACAAGTGACACGTCAGTGCTAACAACCCATAGTAACGTTTTTCTGGTGCAGAACAGCAACATTACTTCCAAGGTCAACATAGGCTGAAAATTGCTTTTGTGTAAATGCACTGGTACCAAGTATAAACTAAGCCTCATTTCAAACGCAGTAAATATAGTTACACGTATCTGTAACAAGTAATATCGTTTATATCACTTCAACAATTTCATTGTGCTATTTCGTTTTTTTGTGTACATAGGCTTGAATCCATAAATTAAAAACGAAGCCTTTTTTATTGAAGCCAGGGGTGGGATTGACCAATGATAAAAAACGGCATAAAGAAGCTGAACAATGAAAATCTCCTATACTTTTGTACACAGCCAGTGAGGAAAAACAGCTGAAATCCAGAACAATAAAAGCTAAAATCAGCTAAACAGCTGAGAAATCTCACCCCCGATTGAAGCACATCAGGCCATTTGTACACAAACACCTGTTCTGTAGTTGTGAGAAATGGATAAGAGTTGAAACAGAAATTTCTAGAGATCAAAACCTGGGGGGGGGGGCAAATTTTTGCCCCCACAACTCAGTCTAGGTTTTCTTATTAAAAAAATTGTCCCCTCAATATGAACAAGGACTATCCACAGCTACACGTTGCCTTCCCCCTTTTATATTTCCCCCTGAAGAATTTTTACCAGCGTAGTCTCCTGACAGTTTTTTGCAGGGAAAAGGCTTAACCTAACTTGGAGGAAAATGAGTTCAAGGAAAAAATAATGCCCAACCGTCTGCAATACTACGGTGTTCATGCTTCCCGACAGAAATCTCCCATCATTTGAAACACTTCCGCAAACGCAAATAGCCGGACCAAAGTTAATTAGAATTTTCTCTTCATTGTCACACAAGGGCCCTTGTCTGTTTGCTGAGCGTAACATGTACCAGGATATATCACAGGACATCCTTAATTGGTTTTTTACTTTTTCTGTGTAATAGCAATGAACAAAGGGAACCATAGTGTTAATTTGGAATATGGTACACGTCACTAACACCTCACCTCATTTATTTCAGTGGAAAGTATCTGTTCTTTAAACCAATTTCTGCATTTTATTTCCTTTGTTAGGGAGAGCGGCATAATTCACAGTTTCGCGACACCTTTCACCATGACTGACCCCAAAATATCAGTGGCATATATTATTTGTTGTTCTTTTTTTATTTTTGATTTTTTCAACTTTTTCATTTATTTATTTCAATCATTTTCATTTTATTTTTTATTCAAATTTCCTTTGTGTTCCCAGTCCAAGTTTGGATTGACAGGCTTTCAAGCCACAGTGTTCAGGTACACTTTTTTCTCAATCCTGGTTAGCTCAGACTGGGTTGTTTCTCTTTTTGTCATGTTTAGTCCTGTGTAATTTTATGTAAGACTGTTCCTTGTTTGTTTAGAGTTGTACATGTTATTGTTTATGGCCAAATAAATAATGATAATAATAACAACCTGTGGACAGAATCAGGTTTTAACCCAAAATCCTTTGCTATCTCCCCCTCTTCATAAATTACATGTGAACATGTATAGTGCATGTACAGATATATGTACAAGGATACATGTACATAAAATAAATTGAAATTCCAAATTTGAAAACAAAGCCAAATGCAAAGTATTTGGTTTGTTCTATAAAGAAGGGTGCTTAACCACCTGAACACACCCTGATGAAGAAAATTATTCACCCCATCTGAAAATTTGAAAGCAATTTGAAATTGTTATAGACAGTACTGTAGGTATTTATTTCCCCAGAAAGCTGCTCTTAAAATTGTTCAAAATCCACCGCTTTGCTAGGAAATCACATGTTCTTTGTACTCAAACATTCAGAGGAAGTACATGTAGCTCTACGTACTGATAGACAACACACATGAAGATTCTTAATTCCAGCAAAATCCTGCAAAGCCCTTCAAAACTTCAATTTGGAAGGATTTTGTGGGAACTGTTCAAATAGTCGTTTATTCAATTATTTAGTAGATGTTTAAATACGAAGACTTACCAATTGCAACTTGAAGAATATAGAAGATAACACCTAAGAAACAGTTGGGTTGGTTGAGTATATGATGGTCTCCTAATATGGAACCAAGAATACCAAAACCACGGCCATACCTGAAGCGTTGAACAAAAAAAATTACATCTGATTCTAAAATTCTGTGCTTATGTGGAGCAGGATCTGCCAAAGTACCGCTATATTAGTCACGTGCATTGCTCATTAAAATCCGTTGACTGCTGTTACATAACAAAGACCTGAAAATTGAGAAGTGCGTCTTGGGAGGAAGGAACGTTCGGAATACTGGCTACCGACCTTCTCCAGTGAGCTATTTCCATTTTAAGACAAAACCCCTTAATGAGCGCATTCAATTAAAATAACTGAAATGAAAAGTAAATCACATTTGAGGTCGCAAAGTTACCTTTCCTGATTTTGAATACTGTCTCTGTATTTCACAGTGAAATTTGCCCGACTGTCAGCCCTGACATGTCTGCCAAACTTGACATCACTTAAGACTGATCCCAGGGACTATCATGCTATTGAGCGGGAGACTCTCCTGTTATTGAGCTCAAAGTTGCCATTTTAATTGTTGTTGTAGCAATCAAACTGTATGCTAACTTTTAGGAAAAACAGCAACGGCATCATGATAAGTAAATGTCCCATTCATAATCGAGCCTGGGGTGTTGCACGTGTATGTATGCCAATGACTATTTACGGAAAGGTGCAACGTCCGGTGTACAACCCGATTCCGTCATACATACATGTATCTGATGCTGCACTGTTCAGAAAAACCGTCATTGGCATTTGCGTGTGAATGGTGCACTCTAATACCTCTCTCTAGGTTGGCACATTGTGACGTCATCAATATTATTCCTGAAAACTAGCATATGGAAGGTTCCAGGGCTCCACTATTGCCCATATCCAAATGCTAAAAAAGGTATTTCATAGGGTCCTACTCCTAGTAAAATGTAGTGACTGGGACTAGGCCTACAAAAAGTACAAAAAAATACACACTGGTTAAAAAAAATCAACACAATCAAGCTCCATTCTGGAAAGAATTCCACATGCCGACACCTCTTTCTTGACCTAGCAACAAAATGCCCCCCCCCAAATCTAATGCAATGGAGAAAATATTTTGTTACACACAAATTCACTTTAAAAACAGAATTTTTCAGACCAGTCCTAGCCCTGTAGGGTCTGCGCACAGCCGCTGGGTGTTGAGCGGCGTTCGTTCTTTCCGAAATTTCAACCAGAGTACAGTTCGGCTTCTTAGACATATTAAATCAGCTTTATTACTCACTTTGACGTGAAGACTTTCGAGCAACTCATGCTCTCCCCGATGTCACACATGGCCTTGTACTGCGGGTTAGCCTCTTTCGAAGTTTCCACGTAGAGCGCATAAACCGACAGCACCGTGCCGATGAAGCACAGCCCCCATCTCGCCAGTCTATGGCTGATGGGCATCTGTATTTTACCGGTTGTCGCTGCTGCTGAGTTCGGATTTCCCATCTCTACAAAAGCGGAGAAAACTGCTATGCATGCACCGTATGGTAACTATCACTCCAACGAGAAGATTTTGTCTAGAACTCTCTCCAGAGACAGACTCTATTGCTTGTGAAAGATGTACACAAAACAATCTGCTGTTTACACTCGCTCCTGCATAATAAATTTATTACACGTGGTTTGTAAGCAGCGCCCTCAATGGACAAGAAGGTTTATAACCGAAAGAGATGAGGGATATTATCAGTGTTACAACTTACACGCATGTTGGTTGGTGAAGGCCAATTCCCAAGAAAATAATTATCAGTGTTACAAATTACATGCATGTTGGTTGGTGAAGGCCGAGTCACAAGAAAATAATTAGAGTAGGGTTCGTCGCCATTGAGTCCCTGTATATATTTTTTCTCAGGGCATTGCTAAAACATCACGCAGTACTTTTTCATGTGGAAATCCTTTTTCTTTGATGGTAAAAAATGGACACACACGGACATACTGTACATGTTTTGTTTTAATTGTAACTAATTGCATTTTGCATATTGTAAATAAAAAACAAAAAAAAATCCAAAAAAAAAAGAAAATGTCTCAGTACACAACAAAAAAACAAGACAAGTCAAAATCTTGCTTTATAAATACAAGGCACTTGATATTGAAAGGCACAAATTGTATTTGCTATTTAGCACATTATGAAAGACACTGAGAAAAGATACAAAATGCCAGTGGAATATGAAATATGACATAAGACCAAAACCTCTCCTTCACATAACCGATGCTCGCAAAATGATTCAGCATCAGCCCTACTTACTTCAGGTAATAAAAAGCAAATGTGACAAACATCTAAGTAAAATTCATTCAGTTGTTTTAAGGAATAACCATTTCTAGGAATACATTATCTGGGAATGGATGGAAATTTAAAACGCAGACATTAAATTAAATATAAAAAAACTTTATGGCAGCCTTCTTTTTTGAAAAAAGTGTGTACTGACTTCTCATTGTCAACATATTTGTTCAAGCCTATTAGAAATCCATTACTTCATTTAGTTCAGTTTAACAAAGTTCATAGATATTCCAATTTGAAAGACAGTTATTAGAAAGACAATGCAATATGTATTTCAGAGAATTTGTGAGGAAGCATCAAAGTCACAGGCTGTACACATAATGATGCTAAAAACCAAAATTTACAGAAGTACCAATATATACAATACATCTCAATAATGGAGAAAAACTACACATTAAACACACTGCAGAAAGTACCAAAACTGAAACTCTTAAAGGTATTTTGCTAAAACTTAAAACCACCAAAACCAGAACTCAATTTACAAAAAATCCAGTGACAAACATGTTAACATTTGGATTCAATTCCAATTATCTGCACAATTAACAAACCTTACACCTTATCACACGAACAGCTTTTAATCAGAGTTACACCACTGCTCCAAAGATGCATAAATTACAGCTGAAATTGCAAAAATATTGTGTTTCTTTAAAACGTTCCCACTTTATCAAACACCTTGGATTTTTCGCATTCACATTAAATATAAATAAATACAAGGTTAAAACACTCATTTATATCATGACCTGCTTTGCGGAGAAATCATTTCATCAAATTTAAGAACTGATGTTCCCAAATCTCTGCCAGCTCTGCAAGTTGGGCCACCCTTTTAAGGTGCAGTTGTCAGGCATGTCGGAATCAGATAAAATGGGGCAGAGCTTCAGAATAAGGAACAGAGGAATATTCTAAATGTGGGCAAGTGACTAATTTTTACCAACTTTCGTTGAGATGCTGGAAATTGCATGATGCAAAGAGGTGTAAATATTGGGAGATGGGGGGGGGGAATCCCTCCCCTTTTTGGACCAGGGGAGGGGAAAATGGGTTATTTGATCCCACTACATCATGATTGAGAGAAGTTCCTTTCGGACCTTCCCAAAGCAAAATATGTTATTACAGTACTGAAAAAAGTATAAAAACTTTAAACACACCAGTTTAATATAAGGTTATAAGGTGTATCGTGTACATCTGCATCACGAACAGCACCCTGGAACATTTGGAGAGACAAACATCAAATTTCAACTCTTAAATCTTCTTCTGCTGCTGCTTCTAGCAGTGATGGTTTTTACATAACTTTTATGTGACAAATCACCAACACCTCAGATCAAATTGTGCCTCTGTAAAGCAATTTTAAAGTAAAGTGTTGTAACCAGTTAGGCACTGTTAAATCCCTGTTTTTACTTTCTGCCCTCATGAGCCCATTACTGACATATACCCTGCCATGTTTAGATCATTTCATGCTAGTAACCACTAGCCATATACTATTTAACAGTCCTAGCTTCGATAAATTCTACCTGTTGAAATCCCTGAATACTTCATTTTCCATTTTCACATAGTACTTGCTTTCAATTATTGTGGTCACAGTTATTTTGATGTTAATGGTATAAAGTTACTTCACCACTACCGGCACACTTGTGAAGAAAAACAAACAAGGCACTCTTTTAACCCACGCCCTTCCGTAAAAATTAAGAACTGCGCACTCTTAAGTACATGTACATGTATCAACATTAAAGCGACCATTCTGTTGATGTTTTTTAAATACGTTGTCAGAAAAGCTGGCTTTGTATTGCAGGTGAACTTGACAAAAATGCACAAATAGTTTCTTGTATCAGCTTAAAACAAACTCCACTGGAGAAAATGTTAGTCAAAGCCTCAAAATAACATCAGCGCATACAGAACTTGCATAGAAAAACCTTGATTTGGAGAATACAGCTTGAAACAAATTACAAACGTCTGAAAAAAAAGCAGAGCACTTTAAGGTAAACTCAATGATATTGTGAGTTAAACATTCTCCAGTTGTAACTGCCTTCATCCTTCACTGGTGACATGCATGAATGAATATGCAACAGCTGCATGTCATGTGATTGTCTGCATGCTGTTCAATTGGTTCTGGGGTGGCAGCTTGGACTCACCATACTGTGATGTCATGCCGTTTAGCATATCTGGATGCAAATGATGTGCAGCTGGTGTCTCTGCTAGGCACAGCTGTTCTTTCTTCTTCCTGTATATAAATCACACATAAATCACAAAACACAAGACCTCATTGGTTTATTCATACCATTTTGAAGGGTAGGATGGGTCACTGAATTTGTGAAGGTGGTGATGTGGTAATTTAAAATCTGTAAGACTATTCACCCTGAGCTGAAAAGCACCATCAGCGGCAAAGGAGGGACAGGCTGGTGGGAAGTCTTTCCAATTTAACTTCTGGACGTGCCTAGCACACATGTGAAGACCATATATAAATTGCTTGCGCATAATCAGTGCACCCTGTGTCAAACCCACATATACCTGTGCACTAATGTGGTGAGTTCCAAGTCCCACCAAGGGACCCTCGTTTCCAAGTGAAAATACGCTCTTTCTTGTTCCCGCTCAGAGCCGATAAATCAATCAGATGGGTGAAAATCCTTTTGAGTAAACCCTATTTAAATTACGTACATCAAACAAATTTTACAGCAAACTACATGTACACATGACATGGTAACGGAGGCTCGGGTACGCAATGCTTACATCCGTGAGACAGAAGAATTTTCAGGTAATAATTTCATCTTTCAAATTAATTTCATTGTTTGATTTGTATGCCCTCACCTCAAAGCCTCCACCTTTTTCTGCCACATTTGCCATTCCCTTTCCAGCTGACGGCTGTACTCCTGTTCAAGTCGCAGCTCGTTTGCCAGGTGGAGGGAAGAACTCATAGAGACCTTCAACTGTTCAATGTAATGCAGTGCTGCAGACAGAGAAAAACACAAGGTTCTTTCTCTGCCAACAAACAAACTTCTTGGGTTTTATTATCCTCTCTGAAATTTTCAGAAAGCTGGATGCAAACTTCCCGTATGCATTAGACTAAGCACTGACTTTACTAAATACATGTACATTTCAAAGAATTTTACAGTCTTGATGCCGCAAAATGTTGCAAGTTCCCTATTGACACTCTCTCTTCAGGTTTTTTCCTGCACCTTACTTGAGTTTTATTTCCAATGAATCAGGCAGTTCAATTCCAGTAAAGGTGGAGAAATCTCCACTTTAAAATCTGAAGTTTGCTCACTACGGGAGGTTTGAGAAAAAAGAACGCTTGTGAGGAAAAAAAGTGAAGCTGGAAAAATGAGGGGACTCTACTACACAAAATACGTGGGTACCTCAATGTTACAAAACTTTCCTCTCTCACTTTTTTTGAGGATGACGTTTCGAGATAAGGGCGTGCGACCCTCCACATCCTGCAACCCCGGTACCAACGACCTCAGGTTGCTATACTGCTGCTGTAGGTCCTGCCGCCGTTTCTTCTCCACCAGCTTCTTGCCATCCCTGCGGACCTTGACCTGTGGACAGTTCCACTGATCAGTCAGCTCCGATCAAGGTACCGTCAGTTTCATGACCAATGCTCAAATGCTATGACTGCAACTTTGTTTATCTCAGTTGATACGAGGCATGAAATAGGATTCTTAAGACTTCAGTAAATGTAGGACTGCTTTCTTAAAAAGTTACTAAGTTTCAACTCCTCAGAAGCAGTAAAAAGGAGAAACTTCAACGTTTTGGTTTTTCTGCTAATGAAAATTTCCATCTTCATGACCAAACCATGACGTCATCCAAGAAGAACAGCAATGTCTCCATAACAGTGTGTCCAATATACCGGTACATGTATCACGCTTTTCTACATTTTCTTGAAGTAAATGCTACTTTTTACTTGTTTAATGTACTAAGCAGCGTGTTTGGAGAATTGGAATGGCCAATATTTCTTCAAAACTTTGCTGGTAGCTAATTTTTAGGACAATTTTTTGGCATATTTTCTTGAGCTCTTTTGATAAGAGGTGCCTTGAGTCTGTGACAAAAGCAACACAGCGCCCTCAAAAGAGTACTGATGAAAGGATTTTCTAAGAATGGAAAATCTACCACCACTTCCATTCAAAAGAACAATATACATGTAGATCTTGTCTGTAGTTTTGTAACAAAAAGTGATGTGCATAAAAACAAGTTGAGCCAAGTTTCCACTTCAGGTTTCCGTTAAAGTACATCAATAATACTTTATGTGTACATCGTTATTAGAAGTGTAACAAATTGTGGGAAAGGTCATCTCCTTTCAAGACTCACAGGACAAAGTTCACGACTAGGTACATACACAGTACACCCAATTAAATCTAGATTTTTCTAGTAACCCTTTCTGAAACAAATTTGGCATGCTTACTTTCAACTTGCCGTAGAACACCTCATCCTGATAGTCGGGGGACAGCTGAGCTTCGCGGTCACTGCTTGATGAAGACGGGGAGGAGTACAGGTCATCCACACCATCCACGCCATCTGCAGGGCTGCTCCCTCGGTTGTTGTTGTTGTTGTCACTCCTCGATGGGTCTGGCTCGTAAAACTCGGTGGCCCCACCACGGCAACCGGTCAGGCTCTGGGCGGCCAAGTCCATTGTGTGCTCCCCAGATGAGATGGCCAGACACCAGTGAACATCTTTTTGGGGAGCTAGATGAAAGGCTGGCGACTTCGAGGTGCAGAGACTTGCGGGGTCAGCCTTGCATTGAGGAGCATATGGTCAAAATTAAAACCATCTTGCTCCCCCTGGCCGGGGTGTGTTTCTAAAGTTCACAAGACAGAAGAAATGAAACTGTTATTAGCACAGAACTTTTAAGTCATGTCAATTCATTCCCCCCCCAAAAAGCAAAAAACATTTAAAAAAATTAGCGACCCCTCCAAATACAGTTGAACCTTGTTAATAAGGGGTCTTTTGGACTTAACAGATTACCTTGTTATAAACTGACTTGAATCAAGTCGGACGTACGTTGCTCCTCCCCAGTTAACCATCCCTTCACTGTATACAGTTAAGGGTCATGCGTGGCTGCTCGCATAACTTCTTATAAGGTGCCCCCATTTGATAGCCTTTCCATGATATCCGGCATCAAAGTAAAAAGGTTGTACAACGTGTGTCACCATGCCATACAGTCAGTGCGTCCGACTTGATGGATAAGCCAGTCAGACCCCCGTCAGTGATATGTACATGTGTAGTTATTCATAATTGCATATGAACAACATGATCATGCATTATGAATGCAGAATTTACACCAATCAAGGTAGTCAGACTTACAATTTCCACCAATCAAATTAGTCGGACTCGCAGACTCGTTCATTATAATGGAGGCATAAACAATGTAAAAAAGGCCGACAATTTGATTGGCTGCTATCTTTGTTGGTAGAGGGAGCCAGATGTAATTTGCTGTCTACAAACGGTTGGCAGATTCATCAAGTCAGGATTTCTCAACTCACAGTTATAAGTGGACACAAGAGGGCGCAAAATAAGTAAAAACACGCGGCCTCAAGTGCCCCATGTGAGCATCAAGTCGGTGTGATGTTTCCCGATCAAGTTGACATGGTTGATAATGGATACCTCGCCAATGTTAGTACTCTAAGTTCTCTAAGTACTACTATGCCAACTACATTACATGATTCAAATTCAGTCCAACATGTCAAAGGGTACAAGTTAACACTATAACTAGTTACTTCGACCATGCGCGGACCAGCAAACAAAATGAGAATCAAGAATTGGTGTGCGTCCAAACCCTGCAAACCATGCAAACTGGGCTGGCTGGCCAAATTTAGAGTGGCTTAAGTCTAAAACTACCTTCAACATGCTCAGAAAAAGTTCAAGGCTTGGGCTACTTCGAGACACGGAGTATCACGGAGTTCGTAACTTTGAGTTCTCGAAGTAAGGCCTACTGTACCGGTGTAGGCCTAGTAAGTGTACTACTGGTTAACGGCTATTTTCTGTCATTGTCTGTGTATCGATACATTTCCGACTCATACACTTTCCAGTTTCAATGACTAAGTTACACTTTATTCTTGACAGAGCACTTGCTAGCTACTAACAAGCATGACAAGTGAAAGACATAAGCACAGGGAGAATTTCTGACTCATGTCAGCTTTCCCCACTTTGGCCTTCCGAGAGACGTGCCATGCGTGCTGAGGGAAGTTCATCATGTTTACACATCTGTTCCCTGCTCTATGGTTTACGTAAGTGCATCCCGTCTAAAAACTAACATTTGTAACAATAGTTTCAAAACACATCAGGCCTAATTGTTCGCCTTGCTGACCTACCTTTATCTGTTCCTTGCTTTATGATCAGTGTTTATTTCGCTTTTGATCCTTTTGTAATTACTACACAAAAGAAATTAACAATGCATTATGGGATGGTGGTATGAATAATTCATAATGTTGTGAAAGATGCATTACGACATGCCGGTTCTATTTATAGAAACAGCAGGATCCGCGTATAAAATGGTAGTTGGCTACGCATATACTGTACATGTACGTACGTGTGCACATTGCAACAGACATACATGTACATTTGTACACTGTACATGTATAGGCCCCACATGCATCTTCGCTTGTTAGCTCGAACTCCAGAGAAATAGTAGACCTATCTGCCGTAAGTGGGTTGTTTTCTTCATTGTTAGTCCTTTATGAGAAATCATTTGGATTTTTAGAAATAATGGCCGGTAGGGATAATTTGGCCGGTTGACGTTAAGACTTTTGTTACGGCAATTTCACCGAGGCTATCTTCAGATCTTGTTCATGCATAGTTCATCGACATACCAGGCCTAAGTACAAGTAATAGGATTGTAAATTTGGGGACCCTGTTCCTATAATAGAACTAAGAAGGGAGAGCTACATTTTAACTTTTGAATTCACCTTGGTAGATGACTGCACAACCACAGCCTTACAGCACAGAGGTCTGGTGTGCATATGCCCAGCATGTGCCAAAATCATGTTGTTTACAATATGATGTCATAGATGAAGTACCATATTTTAGATGAACTGTGTTAAGTGTAAGATTCGTAAACTTGGATAAGGTTGAGAAATTTTCTATACTGAGAAATTGGTCAATAAATGTTGGGCCAGCCCTACAGTTGGGACAGAAACTATAGCCTAGTTGGGACGTAGCACAGCTGTACCCATGGTTGGCATGGTTGGTTGGTTCATGGAGGAAGGTTGGTTACTGTACTGAGAGAGTGAAACCAGAGTGCACGGTACCTTGACACTGCTGTCATGACCAGAATGCATGTATGTGTACAGTCATGCCCAGGCATAGTCATACATACTACATGTACATAGGCCTACATGTACATGTGCACACATGTACATCACCAGGCCTACACGCACATAGTACAGTATATGTACATCCTGTTTTGTCATGTCACTGAGTCATTAGTCATGTCAGTCAAACCCATGTTGGTGATATTGGCCATTTGTGGCCTAGCAAAACATGGAGCTGCCCTAGTTGGCCTAGCATGGCCCACTGAATTGATAGTGTGTTTATTTCACTGTGTACAGGTGTAACAGATTTTCAGTCCCTGTGACATGTTGGGCACGATGGTCGATCCCATAGGAAAACTCTTACTTAATGTCGCTGTTGGGTACAGTTGGTTGGTCAGCATGTTCACACTGTCATGTTTGGCCGTCACTTTATCACTGTCAGTTAATCCAATATGAAGACTCCGACTTTACTTCCCTTTTTTGAACAATCTTTGACAACCTTGAATTAGAATGAATAAGTTATTATCTGATGGCAGAATGATCAGCAAATCATGCATTGGCCCTAATGGAGATAGACGGATCGTGCAAAGATTGTGCAAGCTTGCACAGCTTGGAATTGAAAAGAGAAGATAGATTGGTGGTCGAATTAACAAATCTTGTGCAGGATCAATCAATAGGATGCAGCAGATTGATTCAGTCGTTGTAAAGGGATGTGGACAAGTTGTTTGGCGTGCCTGTCTTTTTCTTGTGTTGCATGTTTCACATGTTTTTCATTAAGGACAAACGATGTTAGACCGTACCCTGTCTACATTTTTTTCTTTTTAATTTGTTTTTTGTTCGAGAAAAAAAAGTGTTAAAAATGTGTTTTTGCATGTCACACTTCGTTATTAAAAATTGATGCTGGACACCAACAGTTTTTTCTATTTTTTTTATTTTACAAGCCATTAAAGTATTTAATTTTTTACTCAAGCATACTTCAACATTAGGTCTTCCTAATAAAACACCCGTCCATGGTACTCGTCGGTACTTCACCAAGTAAAACTCATTCCAATCCCCATGATCTGGCACATAATGAGGATATCCCAACTTCATGGACAAACCCACATACATGTATGCAACATTGAAAGTCCAAATTTTTTTCTACAAGCCATGCACATGTAGGTACTGAAGCCGTCATGTCTAATTGGGCTCGATCAGTTCACCGAATCTGTCGATCCTGTGGGAAATCTCTGAATTTCCTTCCCTTTTTGAAAATGATCTTCCACATCCTGGAATTTGAAAGAAAATGCAATTTGTAGATGACAGAATTATCAGTAAATCATGCAGTGAGATTGACAGTTCGCGCAAAGATCAAGTGATCACACAGATTGACTGAATGTGACCAACATCCACATGAGCGGACCTGTTGTGGTAATAACTGTCAACAAACTTGGTCATGAGACATCTCTGACGATCTAGGCTTGTAAGAAAAAAGCCAATCCACATCTGAACTCCAGCTTGAAAACAAACATTTCTGCGAAAGAGCGGAGCCTGCCATCTCTCTTTTTTGATTGGTCAAATTCAAACAAGAAGGCAGCCAGTCGGCTGCATGAGCCTTACTGCTGTCTTTGCACCTCGTTTCTCAACGTTCGAAATAAATACAATGAATTGAGAATGAATTGAAAATGATGTTTAGGATCCCAAGTAGTACTGTGAATGTATCATGCACACATAAAAATGCTTGTATTTAATATTTGTTGACAGTTTGTTGGCATTTGTTAATGCTATGGTTTATTCTGGTCAAATTGTGTACCATCAAGTTTGTAAATCAAGATTTTGGTGTGTTATAGCCAGTTTGGCCATTGTTCTCAGATTTGCAAAACAAAGACGAAGTTAAGTAACAGTTTTCTTCTGACTGTTCTAACGTAGAAGGATATGCCACAGCTGCTGTATGCATTGTTTGAACTCATCCACAAACATGTATGTGCAGCTACTTGTCCAAGTGGGTGGATCTTCTAAAGGAAGCACAGCATATATTAATTATCTGGTGATTATTGATTTCCTGTGTTTGATTCTCATGATCACTGATAATGAAACCTCTGCACTGTGTTTTGTCAGGATGTGATTGTTCTGTGCTGTGGAAGAACCCGCTACCCATGCACACACATGAATGCTTACATTCCTGGGTATATATTCATGTACATGTAGTTTCTAACGCAGTGTTTGAACTCAAAATTATCAGAGCGCTTCTGCCTGAAAGACGTCCCCTCTGTTTTTCTGCATATTTATATATTGGGTACAGTCTAAGACTTGTAATTTGTATATATTTTAAGGTTTTACAGGTAGGTACGAGGCAACATCTTTGATGAGGTTTACGTATAACATGTACAGTGCTTGAACATTGCACCAAATGTGTTGTGGATAGATTGCTGGAAAAGGGCAAGAAAAAATTCTCTAGAAAGAGCAAAATCTTCATTCATCAATGATAAAAAAACAGCCCAATCGAATGAATGATGCAATTTGTCAATAACGCAGATTTTTTTCTTCATTTTTGTCAATCAGATTGCAGCTTTTCCTCAGGCCACAGAGGTCCGCCATGCAGCAAGCAGCAACAAAAAACCTGCGGGCCTTCAAGACAAAATGTTTGGATGTGTACTTTGACCTGGACAACTCGGAGTACCGGGCTATCCAGAATATTGGCACAGGTGGGTCACATGGGGTTGAGCTACCGTACACGACTTGATGGGGGGGGGGCTTCTAGCAATCTGCTACAAATCTGTGGAAAGATTTTGGGTATAGTTTGTGAGATGTTTCCAAAATGTAATGTACCTCTGTGTACATGCTGGAGATGCAGGAAAGCAGGTTTGGTGCAGATATTTTGAAGGCTTGTTAAATTTCAAATGGACTGTGACAAAACCATTCCTTTTTCGTTGTTATTAGCAACTAGTCTTTTGACTGGACTTGCGATGAATTGGCATGCATACGGTAACATTGTATCATTACTATCCCATCACCCAGGTGCTTATGGAGTTGTATGCTCAGCCGTCCACAAGAAATCCTCAGAAAAAGTGGCCATCAAGAAGATCCCTAATGCATTTGAGGAGCTGACCACGGCTAAGCGGACATACCGTGAGCTCAAGATCATGCGCCACTTCCGGCATGAGAATGTAATCGGGATCCGGGAGATCCTGATGCCCAGGGAGTCTCTGAGTGACTTCCGGGATGTCTACGTAGTGCTGGACCTGATGGAGAGTGACCTGCATCACATCATCCACTCGCAACAAGCGGTCAGCATGGAGCACATCCGCTACTTCCTATATCAGATCCTCAGGGGGCTGAAGTACATACACTCAGCCAATGTGGTCCACAGGGATCTCAAGCCCAGCAACCTCCTGGTGAATGAGAACTGTGAACTTAAGATTGGTGACTTTGGGATGGCCCGGGGGCTGTCAGGGAGTGCCGACTCCAAACGGAAGATGTTTATGACTGTGTATGTGGCTACACGGTGGTACCGTGCCCCAGAGTTGCTGTTTTCCAATGACGATTACTCATATGCAGTGGATATGTGGTCCGTGGGCTGTATTTTTGCTGAGATGCTTGGCCGCAAGCAGATATTCCCAGGAAAGAACCCCATGCATCAATTGAGTCTCATCATCGAAGTCCTAGGGATGCCACCGGACAGTCTGCTTCGCTCGACAAACAGTGACCAAATCTACAACTTTTTTCACCGCAACTTTGGCGAGAAGCAGTCCACAAATCTGAGAGAGAAGTACCCCAACCTGGATGATGATGGGAGGGACTTGCTCTCCAAGATGCTAGTCTTCAATCCTTCAGAAAGAATCTCAGTGAAAGAGGCCCTCTCACATCCTTTTCTGGCTAAGTATCATGATCCAGATGATGAGCCCGACTGCTTCCCTGTGTTCGATTTCTCCTTTGAGCAGGAGGACCTCACCAAGCAGCAGATCCGACAAAATGTTGGAAAGATGATCTTGAAGTATCAGAGAACCAAACTCTTCGCCGGGAAGAAGTTGCCGGGCTCCCTGTCCATTGTCAAGACACCCACAGCCATTCCTGCCACTTCAACTGCCTGCCAAGAAACCAAAAGTGCAATATTGCAGTCGGCCGCTGCGCCTGTATTTCCTGCCAACCCCTTGCCAGTCAGCAATCCCCCAAGCACTGATCAAAGCTCAGATGCAAAAGAACCACCCCAAAAGGGCATCTTTAAAGTCCCTTCCCTCCCCACAGGTGAGAAAAAGCTGTTGCCAGCAGAGCCAAAGCCACCCCCAAAGGAAGCGGACGGAGAACCAGACGCTTTGAGTGTCTCGGCAGTGCCTACCTTGACTGTCACAAACGACGTGGACATGAAAAGTGCATCAAGATCAGCCCAGAATACTGCCGACAGTAGCATGGACAGACTAGCGCAGGGTGCATCAACTTATGCAACTCTTACTGCCTCATCAACTAACACCATCTCCGATGATGTTGAAATGAAAAGTGCCAAGGGCGAGCAAAATCAGTTAGTCACAGAATCTAGTATTGGACCCTGTGTATCAGAACCAGTAGATGTGGATATGAAGAGTGCAAGACAAGGGGAGGCTGGTGTCGTGAGTATAAGTTCCCAAGTTCAAAGCACACTAAACATTTCCAAGCAACCGGAATGTATGCAGAGTACCGGGCAGAAGACTATTTCGCAGGACACCAAGGAGCTGATCAAAGCCGCACTTCGGCAGTCAGCCTTGAAGAATAAAATGAGAAAAGGTGGGTTTCAGGTCCTCAAGCAAGGTCATAACAGGGGTCGAAATTAACTTCAAACTCTTGGTGGCCCACAGGGCCAGTGGGGAAGTGCACTGCACTGGCCCTTGTGAAAATTTGGTGGCCCACTTCGAGTACATGTAATGAAATCGATCAGGCCCACCACATATACCCATGTGCATCAGTTGAACTTCTCTACCAAAACAGCTGAATGGCCAGCCTGGCTGAACTTACATGTAAATACACTTTTTAAGGCCAAAAACTAGTTCTGCTTCTGGTTATGCGACCGATCCTAAATTTTTGGCACGACTGTAAAATTTTTATTGATAAGTTAGAAAAACACATTTAAAATTAAAAAAAGGGAAAAATAAATCCTGTCTTTACAAAACACCTGTCAACAAATTGTTCACGACTAAAAGCTTGCATTTTTTGTTTGCCTGCTTACATTTGCCACATTTGGAAAGAAAGTTTAGTTATTTTCACACCTTTGCATATCGCTATTGCAGTGGGGAAAACATGCATGTAATATTGCTCAATGCACAGAAGCAAGGCTTCACTGGTTCCCGTTCACTGCGCCACTGTCAAAGAAGGCATGATGGTAACGCGGCAACCAGTCCGTGCATCCTGGTCAAAATAGTGTTGTTCAACTCACCGTACACACACACAACTCTACAGCTGCACATTGAAAAAAAATTATGTCTACAAGTTAATTCCCAGAACAGATATGTCGTCTACATTTATGTATTTTTTGTGTTCACAAATTAAGTTTGAGATATTATTGCTCATACTTAACGATCAGATTTGACGCAACATGCCCTGTAAAGGTTCCATTGGTGTCTTTGGGAGATAAGATTAAACTGGCATTGTTAGAAAATGATACCAGCCAACATACCAGGTCAGGCGCTTGCCGCACATGAACTGTATGCATGACCGTGCAGTGAACAGAATGTCACGCTGCTACATGTGCATGCACCACATGAGCCCAGCCGTGCAGACTGGAATTATATCGTGAACTCAAATGTGCTGTGCTGGCTGTTTGAAATACGAGTGGTAAAATGTCATGAAAGTTTTGAAAATGTGGCAGTGTTCCTCAAATGACCAATGTCCCACTGGGCCATCGTTTGGGGAGAATGCAGTGGCCCGATCAATTTTTTATGGCCCCGCACCAACAGACCACCGTTAATATTGACCCCTGTCCTGATTCCAAGTGTGCATTCACCTGTCAAAATTTGCTGATTTGTAGTACTGGATAAGCTCAGGAGAGAAATGTGTGCAAATCTATGGGAACCTTGCAAACTACATTACTTTTAATGCACTTCAGAGAGAAAAAAAGAGATTTTACTGAGGAGGATTAGGATAAAGAGTCTTTCTTGGAATGTTAGCCATGGGATGTCCAGCTTTTGTGATATAAAGCAACAAATTCCACTTTCGGCATTTCTTGCTTTCATGAATTATTTGGTATATCAAGATTGACATCAAGAAAATGGATTTACATGTATTTTCTAGAAGTACTGTTTTGATAGTTCAAATGGCACAAATCCATGAAGGATTTTATATGAAAGTTGTACTGTACTGCTTATCACTCAATTAAGGATATGCTCACTGTATATTATCTCAGTTAATATGTTCAGGGTCATGAAATATGGGTCAGCAAATCATTTAGTTTGCTGTGGCTGTTTAACTGCATGACTTCACAAAAAATTTGAGTTTTATCCGATAGCAGAGTAAAGAACATCCATGCTATAGGTTTTTGTGCATATTTTCCCCACAGATTCAGAAGCTGAAAAAGGTGGTGGGAAGATTCCGGTCACTGCACTCTCCCGCCAGAGGGAACGGGAACAGAAGCGACGGCAGAAGCTGCGCCGGTCGCTGGAGAGACAGAAGAGAGGCAAGGGGAAGGGTAAAAAAGCCACTGAAAACAGCGAGGAGGACAAGCACCAGCTGCTGACCAACGAAGACCGAAACCTGCTGGAGAGGTGGAACAAGATGCTGAGCAAAAAGAAGGAGATGGAGGAATCGACCGGAGAGACTGACAGAGCTGACAAGGAGAGCTCCAGGCCAGGACCAGACCTGGGAAAAGTCAGCCAGGACAAGTCCCTTCTGACTCACAGGTGTGTTGGGTCGGATGCTGCATTGGCTACATTATCCGCCGACGCTTCCAAAAGCACCCAAGGATCACCCAATTGCTCCTCACTGGCTGAGCCCCAAGTGGGGGAGCCACTCTCTTCTATGACAAGCACGGTCTCCTCACTGCAGCAAAAACAGAAAACTGCCCAAACTGGACCTGAACTCTGTGAGAAAATTCCTGCCAGTGGGGCAGTCGAACCAGCCAGCATGCTCTCCCAGCAACAGGTGTCAAGCCTTGGAAGCACTCCTCCCTCTGTCATCTTCACCTTCCCCATGGCTACACAAGCTCAGCAAAACTCCCTCAGCGGAACCATAAAATTCCTTCCAACTTCAGTGAACAGTTTTGGAGTAAATGACCCACAGCTTTTTCTCAGCCAGCCATCCAGCCAACCCATGAACACGAATCCAAATCACAGCTTCCTCCCCCAGAGTGATGTAGAAAGCTCAAACGGCACAACGGCAAGACCGATAAGAGACCAACAAGTGCCTATTGCAGCAAGCTCCACCAGCAAACCTCCTGCATCTACTGCCGACAGTGCCATAGCTCAGTTGCTCGAGAGGTATCCAACTGCTGTGTCATCATCCTTCAGTCCCACAGGTGTCAAGGGGGATAGTAACTCCGGCTTCCAACAGTATCGTACACGCCATTATTCCGACCGTGAGACTCCTTCTCCACCGCACAATATCCAGCAGTCTCCACCAGCTTATGAAGATGCACTGAAGAAGAAGCTTATTAATTACAAAAGCCCAACAGGTACGTATACATACATTGATGTCTTACATGTTCAGAAAAGGGGCCCAGTTTTGGGCTTTTTCAATCAATGACATTTTTATGCTTACCTTGTAAGTGCAGAATCTTTAGTTAAGGGATGTACTCAAAAGCATAAACCGAACACATTATTAACCTGCAAACAGTGCTCACCAAATGCATGTGTCTTTCTGTCAAAGTGTCTTTTTCGTTCTTATTGCTTTGTTTCTGAAACCTGAAGAGATAAGCACCTTTCTACCAAAATCAACTCATCTATTAAATTATTTCATAACTTGATTTCTGTTTTCGCGTAGGCAACCAGCACAGCTACCTGTACAAGCAGAGCTCTCAGTACCACAATGCCAGCAAGCAGAGCCCTGTAGCAACTGCGGATCCTCAAGCCACCCAGCCGAACCCATCCACCGACCCAACGCCGCCCGACCTAGCCCAGGTGATTCGGCAGCTCTCCAAGTCAGCCATGGAGGACAGCCTGCCCCCGGTCTTGCAGGTGACGCCCAAAGGAGATGGGGCTGGCTACGGACTCAGCATGGACTTGGAAGACTGGTTTGAAGGTTCTCTTGGCTCACCCCCAGGAGCATGGTAAGAGACAATTATATTATATCCCTAACCCTCCTTAATTCTCCCAAATCCTCTAAGTGGTTTCGGAGGATTTTGGAAGAATGAGAAAAAAGGGTAGAAAGAGTGTGGCTGATTGTATCCAGGTTGTGGGTTAGACCTTGTGCTGTGTATGCTCAGCCATGCATAAATTCATGTCTAGATTATACATGAAATCATCCATGCTGCTCCAGGATACCATTCGTACTGCCTCAACACAAGGACAGGACTTGCCAGAGAATTTTGGAGGATTGAAGCTGAATGCAATTTTTGCGTGGATAGTTGGAGGATTTGGAAGGATTGAGGAAGGTGCCTTGCCAAAAGGCCTAGGGGTTTAGGGTTAAGTGTTACCTTTGCGTATGTCACAAGCAGAGATTTGCCAACTAGTGGTTGGAAAAGTTAGAGCTGGCCATCAGTACAAAAACAAAGGAGCAAATTGTTAAGCAAGCTTATGTGAATATTCAAGGAAGAATCTAGGACCAAATTTTTGGAGGAGGGGGGGCTTGTTTTAGGGGTCCAAAAAAAATTCATGTAATCTTCTATTGCTTTGTGATGGATGAGACTACATGCAGGGGTTTTGCATGTTTTTGAAAGGACGTGGAATGCAGAAGGCCCAAAAATTCACCTTTAAGTTATTTCAGAAGAAATTTTTTTTCCCGTTTCTGGCCCCCCATCCGCCCTTGTGAATATTAATACCCTAAATAATGAATATGCCCACTTAATACTGACAGGAAACACCAAAACTTGTTGCCTGCTAGTGATTAACATTCTGCAGACTTTTGGGTCGCCCATACAAATAGCAATCAATGTTTATAAACCAAAAACTTCAACAAGGCTTATCAAATGCAGTTGTTAAAGTGTAACCAGTAATGTACCAACAGTACCTTTCAGCAGAACTCAGTTATGTAAAAAAGTATGGTTACTGTTTTTTTAAACTTCTTGCAGTAAGCTGGATTCAGGACCCCTCTCTGCATCGCTGCTGTCTGATTGGTTGGAAGTGCGAAACATGAATATGGATGACATGATGGCCGTACAGCAAGAACTGGGGTTGATGTCGCCATTCAACATGTTGGACATTCCTGGCCTGGTGGTGTCTCCCAAGGATAAGGATAGGGTTTAAACCCAGGTCATATGTAACGGGCCTGGTGTCAGTTATTGACCGTTAATGAGGCGACAGTTATTGAAGGCTGTAATGAAACTTATGGTAAAAGTGACACTTTATGCTTTCCCAGATTAGAGGGATTCTAACCAAAAAGAATGTTCTGTAACTTTGTGCAGTATTTGTTTTTAGGGGTTTGTATAACACACCTGAAATTTTCAAATATAAGGAGTTGTTGGCTCTTGCTGAGTGTTTAGTGTATATGTATCAAGGTTTTGGGATTGTTCAGTTTCTAGCTGGACTGTGCCAACACTGAACTCTTAGGTCTGTACCTTTCTTGTGGGTTTGTAAGCTCAGACTTTATAGTTTTCTGGTGTGTTTGGTGACCGTTAATTATAGTGTGGATTTGGTTGGCAACATGCTCTTGGTTAATAAAGATATGGACTGACCTAGTGGAAGTAGCAAAATGTGTAAAGAACAACCTAAAGCCCTATTGATAATGGGTAACCATTCATTGTACCACTGTAAACTTGAAAATGTTTTTATGTGGTGTGCATCGTGTGCTGTGGTCTTCACACTCCACTAAGAGTGCGGTAGTAACTTCATTGTTTTTCTAGGGTTTATAGTGCCAACCTGGGCTTCAATAAATATTTCTTTAAAAGTCCAGACAAACCCCATGGGCAGATACCTCTGCAGCATGACCGCTGTTCAAGAATGATTTGAAAAGCTCTTTTGACTTGTTTACTGCATGTTAGCCGTCTGCTGTCTTGCAAGTATTTAATGTGTTGTGTTAATTACGTCTTTCCTTCAAACGTTGAAAACTGCCGATTAGTTGTGCTTTCCGATCATTAATTAACAGTGTCTTGGAATTCAAATACATGTATCTTGCCCAAGCACCAATAAAGCCTGATTCTTCCATGATAAGTATCATTTATTGTCATGCAAACTTGGCGGTAATTAAAATCTGAAGTATTCAGCATATCTACATTTATTCAGTTATTTGGGGATGAGCAACACAGGTTCCAACAGCTATCCAGTTCGTAAGTGTGACGTCACTTCAGTTTAAACCACGCCCACTGCACACGTGCACTGCACTGCACCTAGGATTACCTGCATTAATCGCCATTTACATGGAACCATGGAACTGGAAGTTCACGCGCAACTTCAGCGATTGTCCAATGGGAGCCGGGAAATCGTATGGCGTCCGCCTTTGTGACGAAGTCTCTTACGAATTGGATAGAATACCGACGTGACTACGACGGGCACAATAAAGTACTGGTATGTTTGCACAAGGCATCAGTGTGAGAACCAACACGTGCATACTCGAGTTCGTTTGAACTGCATTTTCTTGTTAACAGTGATGTCATCTTGTTCACAGTGATGTTACACTTCCTGTACTCAATACCAAAATGAGCAAACCATTTCCAATTTTTTTTGGGGGGGGGCAAGGGCCCGTTCCTCAGGGGCAATTTTGTATAAAAAATAATGCAAAGGAAGATTTCAGACTGTATTTTCCCTACCCAAAGCATATATATCCCTCAGAAAGGACATGGAAAGTTACCTAATTTCCCAATCCCCCCCAAAAAAAAAATTCCCTGCAAATGTTAGTTTCTGTTCCGCCAGTGGTTAGTTTACATGTTTGTGGACATTCCGTGGTTTTGTTTCTTTAAAACCGGAAAAACTTTACTCGCGCTGTGAAAACTTGGCCGGCAAAATATTTTGCCGGAGTCCAAAACCATTTCGAGGAAATCACCTACATGTAGGCCTATTTGAACAACATGTGAAACCTCTGAAATCATGCAAGCTCTTTATACATTTATTTTCTAAACTAATATTATTAATTATCGGTCATATATGTCGTCGAAAGGGATCCTACAGTATAATGAATGGAGGCAAAAAAAATACACTTTCTACCGACGGAGGGTAAACGCTATTGTCATTATCATAAATATTCATGACCAGACATGATATATCAAAATTGTCCGACAATTTCATACTCTTGAACAGTCTGTCTTATATTGAATCAGAAGAAGGAAATTGGTATAAAAATGACATACGAGACTTTTTAGTCTTCAAGAATAAACTGTTTTGTTCAAATGGTAGAATAGTAATTTAAAGACTTAAGACCAATCACGACTCATTTTAAAGCTAAACAGAATCACGTGGCGGCCATCTTGACTGACATAAAGGAACACGTGCGTAGTTAGTTTATAACTGACTGATGTGGCGCTAGCGCTGTGCACCGACAGTGTAGAGATTTTTAGTTGTCGACTGTGCATGTGAGCTGAGCTGAAAATTACTGCCAGAAGACAAATTTAGACCAGCAGCTGCCTATTAAGACACAAGGTAGGAGTAAGTTGGACGTTCCCCTCCCAAGGTTTTTATCGTCACTGGTATTTAGCAAACAGCATGTGTTTGGAGCAGCGATAATTGGCCATGGTCAGTTTTGTCAAAGCTCGGACAACTGGAAACAACGAATGAACGATCTCTTTACACTTCGGGCAAAGAGGTAACTAAGCACAGTCTTTCCATCCTTGAAAATGAGTGCAGTCTTGTGGGGTAAAAATGCATTTAAGCTTTCTTACTGCCCTAGTATTCCCCCAAGAGTGGTTCACTATTTTCAAGGACCCGTGCACTGTAGCTGTGCAGGCGACATGCGCTGGCGAGCACGGACGAGCAAGAGACGATCTGCCAGAAAACTGGCCTTGCAAGTTGTAGAATGTGGCAGACTTTCCCCAAAAATTCCGAGCATACCTCACGCGCTCTAATCCCCGTGAATAAGTGCTCATGCGCACTGGCGAAAACCGTAGTCGGTGTGGTATTCGGCATTATAATTATTCACGAACTTCAACGTGTGAGGGTAAGCCTGCCAGATTCTATAAGACTGGTTTTCTGGCAGGTCGTCTCTTGTGAATATAGCGCCCTCTACTGGTAGTGCTTTTCGGCTGTGCTCGCTAGTGCATGTCGCCTGCACGGTGATCGGGGCCAAAACAGTAAAACCATTCCTGAGGTGAGACTAGTACTGCCCATACGTGTCCGCGTGAGTGTACTCAACAGAGGCCCCGTCCCTGCTCTGGTGGTAGGCCAGTGCCAATGTGTAATATTTGTGATATGAACCCAGTTCGACCGTTGTGGGGCTTTGATGTTTTATATTTATCATTTTGGACTTGGCTAATTTAATACAAAGGAACTGTCTCTGAGTACCAGTGGTATGGGGTCCATCTTTCATGGGTTTCAAAATTTGACTTTTTTGTTGTATCACAAAAATTGTTATTTAAAGTGTTCTGACCGTGCTTGGCCCCTTAAATGACTGCAAGTACATGACATGGAACACGATAGGGTGATACTATACTAGGGTGATACAAGAGTGTTGCTATAATAACCCTCTTCAGTCCTCCAGCTTTCCTTCTTTTTTCATTTTTAATTTTCACTCATGTATCTATTGACCGAGAACAGAATTCACAAGGACCAGAGTGTGTGTATTTCCTCAGCAGAACAAGTGGATCTGACAAAACAATACGCAATGTAGAGATCCAGTAATTCTTCCCGTTTGGGTATTTTACTCTTTAGAAAAAGATTATTGAGGAGGTTCTGTTGAGGAGGTCTATGGAATTGGACGCTGGTTGTAGGCCTATCGGTGTTGCAGCCACTTGCGGCAGAACAATTTTCGAACCGGGGGGCCAGGTGCTAGACAAACAGGCATCAGCGATTAATAGGCTGATCCATTAAGCCCCCGCCCCATTATAGGACATGCAAAAAGTGAAGGGGCCGCTGCCCCCCCCCCTTCCGCTGCAAGTGGTTGCAGCGTGACCCTCGTAAATATTACTTTGGTAGTTCTTTGGTAGTGATAAATCTTGCATTAGGCACGGAGACTTTATTATCTTACCGCTGAACCAAGTTCTGTACTGACTCATGACACATTAGGCCGAAAAATTCATTTTACCTTGTGCTTATTGCTTACCTAGCACACCTTTTGTATGAAAAAAAGGTTGATTAATCAACTTCTTGCGACATAGCTACAACCCATCATTGTACCACACTTACTAGTTTTTCAGTAAAAATGTGGATCTGCACAACAGTGGAGCCCGGCTTCGACGAGACACAACAGACAGTAGAGTTTTATTACTTATTTTGCATTTCATAAATGCTAGGTCAGTTCTAAGAGGTGACAATAAAAATCACAAGAACCTTAAGCGACAGTTTTGAAGGCACTTTAATATAAACTGCATTTTGATGGAGCATCATAATCTATTATCACAAGAACTCTTGAAAAGCGAACGTATTTTTTTCTGCCTCACTGAGCTGATTTTGACTTGTGGTTACATATTAACAATAAAAACTCGCAAAATCAGATTTCGTTGGACAAGAACAGAAACTGGATTGACACAATCAACTCAACAATCCATTCGAATTCTTGTGTTGCCGGTGCTTAAGTCGCTCAGTGACTCGCTGCGCTAGAAGTGTTTCCATGACAGCACGCGTGGCATGCAGGACGGTCGCTCAAATTGCCACATTGATTGGGGCGCAGTGCTCATCAATATGATTACTGTTCTCGCACACTTGCGTGCACCCAAGTGTGAGTAAAGTATAGGCAGAAACGGTTTTTACAAGCTGTTTAAGCTTTCAAGGACCGCCAACATGAAATTTACTGAAGAACACATCTTGCGTAACTTTTTGCCCCTCTTAAATGTTTAGAAATTATTTGGCATCCCTCTGCGACTAAGTAGGAATCGTATATTTTTTTTAATTGAAAAATTTCCACGTTTTCCCTGAAAAATGAGGGGGTGGGTATTGTTGCTGTAACGTCATTTAAGGAGACTACTTCATAGCGGGATTTGTGTTTATTCTCAGCAATTGAAAAACTTGCTCATTAAAAACAATTATTATTTTGTGTGAAAGTTTAAATGCCTGCCGGCCCATTCTCGTGCACTTAAATGACATCAAATCCCAAGATAAAAAATGGAAGGCGCTAATATTCAAACTTCTGGCACATTGCCCTAACATTGCGTTTTGTCCCAAATTAATGTTACACTTTTGTTCATAAAATGGTATGTAGTTGAAGCTTTCACCCTTTGACATGGAATATGCATACAGGCATAATTGAAACTAAACAGTGTCGTGAATCTCTTCTCAAACATAGGTTTTGAGATCGTTTCTCAGTTTTGTTTTTTTTGTAAATAATGTTAATGAAGTCATATTTAGTAGTAATTTACAGCTATAGGTAGGCCGATAGGTATTTATTTCAACATTCTAATTTCAATTTAGAGTGAAATTTGACTCAATTCGAGTGAAAACCCAATCTCCCCAACTGCAACTAGGGGCCAGACAAATTCGAGTCGAAGTTTTCTACCGCAGTAAATCGAGATTCCACTTGAGTTTCCACTGAAAGATTTTTTTAACTACTTTAATAAAAATCCAGAGGAACTTTCAGTCTAAAATGTCTCTAGAAGTCCCTTTTTAATTTAGAGCACTTTCAAGAATTCAGATGCTTTTCCTTTAATTAAAACTATGCCAATCCCGAATGGTAGCTGTTCCCACAATGGTGACTGTATATATTGTGTTCGTTTAAGTGCTCATAAAATTTAATATATATGCCGTGTGGACATAATGTATAACGGTTATAAAGGTTTATACTGTCGAGGAGCACTGACCTTTTCATGGCTCTTCACAATAAAGAACAGTTAATTGAATTTTTAATTCCATGCTTGCCATATCTTTTGGTGAGTAAAAATCATGGGTTAAAAAACTACACTGTGAACGAGTGTATGATTGTTCTGTTCTGATTCAACTTTTACTTCCATAATTTTTTTAGGATAAAAAATAAAAGGAATAAATCCTTTCATTGGTCATCCACCTTGATATAAGTTGCGCGAGTAAACAAAATCTGTATCTGACACATACCATCAAATATAGTTTGCCTTTCAAAGGTGCACCAGCTCGAGTTTGATGAGCGAGACTGTCGTCGTCCATTTTACAGTCCCACAAGTCCAAATTCCCCGACAGCAACATTCATGAGGTACATAAACTTCGTTTTTTTTCGAAACATCGTAGATCCACGAAGGTCTTGTAATACTTTTTTTTTACAATTGTATCTTAATCTGAACAAATTTTGAACTTTTCCTTATAGTGACAGATAATTGAAATTGTACTGATTTCCAGTATATATATTTGAACGAGTTTGTACATACGTGTGTTTGGGGAAGAAGTATTTGAGTGTTTGGACTTTCTTTTTTTTTTACTTGAAAATAACTCTCTTCTTACTGAGGAAAAGCAAGGGGCTTGAAATTCAATACCAATACTATTGGTAGGTATTGATTTTACCAACTATTGTTGGTATGGATTTTCAAGCCCTTTTTTCCCTCTTGTTTAGAATAAATATTATGCTCGTGCAAATATGGTTCTTGATTTATGATCTTAACTATTTAACCCCATGCACTGGTCGTCCATTTTGGAACAGATTTAGATAGTGTCTCCCGACAGTGGCATGTTCACTGCAGGCGCAGGCGTCTGGTTCCCAGAAGGAAAATGTCTGTTGATTTGGTACATATCATGGGTCATCAAGGTGGTTACGGTGGGGCTATGTTTCTGTCTGCGGTTCCTCCAATAGCCGAGCGCGAACGCCCTCCTAAAAGCCCGCCGATAGCTGGTGTTTGTTAGTGTATACACGAGGGGATTTACGGCAGAGTTGGTGTAGACGAGAATGCGGTTGATCTCAAACAGTGTGTTTGAATGTTCGGGCTTGATGAGATATTCCGTCAAGAAACTTTGAACGAAGAGGATCACAGAGGTCACTTCGAAGGAGTTTGTGGTGAGGAAGAAGACCGTTCCGTTGGCGACCAACATGACTGCGACCTGGTTACGGGTGCGGATGGTGCGCTGTCGGACGTGCCTGTCACGCTGGTGGAGCTTCAGTAGGATGCGAGTGTAGAAGTATGCGTTACCAAAGAGCGCAAAGAAGAACGGCACGGTCTGGGTAACATAGAACATTTGGATGGGCCATAGTCCCTCCACGCCCTGACATTGACCAATGATGCCCGGAAACTTCTCGTGAAGTCTTGGATCTTCGGTATTCCATGAGAAACAGTACTGTTTGAAATTTAGTTTGGAAGGGATAACAAGAAGGGCAAGTAACATTGCTACGATCCAACAGGCAACCGTCAGTTTGACGGAGCGGCTGCGACTTCTCTTCACTCGGTGGCGGAGCGGGTGGCACACGGCCATGTGCCTCTCAAATGAGATAAACGTGATCAGAATCAGACCGGCAAAGTTGAAAGTGTACTTCCAAAACATCTGCAGGACGCAGCCGACTCGGCCCATCAAGGGCATGTCATTCGGCAGGCCGTACATGACATAAGCTCGTATTCTGGAACCGATTGTGATGAGCAGGAACATCATGTCCGCGACAGCCAGGTTAGACAGGTAGAAATTGGTGGCCGTCCGCATGCTGGGGACGCGGGCCACGGTGAGCAGAAAGCCGATGTTACCGATCAACCCAAACGCGAGGATTACCGGCTGTACAATTGCAATGGTCATTTCTTCAAAGTTGCTGAAGAGCAGATAGTATGAATCTGCTTCTTCGGCGGAAGAAATGTGGCGTGTATTGTTATCTGTGCAGCCCTCCTTGGTGCTAACGGCCAAATCCATCTTCAAGATCTGTCAAGAGTCGACTGAGAAATTAGGACAGAAGAATTACTGATTATTGCAGGAAGCGTCTCTCTAGAAGAAACTCTGTGTGATATGGTTCGAAGAAAAGCACCTGGCTTTGCCAGTTTTTGCCGTAAAGGTGCCTTTAAATAGGTTACTGTTAGACGGGATCTGCCTGCGTACAGGCCTATATGATATAAACGGTTTCTAACCGAATTAGCGTGTTCTATTTGTTCTTGTGACAATTTGTACTTACGATCCACGCTAACTTTATTCATAAGTCAAGTCACGCGAGTCACAGTTTTACTGCCGCACGAACGCAAATTCGCCACGAGAACCACTTGTGTAGGTTGTACACCCACTTCGGATTCTTGCGTTGTCTCGATGGTCAAACTTCATCGACACGGGCTAATACTCTCTGAATTATTTAAGATCGGCGTAATATTTGCTGTGGCTAAGGTTAGTTTAGCGGCAGCGTTTATTGAATTAGATTTCACGCAACAACAGAATACCGGCGTTGGAATGAATCCCTGGCTACGTTGGAGGAAATGTCCTGGACTCGCTTTTCCGGGCCGAACCGCAAACACAAATGCAATTAATTAAGCGTCCCCTGTATTTGTAGTTCGCCAAGGGAAAGTCATTTTGGGACCGTCGTGCGGCCTCTTAAGTTTGCCCCGAATAAATACGGATTTCTCTGACTTCGGTTATGAAAACAGGACGCCTTTCGTGTCATTCTAAATGATGGTGGAAATAAGACAAGTAAGTGTTTCAGTGAAAGTAGTTGCAGGTGTAGTAGAGTGTAGTACTACAGTGTAACGGAGGTAGACGTTTGGTCATACAGCTTACATTTATGTTTAAAGGCCTTAATTATGTTCAGAATATGCTCTCACGTGTATGAAATTTGTGTCTGATGGTGAGAAATAATACCAGAAGTATTAAATCAACAATACAATTTTGAGATCAGTTTCTAGGGGTGCAGAGACACAATAATGAACCACACGTTTAGGTGACGTAAATTCTAAATCCCTTCACAAGTTGCCTAAAACTAAAGGGAGACTCACATTTCGAAATTCAGACCTTGTATTTACATTTTACCCTCTAATTTACTGTCAACACAATAATTTTTTTTTCAAACGAGGTATTGGAATTTCAGTTTGCAAAATACAGGATATTTGATCGCATTTCAGAAAGTCTGATCAATTCATTTTACATTTTGTTGCGTGTAATGATCTCGTTGCGCCGCCCCGCCCCGCCAGCAAAGATTTGTGCCCTCTTTCTTTCTAACAAACGGCACTGAATTATTGATAGTATTAACAATTTCAGGAGGTGTCGTTAAACGTTCATCAAATTAGTCATGTGCACCAGTATATTGTCATCCTCATCAGTTTCCATTCATGAGAGTCGATGGAAAACGAAGACGGTCAAGTTTACTCTGGGCAGCTGGGTTTACTCTGAGTTACCTGAGATCAAAGCAACTACGACCCAGATTCAACCTTGAAACGCTGAGTAGTACTGCCGTAAGAGGGTCTGCTCTTTTGACCTGACTGTCGTGTTTTTTTTCTACTTTTCTGCTAAAAGTAGGCCTTCGGTACAAAAGAAAAACAGTAATTCACGAAAATCCCACGCAGCTATCAGAACACCAGATAAACTATAAATAAAATACATTCTATTTACAATTAACGGAACAAATGTCCATTTTGAACGAATTAGAGGTAAAATCGAAAACCAGTCAAACGTGATATTTCTGCAAGCTTTGGCCACCCATACAAGTTGTAGGCAAAACGAGAGTTGTTTATAAGCTGTTTGTTGGGCATTCTAACATAATGTCTGCTTTATCAACGTCCAAAACATATCAAATAACCACTTTTAGTGTCCAACAAACTGTTAGCTGTAGTCTTACTAAATTAAGTACAAACCAACCAAATTATTGAGCATACGCCAAAGTAAAAAAGAGGCAAAACAGTTTTAAAATGGAAAAAAGCGAAACAATGTAGGAAACAGTATGCTGACTGCATTATTAGCCTAGAAATCAATTAGTCAGTATAGAAAATGTCATGGAGAAGAAATGTTTACGACTAATCGGCTTTTAATTGACCCATTCTTGCTTCTTTCTACGTCATTCATAATCGTCAAATAATGAATCAACACACTTGACGTCTGTCAGAAGGAATTATTAGCGTCAACCTTAAAAGCCTTGGTCTTCCTTTCTTTCGTTTTTGTGGTGCACATTTAGGTTTCTTTTTTTTCGACGGATTACAAGCCAATGTTGTGACAGCGGGGACACTATTCACATCTACCTATTTGGCGTCATCATGTCTTTTTAATTCTAATTTGCTAATCTTTCTAATTGCTAATTCCGCTTTCGATGAAAGTGCAGCGCTGCGTCTCCATCCACTTCCAACCCCCTCCATAGAACAACTACTCTTCGCAGATTGGCAATTCATTATGGAAAGCACCTCTGTTTTCGCTAAAATGGGTCTGCTGTTGACCTTTTTCATCCACGTGACTGGATTGCGCTAAATGTAAACAGTACCACCACGTGTGGACCGCCTTGGCCATGGTGATCGCATTATATTCCCACGGGCAGCTTCAACCGCGTGCAAGCGCACGTGCGAGCGTTACATGTTTGACTAGTTTATATTAAATAAAAGATTACCATCACAACACTGTGCACTCATTACCATCACAACACATCGCTGACCAGCACGATTGTGACATCACAGGAAAAAGGTCTATAAAATAGAACCCTATTTCAAAAATCATTAAGGCAATCGTTGTTGCACCGTGTACTCCCGTGCGAAAATCGATTTCCATTCCGCAGTGCACAATAATTTTGAAAACCTCTGCTTGTTACAGTGAAATTGTACAATAACACGAAACACTTTAAAACAGTACTCTTTTTAAATGAACATATTAACTATAGCCTTTAGAACTTTCTTTCCGGGAATTTACCGTACTCTTCCATTTAAAGACAACAAACGAAGAGCAGACGGAGCCGTACTTCATGCATCGATGTCATAATTGCTAAAATAGTTACCGGTATGTAACCGTCAAGACGGTTAGTACCACAAAAAAGGGTAAGTCTTTCATTAAGAGCAAAAAGAGACAAGGCCATAGAATGAAGTCAAGACGACGTTATCATCTTGTCGAGACTCGTCATAAGGCAGTTTTTGCCCGACTCGATCTGGTTGTTGTAGCTACCGTCAGCAAAATGAGTTTTTCATTCACAAGTGTTGTGTTTCAGGTGGTTTTTTTGTGTCCCCGGTGGCAGTGACGCAGTGATGGTATCCTCTACCTGTTGGTACAGTATTTTAGTCATAAACATTATATTAAAAGCGTTTGAATTACAAACTCTTCTGGTACTCGCTGGATGTGAGAGCGTGATGAACACCATGTCAAATTACCATCGTGGAATTCGCTGGAATTATGATTTTTTACCAAAGGGAAAATGTCTCTTTCCAATTCTAAAATGGTACTGCATAATTAATTATGTCTTCTGGGCGCCATTTTAACGGCACCATCGCTTGCTTGGGCAGCTGACTGAGTGAACGACTTCATGCATTCCCACTGATGGTTGTGCCTATATCTGTATTCCGTCCAGCGTTGCTACTTTTGCGTGACTACTCACATTTTAAGTTTTGTTGTCCCTGTGGCAGTTGCTCGTCCCAGTCTTCCTCGTTTTCATCAGGTTTTGGGGTCACAGTCTCAATTGGATCGAAACAGGCGTTGGAGTAGGTGGCCGGCCGCGCTACCATCGGACTCTTGGGCGGCGATTTGGGGCGAGGAATGGGTGCAAGTCCTCCTGAGTTGATGTGGTACTGGGAATAGTAATCAGGAAACGTGCTAAATATCGTTGAGTTCTCGCCTCGTCTTTTACCCCACCTGGCCGGCCTGAACGCCCTCCTGAAAGCCTGCCTGTATCGGGCGTTGGTGACGGTGTAAACGATGGGGTTCACGGCAGAGTTCGCGTAAAGGAGAACCCGATTAGCTTCGAAAAGATTGTATCGAATATCGTAAGGTATAATTTCCACTTCCAGAAAGTTTTCGACGAAAAGTATCATTGAGGTCACTTGGAAAGCTGTGAGCGTTAGGAAGAACACAGAGCCGTTGGCCACCAGCATTAGGGCTACGTGGTTACGGGTGCGGATGACACGCTGCCTGTCACTCGACGAGTTCCTCTTGTTGAGCTTGAACACAATGCGGGCATAAAAGTAGGAGTTGCCGAAAAGAGCCATGAAGAAAGGGATAGTCTGTGTCAGGTGTAAGAGTGGGTTGACCCAGGGTTCATCGAGTCCAAGGCATTGCCCAATGACTTCGGGGAAGTTCTGGTAGAGCACTGAGTCCTCGAGAGGCCACCGGACACAGTATTGGATGAACCGCACGGAGGTGGGGATGAGGACTGCTGCGAGAGCCGTCGACGTCAGCCAGCAGGCAAGGACCAGCTTGGCGGTGCAGCCGCGACCGCTGATGAGCCGATGCCGCAGTGGGTGGCACACAGCGATGTATCGCTCAAGGGACATGAAGGTGATGAGGAACAGACCGGCGAAGTGGAAGATGTAGACGAAGAGGTTATCCGCGACGCAGCCGGCCACACCAAGGACGTCATTTGGGACGCCGTACACCGCGAGGGTGTAAACCCGGCCGATTATCACTATGGTCAGAAACACCATGTCAGCCACGGCCAAGTTGGCGAGGTAAAAATTTGTCACGGTCCGCATGCTTCGGACCCGTGCTACCACAAACAAGAAGGCGCTGTTCCCAAGCAGTCCCACCAGGAGAATGCACGGTAAAACGTACGAGGTCATGACTTTCTGCACATCCGCGTACATGAACCTGCTAGAGTTTGTCGACGTGAGGACCTTTATGTCCGCGGTCGTGCATTGAAGAGTACTCGTGTCGGAACCCATCTCTATCACGTTGCGACACACAAGTATGGAAAACTGCGATGAAGGCAATCGTTGACCACGCCAGACTTCCAAACCCCCAACTTAGCCAGTCTTCAATTAATTTTCTCTGGTTCCAATACCACAAAAAAGAGGCCAGCATGTGCAGGCCTTCTTCTGGCTCCGGGTTTGGACGTTTTATTAAAGAAAGTGGCAAGGATGGTCAACATGTGGTTGCTTCCACACACGTTTAGGCGCTTACATCACGGTGTGCATTCGTAGAGTTTTCGACTTTGTGATGCAGCGACATCGTACATCTACCAGGGAAAAAAATGGGAAAAACTCCACTGTCTGGAGGGAACGCGCACTCTAGAGGTTTAATGATGATGTCTGGTTAATCATTGAAAAGCTGTTGCCGATGTTTCTATATTCGAAGGCATGTCACTTTACAGCGGGTTGCCGATGGGTGGGCACAGATTAAAAGAAAGACATGTAAACACACGTGGCGCAAGCACTCAGCACATCCAGTCGCGCCCCAGAATGTGGCTCGAACTATAACAACGCTTTATCATGCGACCAGGGCTTCCCGTTCGAGTGATATCAATTTGGATCTCACCGGCTGATTTATACCCAATATGCGTTTTGCCAGGACGCGGTTACCTTGGATGCGTGCGTCAACTCTTAGCGCCACTGTGCCGCAAGAGTCGCGGGGGGGGGGGACGACCAAAGGAACCCGCCAAAATTGAAACAGCTAACAGCAACAACTACTAGGAGACTGCCGTAATGCATCATACATTTGTTGTCTGAGAGATCAATCTCTAAGGGAGTGTTTGAGCCCATCAATTGCCTTAGCAATCGCGCACTATCGACTCACGAGAGGGCTTTGGCTAATCGTTCTGTCTGTGATTGTCAATCATTTCGTTACTATTTTAGATCTTGCCTGTAGGATTTCTGTGGCACGGCCAACAACGCATTTTTGGGTGGGGGATGTGAAGTGTTACATTCACCATGAGCCAAGTTTGCATCTGGCGGATAAGTGGTTTGGGGGAGGTTGTTGATGACACACCCCTTCACTGGGGAATACAACAATGTCCGCATATAAGATACAGAATGGCAGATTTCCACGATCTTGAGGAAGCGATGTTTGGCAAGATTTAGAGCTACGTTTTACCGAGTTCCCAAATGTGACAGCCCTCATGCGTCTGACCATAATCACACAACCGCGATATGTTTTAAATTAGCTTCTGTAAAAATGAAAAGTTTTCAACCGGGAAAAAATCACAGTTCAACCATAAACGTATTAAGTAACATATATAACAATGCACCGTGTCAAGCTGACGTCATCATCAATCAAATTTATATAGTGTTCGGAGTGAACACACCCGGACGCTCGATCCATATTGCTACTTTCACGCATATCAACACGAGATGTCACTTCACCCAATGACGAGGCTGTTACGAGGTGACCTTTGAGATGGTTAATTGATGGGTACGTGCATTATCATTTACATGTAATTTGTCAGCAGGGTAACGGGATAAACTGATGGAATTTTGTTTGAAGAAAAAGCAATTTGCGACACGTATTCATAGAAACCAATTCGCGACCCGTCTTCATAGGAACGATAGAGTGTTGAGATTTTTCTCCTAAATTGGCGCCATAATTTGTCTCCTTTTTTCCCCTTTAAAACAGTGTTGAATTATCCAGGCACTCCAAAATCCACTTGTCCCTTTAATTTTACCTCAGAGTTGGCCGCAGTGACTATTCTCTGATTGTTCCACGTACGTGTACTCAAGGAAGCTTCGAATTCATCTGAGGAAAGTAGCCAACGATGCAAAAAATAAGCCTGAATACACAAACGGCAAAAAGACGCGTGGGTGACTGCCTTTCCCTTTCGGCATTTTTTCTCACCTAGATGATAAATGATTCAGCTGAAGACCTCTAAATCCAGACATTGAGGGCTTCCGCCATTTTTGCCGTGAAACAAAATATCGTCTGACCAGGGAAAAAATGAAGCACTCTGGCGTGATTGATGGCCTTATGCTGCAAGCCCTGGCGTGCTACAAGTCTCATTAACCGTCGGGTCCAAAGTTGTGCAGGCCTGCAAACGAGGCGTCGTTTTACCCCGCGAGGCTTTGGAAAATTACAATGTATATTAAAAAGGGGGACGCCGGCCTTGTAGACTTTTTGGTGTTCCGCCCCCAAACGCCAATACGATGGACGCAAACAAATTAGTTTTACGGAATCCTGACCAATTATTACAGTCTGTTGTGTACGAGGCCTGAATCTGCCGACTGTTGGCAACAATTTTATAAGAATAGTTCCTGGTGGGAGTCCTGACCTCATAAATCGGGGTTGGCCGACGGTCTCCTTTTTTGGAAGGACGGCATTCTCTTACACGATGATCCATTTGGTGCGTCATCCGATTGGTTGGCCTCAGTGATAAACGCAGACGTGGTATCGTCGGTGTTCTCACGAAGTGACACCCCCCATAATCTTGCGAAATAGACATTCCAAAATGAACGCGCTTGGAAATACTCTTCATTTCAAGTCCCATTTGAGATTACTTTGTCATGAGAATTCTGGAATGTTGTGCACGGTCATGGAATGTAAGGGTTTTACAATGCTAATCTACACTTACTTGTAGAAATATTGTTTTAATAAACAGTAATTCACTGACAACCTATTTTCACTGCGTGAAAACTGCCAAATCTAGAGGTCTTCTGTTTCCCTTGTTATATTGTACACACTTACTGGCACTTCGTGAAAACATACGCACTTCGTGATAACACACGCGAAAAAATTCTTGCACGAGGTGCATTTTTGTCACTTCGTGAAACAGAGGAACACAGAGACTTTCAATATGCGCACTCATTCAACATCGTTCACGAATCCTGCTTCGTACAGAACACTATATTGTCTTTATTTTTGCCCTGGATTTTTGTCACTTCGTGAAACAGAGGAACACGGAGACTGATCTTCTTGCCACATGTTCATTTACAAATGATGTTAAAGTAAACTACAGTTTGCTTTGAAACTGTGGCAACTCGTCTTTTGAACCATGTAGTAAAAAATGGCAAAAACTCTATAGATCGAAAAATTATTGATTTTCCAAATTGTTGTCACTTTGTGAGAACGCTGTTATGTACCATAAAGGAGTAGCCATTATACAAATATTTAGTAACTCGGAGTTGAACGTGGAACCCTTGTCACGATTTAAAGTCTCTCAAAATTTGTTTTATATAGCTGACATGCAGATCCTTGCCATTCGATTTTTCAAAAATTTATTTTAAACTACAGGGAAGCGTTTGTGCAGTGAACAAACGCTGGGTGATTGGGCGAGAAGTGCAATTGAAAAAAGTATGATTGTAATAAAGGCGAATATTGAAGTTGAGATTTTTTAACGTTAGAACAATGTGAGAGGAGAATTCGCGGACAGGTTTAGTGGACGCAAGAAAGTCTGTGAAATCTGTCATTTCTGTTCGGGAATGACGTGCTGTTGCTGAGTATTACATAATCACTTGATGTTGCCGTGTATTGTCAACCCGCTATAGACCTTTTCACTGATGAATCCGTAATTATGCACGCATGCGCACAAATGGCCTTGGCGGCAAGAAGTGTGAGCGGGCCATTGAGTAGGTTGGCCGGCCAACTTACTTCTCAGACATGATGTCTGCGTAGTGCGTCAGCTGTCTATTAAATTATGCACGCCGGTCGCGCTCGTCCTGTGGGGCTTTGTACACGTGGGTTATCATTCACAGTCATTGTGCATGACATACAACAGAACTCTCATGTCGCTTTTATACACAGAGCAATAAACGTGCGCGCTCAAAAATCACACCACTAAGGACGTTTCCCAACCAGAACTTCAAGGAAACTGGAAACTGTTTGATATATCTCAGTGCTGAACTTTGTTTAGCAATCTTTGAAAGAGGGAGGGTCTCTTTATTAACGTCCGTCCTGATGACGTCATCAGCGTCAAACTTCGCACATGCATTATGTGCATGACGGTCATTAAATCTGTCAATTTCATGTAATTACAACAAACTTCGCCACAGAATCAACTCAAAATTAATGCACTTTTTACATTTTAACCACCGCTAGAAGGCATTTTTTATTACGTCACTGGTCCAAGTTTTGAATGTTATCTTGTTATGTTATATCGCTGGAGACAAACACCGTTGAAAGCAAGTTCATATCTTGTACCAATTTCAAATACATGTAACGAGGCACTTCCCTTTTCGACTGGAAGCAGGGGTCAGGTGATCTTAGGTACTGGACAAAAAATGGAGACTCTATCATTTGTGGCAAAAAGCAAGATGAGGTATCTCCCGATTGATTTCATATGGATTTTGAAAGATTAAAAAATCAAATTCTAATGTTTGTAATTTGATGCCTAATGACGTCATCATGACGTCAATTTTATAGGCATACCAATTCTCAAGTTCATGTATTTACCGTGTTGAAATATGCCCTGGATAATTATTTCCCTGAAGCGGCAAAAAGAGTAGGAAATAAAATGGGAATCGTATGATTTCAAATAGGATTTTAAATCACATGACAAACGTTCGGTACGAAATTTTATATACTTAAATTTTGAACGAATTTAATGTTTTCAATATTCCACAAATTCTAACAACTCATGGAATCAGTAATGTTTTTGGACACCAACAGTAACATCCTTCATAGGTTTTGGTTGGCACTCCGTCAAATGAATGTCCTTTCTGTTTTGCAGTGGTGCAACTGCAGGACAAGTCATATCAGCGTGTTCGTAACACACACCATGGAAACAAGGGTGATCCTAACACGTGATGTATGTTCCACTAATCAAATAACAACGTTCTCTGTGTGCGTCACTTATATTAAGACACAGAACGGGTACATCGGTCATGGTATAAGGCATCGGTCATCGGTCATTTACCAGAAACGTACTTCTGCTTTGTTCACTAGCTGAGCGTTTTCCGACTTTTGTTTTACTTGTGTGAAGTCTTGTTCAGACTTTATGAGACTCAAAGGTTGGAGTTATCCACAGGGGTCCAGAACTTCGCGGAAAATAAGACCACAATACTTTGTCGTCTTCAACATGAGTGAATTATGTTTCTCCCAATTTGTTGTGTCATGCAGGGAACCAAAATGGCTATAATTTGTTCTAGAATGTGAAGAGAGGAAGATCAGAGGTGGCAATAACTTGCCGAATATTGACTGAAAGGGGCAAAGTCGTCTGTTATCTCGTACTTTATCTCTCTTAGCCGACGTAACACGTTCCTGGATCTGAGTTTTTGCCGCAACCACCCAAAACAGTTCATGCTTATTCCTTTGAGGTCATAAGCCTGTTCCTGGTAAGCACGCCTTTGGTATAAACGATCAGCTACACACTGAAGTCCAACCATTGATCGTTTGGGTGACGTTGGTCAATGTACCGGTATGGTAACAAATGTTCGCGCTAGACTTGACGTTTTGTTGTCTATAAAATATCATGGATTTATTTCCAGTCACCTTCCATGTATTTTCAGTCATCTCTTTACATTTTCTGAATTTTCTTAATCGTTCTGGCAGTATTTTCAACCTCGGACTGCCGAAAGGCTTTCTGTGGGTGTGTTCGATTAGCTTACACGTTTAAGTTAAACTTACACGAGACCGTTCGTTTAGCCATCACCTGATACTTGTGCCTGCCCCAGTGTCAGCCACCACTACCCCGGCTAGCGAGCGGGTCTCTGAAGGATGCCTGATTGTAATGACGTCACGGATGGAGTGTTGGAGCATGGACATGATGGAACGTGGTGGGGACTTGACCTTTTCCCCAGAATGTCTTGGGGAAAATTCTGCAGCGTTCGATTAGCCTCGTTTCGAGGCGTCCCTTGCGTGTAACACTGGTGTATTCAGGGAAGCTAATCAAACGCACCCATTGACTGTGCAGAGGAAAAACTTACTGATTCACGCTGAGCTGTAACATGCAGAAAAGTGATGATTATGATTCCAAAAATGCTGACTGCTCGCAGAAAGTTTGTTGAGCGTGGATGTGTCTAACCTCTAAGCAACTCTCATTGAAATGATACCGCTGTCGATTTCAAAAGAGAAATCGTGACCAGAGCCAACATTACCCTAATTAACGATGATCTTCCGGATCTAGAGGGACCGGGGGCGTAATATATCAATACAAATGGCTCGTGGCCATTTACCCCGGGCTGTCCGCCTCTCGCCCCGCGCACCGCTAGATTAATGTGTAGGCTCTCGTGTATGGCGGAGACAGCGCAATCGGGCGATCACAAAGAAGACGTGCGTGTGCTTCCTGAAATACATGCACGCGCATCACCGTTAACGAGGCGGCAAACAGGTTGTTTTATTCAGTGATGTATGGGGTTGAAAATCGATGTCTTGATCACCGGGAATGCAATCCAAACACCATCTTTCCGGCCACTGAGCTCGAAAACAGATTTTTGACGCCTCAGATGCTCTGCAACGCATATGCCTAAAACAAGCACAAATACTATACAGGGTGTCTTAAAAAAGAAAACAGAAAACCGAGATTAATTAATCTATTTCTTGAATGTGACTGATTATTTTTGTAAAATCTGTTTCAGTCTGATGTCTTCTTTCTTATGACATCAAGGAAGCCATATTTCCGTCACACATAACTTAGCACAAAGTGGACCGTGTCAGAAATGGCTTTGCACCAAATGTATCGTGGGTTTGCACCGCGGGAAGTATTTCCAAAGGAAAATAAAAGCAGTAAGTACACTAGCAAAATCATTAATTCAAAGACAACCACAGTTAGGGGCTTATTCTTTTAACCCCAGTGTCCGCCCCCCCATTTCTTTCAACCCAAACTTTTGTCCCTGGTAGTCACATTCAAGAAACAAACAAATTTATCTCAGTTCCCCCCCCCATTTTTTTTAAAGACACCCTGTGTATATAAAAGCTGAGTGTTCTCAGTCGACCTTCGTAATTTTGCCCTCACTGGTGCTTAGCTCTGGATAGTGACATTGATATTGGTTTCGTTCCAAAGTTTTGTAAATCACAAAAGCTATCTTTCAAATGACTGCAGGCATGTTTGGCATCAGACACACATGCCAACGCATGTATACGAGTATCCATTTTCTAAATGCTGTTTACGATGCTTTCTGAAATTCCCATGGTGAGATTACGATTATACGTATCGTTGAATTAATTTCGCTCCAGTGCATGTGACGTGACCACGCCGCAAAGTACAACGCAGCCTGAGTATTGAGTAAATTCTCATCATCTGATAAGTGAACTGTCATTTGCGGTTCGTTCCAAGCCTCATGAGTACTATTTGAGGGCAAGCTAGGCACGTGTCGTTTATAATAATCATTTGCATCGTTGGATAACGTTGCATTGTGGTGTTCCTGTAACAAAACAGTGCCGTATGCTGGGCCGCATCCTTGATCTTCAGAGTGCATGATCTGAAATCAAAGGAAGCTGGAGATGTGGACGAATTTTGGATAAAGACACCCAATAGTTGTGTCCGGTATAAACAGTTTCAGCTACGGCTTTTCTTTTTAACTTTACCGCATCTTCGAGAACAAAAAGTCAGCAAGTCACACGCAAAGGTATACGAAAATGAAACAAATCCCGTAACCATATGAGAACTTGGGATGATTGTTTCTTAGTGCCTTGCTTTTCGGACACCTTATTGAGATACTTTATTAACCGTAACTTAGAAATAGCGACCTCTATTCCTTAATATTTTTAATGGTCGTGCATGAACGGGCCTGACTGAGCTCTGTTGTATCTCGTGTCATCGTGCATCGCTACCTGCACCATAGTATGGAATTCCATATCTGCCGTCGTGCGTCGCCCGTCGTGCGTCGTCTGTGGTTTTTTTGTCACGATTGCGCAGTGGTATTTTTAACTTTGACCCTTGATCGTTTCACATGTACATGTCCTTGTTCGATCGATCCACCATGCCTGACTCTCATTTTAGTAATAGAACTAGAAGATGTACATGTATTCGTTTTTGCAGTTGCGCCAAACTTCAGTTGAATTGAAGAAATAATATCCTGACATCGGTTAAGTAACGTGTATATGAAATAATACCATTTTGGTTACATAAATAAATTAACAAAATAGACGTTTGTTAGGGTAGATTGTTTTTCTCGATCACTTAGTTACTGTAGACGTAACTTTACTCGTTAACAGCCTGACTTTAGGTCAATAGCCTACGTAATATTTCTGTCTGTCCCTGCACGATATCTCACAGAACGGAATGTAAATAATAGATTATTTACAATGTTTGATTCCTTAATAGTTTTCATAAGAGACAAACTGATTCAACATTATTTTGAGGGCGGGTATACCTATGATGAAATCTGCTGTATACTCCAAATTAGACATGACTTTAGTTGCAGGTTGGCCCACAGAAATCTTTTAAACAGTAACGTTACTTGTTAGCCCATAAATAATGCTGTGCTGGACAACCTGCTCTCATTGGTCTATCCACCATGGCATACACACCCACAAAAACCAACACGTCATATTTTCTGAAACTTAAACCAAGTGGTAATTGCCCCCTAACAATACATTTAATAAACAGTTTGTTATCCACAGCACGTCTAGTATTTCTGGATTTCAAGGGGAAATTGAGAGGACAAGATGGAATATCTGTATCGGTTGGCAGATTTCTTCCTGGAATTTGATGAAAACAAGTCGGCACATTTTTACAGTATGCAAATTAGAATAACACTGTGAATAAGTTGGCCGGATTTTTTGGTGAAAATGTTTTTCCCAAAAAACACTTGGTTGAATTCTCAGAGAGGCGATATTTTCTTGTCAAGGGGCAGGGGTAGTCTAGCATTATTGGAATTAATTATGGTGCTACTATATAGCTTTGCAGGTGGCATTTGTACTTGCCTTATTCGGAAAAGATCTTTAAAAGTAAATGGAATCATCACATTGTCCACAGTGTTAAACCCCGGCTTTTGCAGGGCCTATGCAACCCATTTGATGGGCGACGGGCGACGCCCGACGGGCGACGCACGACAGAATTGGGACACAACAAAAAGCAAAATGTGACGGACGACAAGCGACGGGCGACGGCAGATATGGAATTCCATACCATAGGCTGGTTCAAGTACTGTTCACTTCAGTCTTGCAGCCATTTGGTTAATGGACAAGTTGAACTGTGAAAGATGAATTGAACAGTTTCCCCATGTTTGCTTCCGTCTCGACCCCGAGCCGTGTTTGAAATCGTTAATCAAGTTATGTTGCTGTGCATTTGAAGCACGCAAGGAAATCGCTAATAAAACAGCAGAATAAATGCATGAATGTAAACACAAATGTAATCATTTATGTACTGACACTTTGGCGTTAAAGTGATCTATACCGATGCTGGCCTGACCGTTTTCTTTGGAGACACCTGTATCTATAACTGTCAAAACTCTTACCTTCTTGTCTTCATCTTAAGCGGATTGTTAATTACATGAAAAATTTCACGCTGCCCATTATTGCCAAATACAAAGAGTAGGCCCACAGCTTCAACTGGCCAAATGATCGTCGAAACCAGTCAACACGAATAGTGGCAAATTTTCTTTGGATGCGTAAATCTGTGTACTTGACTTGTGAAAAGGTGTGAAATGTGTGTACCTGACGCTGTGTAACTTAAAGAGCACCCCTAAGGAAGACATGTTTTCTCTGATGTTTATCTGTTCAAATAAATATCGAAGCGTCCAAATCGAACGCAGCGTCATTTGTCTTCAGAGCTCAACTATAAAAACCAAAAGGTTTTTTTCTGTTCATGCCAAGATGCAAATTCTGAATGTAGATTGCGTCATTCGGAGAAAACAGAGAAAACAAGGGAACCCTCACCCTGTGTTCGTAGTGGATAAACCCTTGTGCATGCCAAACAATGCATGTAGCCATACTTTGAGAGCCTGCTTCCAAGCTAGTTCTGTGGTGTGTTTTTCGAGCAGACGTTCGACTTCCTGTTGATATTCCAGTCCACGTCCGACCATCGGTACTTGCACCCGTCATCAATGCAGCTGCTCGTCCTTCTTGTTGTCGGTTTCTTTCAGTCGAAAATAGTTTGGGAATCCATTGACGTCGATCCACGAACTCTAAATAAAGAAATGTTTTTGTGCATTAGACTGTATGCTCGTTTAACCGTAATAGAAAACAAAGGTAATTAGTAAGACGCTAAAGAACAACTTTTTATTGATTCATGGCATTGCAAAACCATTTTATTTTCCATGGTTAGCAGATTTGGGAACTTAAATTATTCAATGAGATTAAACGCTGTAAGCCAACATGAAGGGTGCGTAATAAAAATGTATGTTCACATCTTTTTAGAGATGTTAAGTGCAGACATTATGTAGTAATGGTGTGGTCTAGCGTCTTTTGCTGTTGAAAACTGATGTTCTTTGCCTGGCAAGCCTAGATTTTCAATCCGATTTATTTGCAATTGTAATCCCTCCGTAAAACCGAATCTTGTGTGTAGGGAGACGTCGGTCAGTCAACAGTACCCTGCTGTTTGAACTCTTGGTGGCAGCAGACATATTTTTCATGACATGCTGAAAGTTCTGTGCACATAGTCCCGTGTAACAGGTATATGGGCCACGTGCGGCCGCGGGCCGCCCGGGCTTCGTTGAAAATTGATGACACTAAGACTATGTGACAGATGAACTTCCGGATAACTTGACCTGGAATGGCCTGGATTTTTTTCTTGACCATTGTATTCTGTTTTTCCCAAGCTTTTACCGTTAGGTATTCGTAGTTGCCATATCTGGGGGGGTAACTTCTGGCTTACTTTCGTCAATCATCTTGTGCGTAAAGTTAAACCCAACTGGCTGGCGCAGTGCAGTAAACGTTACATGAAAATTCCACAAAATGCTGCCACCCATGCGTTTGCTAAACAGCAATTTTCTCAGTTTTACTTTTAAACTTTTTGAAAAAAATGTCTACAAGGTGTAATGAAATTGAGAGAACTGTGTGAAAAATCGGTAGAAAATGTGTTGAACATTTTTTGAAAACAATCCTGGAATTTTAGTTCGCGCAAGCGAAAAAAAAAATGAAATTTGGCTGGCGTCCCATTCTGTCAGATGCGGTCCCGTTGCACTTATCCATCATTGGCTCCCATCTGAGTGTCTCCATTGTGTCCTCTACCTGATTTGAGGGTTCCCGCGTCCCATTTAACCTCCATGTGACTCCCTATCTTCGAGACATTCCCCAAACTGCGAAAATATGAATATGAACTGACAAGCGAGTGGTGTTGCCAACAGCTAGCTGCCAAAATGGCAAGGCAATCTGCCCTCCATTCAACACATCCGTTTGTGTAGGGTGATCACGTGCCATTGTGGAGGGGGCTACATTTCTCACTCTTGACGTTTGATTGATGGGCGTTACCTCAAGCCGTGGAGTGCTCAGAATAATCAGATTGGTGCATAAATCCACCTTTTTAATATTTGCTCCGGTTTCAAGTAACAAAACGTGTTCTTCAGATCCGCGTGTTCAAAACAGTATATGTCTTTAGCACTGTTCATAACGCAAGCGTTTGTGAATTACAGTGCAAATATGCATTCCGATGAGTGCCGCGCTCGCTCGCTCTATACGTTGCATGGGTAACAGTGGGGGCGGTGAGAGAACTAATGTCGTTCATCATGTGCTAGTCATCGGCCATGGGACAGGAAATGTTCTTGCGGCACTGCCTCCTTAAAAGTAGCACAGACACGCAGCGGTTTCCCCAATCAGGCATCGAGACATCGAGATGTGGAGTCAGGGCGGATGGATTGAATGCGGTGTGTTTTACGCTGCATGTCGAGCATTTGTAGACGGCAGGAGACATCATTGAATTAGGGAGTTTGCTGTGCTGTACAAGGATGATAGTGCATAGAAGCGCATGATGCATTGTATCTCCGTAGCCAGCTTGGACGAACGACCCCGATCACCATCACCGTTGCCAAACATTGCGGGGTGCAGTTACACTACGCAAATATGCGCTCACTTGGGGAAATTTATATCTTAGAACTGTTTGTCATCGTGGGAGGTCGGATCATTGAAGATACCACGTCATGGCCAGCCAATGCAGCCAAAGATATGGGGAGCAACCTTGAGATTTGTCTGCACGATAAGACTCTGTTTGCCTGAGAACTGACATGAAATTGGTGGTATCATGGGAGCGAACGTTCAAACGATATCCCCGTGTGACGCACACGTCAATCTGACCGACGCAGACGAGGAGACACTTTCACAGTGGATGTACTCCGATACGAGAATACAAATCAGCATTGCATCTCGCTCAATAATCCTTGTGGTGGGCGTAGTCGGTAATGGCGCCTTCTTAATCGTCATCGCTCGGGTCCGTAGCATGCACACCCTGGTAAACTTTTACCTGGTGAACCTGGCCTTGGCGGACGGCCTAGTGCTCCTGCAGCACGCGGCCGTGCCAATCATCAACTACTCACTGCTGGGAATACCCTCCGATGGCAATCTCCTTGGCTCCCCCGGTTGCATGGTAACCCAGTTCTTCAACTACCTTGGTTACTTCACCTCAATCTTCCTGGTTTGTCTCATGTCGACTGAAAGATACCTAGCCGTGTGCCACCCCCTGAGACACCTCTCCATCAACACCAAGAGCCGCGCGTCCAAACTGGTCGCGTGCGCCTGGGCCCTTGGTATCCTATTGAGCGCCTGTGCCATTCCGGTCAATGCAGTCTACACCAAGTATTGCATCCAGTGGCCAGAGGGGGGAAGATACGACAGTCTCCCTACGTCTGCGGGACGTTGTGCCCCGACTGTGGACTGGGCATCTTACGCCTTTGACACCATACACGCGGTACCTTTCTTTTCGGCCCTTGTCTGCAACGCTTTGTTTTTCATCAAGATCGTCCGCAACCTCCGCCGTCGCCAGGCAATTGACCGGGGCCGGGGATCACTCCAAGGGCGTCGTATGGTGCACATCACGCACCAGGTTACAAAGATGCTAGCGGCGAACGCCGTGGTCTTCTTCATCTGCCACGCCCCTTTCCAGTTCCTTTCGCTCTGCATCCTGGTGTCAACACTAGCGAGCCTGCCGCTCTTTGCCGACCCGGTCGTGCAGGGTATCGTAGTAACGACCTCCCGCATTCTCGTCTACGTCAACTCCGCTATCAACCCCATAATCTACAACGCCACCAACTCGCGTTACCGGAGAGCGTTCATCCGCGTGTTTGCTTGCTCCTCTCCGGCGAGACGAGAGGCAGCTCATTCCACCATTATGGCCCCAGGGGACGCCACTATCGTGGCGACTGATCGCTCCGTTGAAGACCGATTAGATGATGATAAAGGCGGGCAAACAAGCAACGGTAGTCTCTTATTAAACGGGACTCCCTCAGATGGCGTTTCGCAGCGCAGTCACCATACCAAACTTTAGTTGGGCTATAGGGATCATTCGAGAAATTTAAAACAAACTTGGCTTCAGAATTGGTATCCGGATAATGATGCAAGTTTGTTCCAGAGTTTGGCAGAATCGAAATCCTCTTATGGATCGCCACTGACCTCCTCGATCGGCTATGTTGCAGCATTTTGTTAGAACTTTGTCGCGTTGGGAGAGATGCGATGTATCCCATCATTAAACATGATGGAATTTATAACCATTGGCTCGTCAGACCATTCGAAAACTCGGAGATTGTGAGCGTGGGGCTTCGAAACGAAGACCCTTGAAAAGCTATACAATGATAAATGTATACAAACCGAAACTATGATTGTAAATTTGTGAGCGTCATTTTGTACGACAACTTACGAATCTTTCTTGTTTTAGGTATACCATAGACGCGCCTTCGTGTTGCCATTGTGCCTGAAGTCAAAGAGAGTAGGTTGGGATAACCTTTGTGATGATATTTTATATTAAAGGTTGTTATGCATTACTGTGTACCGTGCGTGCTATATTTTCAAGGAAGCGTGAGCCTGAATACATTTCACTCTTTGTCTAGGGATTGTTGTCCATTTTAGCCAAGTAGGCTCAGTGTTATAGTCGAGTCCATCACAAGTCTAGTCACAAGTCCCTTCACAAGGCCATTTATAAGTAACAGGGTGAACAATGACACAGAAGAAACAGTGTGAGCAATGACAAAGAACGCTTGTATCACAGTTCATTTGAAACGCTTGTGAATTGGCTTGAGACCGAATGACTTGTATTAAATGGACTTGTGCTGGATTTGCAGGGACTTGTGATGGACTTAATTACAACACTGCCAATCTGCAGTGCAGCCGATCCGTGCAATGATGGAAATTGGACTTAAAATTAAAAAGAAGAAGATCCGAGTAATGTAGAAGATCATTTCACGCTATAGGCCGCAGGAAAGACCAGAGGCGTGCATGTAGATATAAGAAATAGGGGTTCATATGCATGCTTGTTGGCTTTCGCACTTATATAGACATACTCAGCAGGAAAAGCTGGTTTGCCTTTTTGACACTTTTACTCAGTTTCCATGGGCTTAGCAAAGATTATCAAACTGTGAATGTCAAGCACCACCATCTTTAATATAGGTAAAATTAGCTCAATGTAAAAGTAACATGTCCCTGAAATATCCATTATATTGTGTGGATGCACTGCCATAAATGGTCGTCGAGTTTACCTTTTTTCTAGGACTAATAAAAAATTTTAAAAAAAAGGTACAGCTTAGTTGGTTAAAATTCGTAATTTGTTTTCGCTTGAAACATTTGTCTCCAACGTCTTCGACCCAGGCGCAAATCGAGACCAACCATTCGGGTTGACTTTGTGTGTTCGTGTATTGTGCTGGTATGGTACAATTTCGGGATTGTTTATGTTTAATTTTTAAAATTTGATTTACACAAAATGAACAAAACGATTTATTGAACAATTTTAAGATGCGCTGCCATGACAACAGTTCAGTAAAACTATACTGCATGTAATTGTAATCAAGGTTGTTAATGTTATCTATTAAGAGTAGAATGTTTGATCAAACTCATAAATGATACATCGAGGTCCATGCGAGCATCTATTTCATTATTTCACTGATGAATTCATAATACGAGGAACCTTTTACTGAAGATTCCGTTTGGTAAATTGGCGCCATTCGCTCGTCTGCCGAAGCGCACAGCCTTATCGTTTGTCGGGAGTGGTCGCTCTCTGTTCCTCAGTCTCCTGGAAACGGAAAACTGCTGCCGGTTACATTGGTGTGTGTCATCACAGCCTGCCACCGAAACTGGTTGGGCTTTACGAGACATTTGTAATGTAACTGACAAGCAAGATGCATTCTCTGAAAGTACACCGCCTGTTGATCTAGTATGGAGAGATGATAGTGGATCAGCGATCCAGGGGAGGCGAGATGGAATTCTCATCTAGTCTCGGTCATTGAAAACTCAAAAGTATAGTAAAAAAACCTATCAGAGGAGTAGATTTTGCGAAACCTTTGGAAACTCGCTTTCAACACTATTGGTTTCCTCCAAAAGAATTAAAGGCTAGTGAAGACAATGATATTTCAGTTGAAGTATGCCCAACGGAGTCGTGAATGCACACCCATTGTGTTCCACACAGCCTCATATTCCCGTGTGCATCATTGGCATTTCTTTTGAAGGCTATTTCGAAAATAGAACGATGATTATTCACAAGTGAATAAACTGACGTCACACTTGGGAGAATCTTTATCTTTATATCTGCACTTTATTCGTCAATCTAATGTGTTTTTTCTGCAGTCTTTTCTTTGTGAGTGAGATTTCTTATTTTCTTTTAGTGTGCTGGACCCAAATTGCATTCCTATCAGAGTTTAGAGTTTTCACATAGGGTTGAATTTGGCCACGGAGCATTGGACAGTAGTTTTGAGAAATCAAGTTTTAAGTTGGTCAATTTTTGAAATAAATTTCGCCTAATTTGGAGCGTAATGTTCACCACGTTTAATACAGAAAGTGAGCCACGATCTCACACTTCAAAAATGCACCAATTACAGAATATTAGAATAATTAATTGTGGAGTAATTAATATCCATGGAAATATGTCCGTTCAGGAATACAAGCTGTTTGCGCGTTATGTTTTTTGGTGCAATTAGAAAACTGAAACGCCCAGACGTGCCTTGTTTTTGCCGCGGTGAACACCGAGCTTTCAACGGCGATAAAGGTTGAATTCGTCTCCCGCGAAAACTCAAAACATGATTTAGGTGACATTTTTCTCGTGATTGATTTTTCCTTGATTTTGGTGATTGTAATTATTAGGACCAAAAAGTCTAGCCAGGGCGTTGTTTGCAATAACAGTGGATTCTGGCCTGAAAAAAGAATGTTGAAAAGCAATGTTTTTTTGGCCACATTCGTTCCTTCATGAAAACTCGGACGGCATTTCGTTGTCCCAATTTTTATAGAAAATTCACACTAAATATACATTGAAAGTTTGCCTAAAATTAAATTACGACAACAGTTTCTGAACATATTACGAACACTGCAAAAAGTGGAAAAGGGCACTTAATTACCCTAAAATTGCCCTGGAAGTTTCCCCTTATCTGAATACAGTATAAAAGAATGGATATTTGCTCAATACAGTTTAATTGAATTTTTTTCAACTCCATTTTTTCAACAGTAATGAACACCATTTAGTGCGAAGCCAAGTGTCAACGTTTTTGTGTATTTTAATTTAAAACAAGCAAAAATAATGTTAATCTCTCCCGTTTATGCAGTTCAAACCTTTCGATATTTCTGTCAGTAAAGAACTATCAGTTCGAAAATAGCCCTAATAGTCCCAATTCTCCGATTTCAATATGATTTTACCCTCACTCGTAATAAACGGCTCACTGTTATTGTTCCAGTATTTCAGTCAATTAGATTTTTCATTTCGTGTTGTATTGAATCAATTTTGCCTTCTCTTAGCAGTAAAGCAGATTTTAGTTTATTAAATAAAGTATATTCTAAATTTTTGTATGGTAACCAAAGGTAACAAGTGACCACAGTGGTAGTGCGAAGTGTTATTTCGGGTGACATGGAGATTAAGCCATTCAGCGCGATTCCTTCTCCATCCATGGCACTGAGTTTTATAAATGAGTTACAGATATCAGTTTCCAGTTGTAAATAGGCCTTTAATGTTTGCGTAGCTATCATTAATAGATGATTCATTTGCCTTGCCCGCGCGTGTCTACTCCACTCGTAAATTCATTCTGGTTGTAATTTTTGGAAAGCCACTAAACACAGGAAACACAGGCGCTTTAGGATGGGCCTATCGTTCATGTTGGGACACGACCGCGTTAGGAGTATCGCAGGGCAAATGTTTTAATTGAATGTAGCATTCAACCTCTTATTATTATATCGTCTCGTTGTTCAGGGCTTTCGTGAGAAGGAAAACCGAGCATTCAATTGTGAACATTGTTTTCTTTACCTAGTTTATAATATGAAATTATATTATCTCCGGTTGCCAAATATATTTTGTAATCAGTATTGACGTTGGCCCCTTTCACACAGGCTTTAAAAATCTGTAACGAGTGCTTACGTCATGAGATGACGTGAAAGAGATTTAGGGGGTAAAGTTAATGATACTGTATATTTCCTTGAGAGCGTGCATACACTACTCGTGCCAATGTAAGTCCCCATCTGTCTGAAATCGGCTGCGTCACGTATTCTCGTGGTAGTTCTATTCTGGTGTTTCTTCCTGATTGCACAGAGTGTCCGGCACAGTCAGCAGTCTCGTAAGACGGTTAGACCTAAGCACTTAACCCGTGCGGAACAAAAAAGCTTTTCTTGCGTCTTTCTGTTTTACATGTACGAACATGATTTGTTGCCTGAGGCCTGCTTTCCTGCGTCTTGTTAATAGAGGGGTCCCAATACGACGCGTTTAGCATCGATCTGCGCACTTCCGCGTTTGAAAACGAAAGTTTTAAGGCTGATCCCTTGCCATTCATTTAGTGCTAAGTTACAAGTGTTGATACGTCTTTTGCTCCTGTTTATTTTCAATGAATGCTAAAACGCACGCACAAAAAACAAAACAGTACAAAACAAAACAAAAACAAAGACACAAAGAAAAATTAAAAACAAACAAGATAAGTGCCTTATAATTTGTTTCTGTCAGTCTATTCATTCATGATGAAAACATTTTGGGTAGGGTTTCAAACATTACAACCAAGCGTTTACCTCTAGGGTTTGTCATATTTAATAACATAACACTCGTATTAATACAAAAAAGCTTCAAAACACCTCATTTGGAAATCAAATCTTACGCCCTTTACTTGTAAATTGGACCAAATAATGCTTCACAAAAAAGATTGACCCTGATAATTTTGCTAACATTCTGTTTCGAAAAATAATTTAGTTCAGGCACTATTTTGATTAAAAGCATCGAATGCGGTCAGCCTCTGTTTTGTATGAAATGTTTGCCTGGTCGATCAGATATCATTTTTGTTTCTGCTTATTCAACAATAAAAGATTATCGCTATGTCATTTTGCATCCAAGTTATAGTGAAATTAAAATTGGAGCAATCGGTGGGTTAACATTAGCAAATCTGTCAATGTCACCTACGCGATATTTATCCTGTAATTCTAATCCTAATGTCCATTTTTGACAGACCTTCAAAGTAAGCAATTGTGTTACCCATGCATTCTTTCGTCTCTGTGCAGGAATACGCCTCTTTGTCCAAATGATAGTATGAAATTCTCTATTTTGAATTTCCAGGCCTTTAAATTAGAAAATCTAATAATGAATACTAACAATGACCGTATTTATAGAGCCAAATTTTCAGGAGATACAAGGCGGTTATTATTATCCCAGCTCACAGATATTCCCAAACTCTCTCTGCTCCGTGGGGAGTGGATAGCTCAATGCTGCCATTTCAGGCGCAATCTGCTAAAAACACCTTAACCACTCAATCCTCACAGGTACCTACTCCTGGGTGGAGACAGGCAAGTGGGAGTATCGTTGACTTGCTCAAGGTCGCAACCAGTAACCATCAACTGGATTCGAACCCCCTCCCCCGATACTGTGTTCGTTAGCCCTAACCAAATTACCACAGATCAAATTCATTTCGAGGTGTCTGAAAGGGTCGTAACAGTCCAGAACCTGTTTACATTGACGCTGTTTTAATATGTTTTGCCAGAGTTGTATTCAGACAACATAAACTGCAGGTCAGACCTGAAACCGTGAGTTGGGGACCTTGTAAGAATTACGTAGGGCCTCCTTTCGATTCTAATCAATGTGCAGTTTCCCATCGCCCCCCTTGATTCTATTCCATTCATCGTTTCCTGCTAGAATTCTTTGACACAAACTGCAGAATTACTTTACTTTTTACCTTCAAAGTCGTGGCGCGAAATTCAAAAGACGTTGTTGGAGCAATAAACGACAGCAGACAAGATATTTGAGGTACGAATTCCTTTAAAATACTTGATGCAAAAATCGGAGTTCAGTTTTTAAATTAATCCAGTTCAGAAAAAAAGTACAAGAAGAAAGCACACGCACTGCATGTAGACAATTTGTTGTTACAATAATTACACGTCCACGTATGAAAATAATTATCAATAGGAGAAACTTTTTCTGCATTTTCCATGTCAAACTTGGCAAAACACACACGATGCTTATGCTTGGCAGTGGGGTATTGGGTGTGTTGGGAGGAGGAGCTGATATAGTGATGGAACCCAATGTCTTGGGGGACTGCGTCGTGCTTGTATATCTCGATGAGTTGAACTGCTTGCCAGTTGATGACGTGACCCTTGATGTGTGAGTGTTTGACAATCGCTTATTTTTCGTAGTCACCTCTGCGTCCATGGGCGATGTGCACTTTGAGTCTGGTAGGCAAGTCCAGGCAAGTCCCGGCCAGTCTCGCCTATGTACCGCTTCCCACATTCGCAGGGAATCCTGTAGACATCAGCTTTCGTCTGATGGTCTTGCTTGCTCTTGTGGGTCTGTAGGGTGGCTTAAAGTTTCTTGGCTGCAGTGTAGAATACTCTGATGTTGGCTTGGTGAAGGATGCGTTAGATCTTGTAGGATGCATTTCCTATGTATGGTAGGGTCACTGTTGCCTTGTACGAGGGTGGTTGACTTTGGGTATAGGAGACCCGAGAGACAGTAGACTTTGGTTCTTGATCTTGGCAGTAACCGTTGTGCTTGAGGGCTCTTGAGATGTGCTTGAGTTCTTCTTGTATGTGTTCTTGGTCGCAAATCTTGTAGGCTCGCTGCACCAGGGCACGGTTGACTGAACGACGCGATGTGCAGGTAACGGTCTGTGTGGGTCGGCTTGCGGTAGACGGCATGCCCCAGGGACCCAGGAGACCTTGACATCTAGGAAAGGAATGGAATTCCTCTCCTCTTGCATCATGGTGAACTTGGTGTTGGAATGCAGGTCGTTGAGGTGATCCTGGAACGCTTGCAGGTGCTGGGGGCCATGTGGCCAAATGACGGTGTCGTCCACATAGTGTAGCCAGGTACTTGGGCGGTGATATGCTGTGTCAAGCACTGTATTCTCGAGGACTTCCACAAACATGTCAGCCAGGACCGGGGATAGAGGAGATCCTGTGGAGGTCCCAGATATGACTGTTTGAAGAACTTGTCCCTCCATCTGAAGCTGGATAACGAGACGCAGTGTTACATAACCTCTCTACTCATACTAGTCTTTTGTAACCGTTCGCTGAATGCGAAAGCTGTATGATTCTTTTTGTTTGCATGGAATGTCTCGTTCAGCATGTAAGGCCTAATAGTGAGCTGTTCTGTCTCGGTCGGAGTCAATTATGGCGAACGTGCGTGAGCATAGTTTGAGGTCCGCACACCTGTTCCAAAGAAGGCTACATTGCTGCTTGGATCTACCTGTGGGCTTACCGGTGGTGGTTGGTTCTCGTGGTGACTGGAGTCCATGCTGGTGTGGCGGTCCTGTTCAGGGGGTGCAGCCTTGATGGCTGTGCTCACCGTTCTGCACCGACCGGGTAGCTGTTTTTATTTTTCGTAAGTTAAAATTACTGTCTTGTATTAACCCTAACCCTCCTCAATCCTTCACCTGTTGGAGGACTGAGGAGTGTTAGGGTTAATGTTTTCCTTTGCTTGGCCGAGTTGTGTGTTTATAAAATGTTACCTTAACGTTTTTTGTGCATGGCTGCTTTATTAATTTTGTTTTGCTTGGCATGGCCGTTTCTAATCTCGCTAATGCAAGCCCATTGTTTTGTTATATGTGGTTTATTTTGTTAATTGAAATTATGTAAATAATTCTATGCATTGCCCTGTTGTTGTGCATATTTTCTGTGTTTGAGTTGGCAACCTCTGGTACATAACACGCAGGTTAGCAACAGGTCATGGATTTGGTCCAGGGATAGGGCTGTGCGCTCAAAGAGAGTGCAGTCTTGCTCTAAACGTTCTTTGGCAATGACGCAGGCCTTGCCTGTGGGGACGTTGGTGAAGAGGGAAACGACATCAAAGCTAACCATGATGTCGTCAGGGCTGAGGTGAAGCTGCTTGATCATCTGAAGAAACTGATCAGAGTTGGACACATGATGCGGGGATTTACCCACCAAGTGTTGGAGAATTGCGGTAAGGTGCTTGGCGGTGTTGTAGGTGGGGCCTCCTCTTGAGGCAACGATGAGACGGAGTGAGGTGCCAGGTTTGTGTATCTTCGGGTGACCAAAGAACCTGGGGCAGGTGGAGCTGGGCGTTTCTGAACTGTCTGTACAGTTGGTAGGGGATGGCATCGGAGTGGTAGAGTGCCAACAACTTGCTGGCGATCTTCCGTTCAACAGACGGAGTGGGGTCTTTCTGCAGGGGGGCGCAAAGTAGGGGTGGAGAGCATGTCAGTGACCTTACTGACATAGTCGGACTTATCCACGACTGCTGTTGCATTACCTTTGTTTGCTGGCAGGATGTGGATGGACTCATCTTGACGTAGGTTCTTGAGCGCTGTGAACGCTCTCTGACTCGGGGCCACTTGGGGCCTACTTTTTGTTGAAAGCTTGCTGAGATCGAAGGTGCTGGGCCCGGCTTGGTTGAGGTGGAAAAAGAGATATAGGGGATCGCCTATTCCAAATAAGGTGTTTGGGGCACAGCTTGGCAATTTTTTTAATCTGCTTTTGGCGAGTAGTCTTGTACGCATTGAGTCCAGATGACTGCAGGTGAGGGCTTGAATCTTGGAGAAATCTCTGGGCTGGACTGTATCTCGGAGGGTCTGCCGAGAGGTCTTGAGCTGCTTGTCCAATGATTCTGGCAGACCCAGTGCCCCATCGAGCCCTGCACTCGGGGCACTCAGGCGCGGTAACAATCAACCAAGATCTCCGAACAGGCTCCCCTGTATTTCTGACCGGTGATCACGCCATTCAATTCATTATCCACGCCTCGGGCGTCCAAGTTCACCGAACGTCACATTGTCGAAATTCTACACGCTCCTTTAATCTAAGTCCGTCTAAATCCGTCTCTGGACGCTCCCTACCTGCAATTTCTCTAGTTTTGCAATGCATGCGGAATGACCTTCATTTCCCAGGCTTGTAATGATATGGCCGTAGTTCTCTTAACTCAAGGATACAAACGGCCGCTTTGAACATAGTACAATGTAACAAGGTTCATTATTCATTTCTTGGCAAATACGGTAGATGGGGGAGCCTCTCTCCACTCCATGCCTCCGGGATCTAGGACACTGCCTTTCGAGGCAAACATATCGACGTCGTAGAACTCCAAGCGGTGTTCAACACTCTTTGCCACTTAGGTTCCGCTCGAGTCCAGAGTGACGCCTCAAGGACAGTAGCGTACATCAATTGTCAGGGTGGCACTCGCCCTCATCAACTCCTGCGCCCTTGCGTGGCAGCTCTTCACATGGGCGATCGATCAGGGGATCTGGCTGGCACAACATGATGCCGGGCGGTTGATACTTCGACTGAGGAGCTTCTCTTGGTGAGTGCTCGCTCTTGTGACACCCGCCTTATGTTCCTTTTAGTAACTGAAAGGAACCGCTTCGAAAAGAAGGACGAACATGGCGGTGGGCTCGCAGTGCATTGTGGAGGGTCAAGGGGCAGTATGCATAATCAAGTATTTTCAGCGAATTGTAATAGGCACATGGGAAATTTGCATATGTAGGCTGGGCAGGGGTAAGTATCTCTAGGGGACCCGACCCACTCCATGTGGGGGAGGAAACTAGTTCTAGTGTATTTTTCAGGCAAAAAAGTCCACAACTTTCACCCCGTCCAGCAAGGCCACACATCTCCTTTTAAAGGGAGCGTTAGAATTGTACAAGACGCTGAAAGAGGGGTTGAATGACGAGAACAGGCTCTATACACGCCACCAGCAATCATACATCTCCCTTGGTTACTTTGACAACAGAGGTGGAAGCTTGTCCCTGGAAAAGTACGATGCGAGGCTGATCATCCCACCAGGCATAATTGCAGCAGGCCCTCCGAAGATGGTATACTTCTTCACCAGCCCCCCTCCAGAGACGGTCGAGGGGTTTGATTCAAAAGAGATCTCCCTATCACCGGTGATACAATGCGGTCCTGAAGTGCGGAACTGACTTTCCCTCATCACGCTGCAATAACACGAGAGATCACCACAGAGATTCGGATGTGCCATAACAGTGCCCAGGTTTTGTATGGTGTCAACTGTGCCCTGTTTTTTTTTAATGGTATGAACTGTGCTCAGGTTTTTATCGTGTCCACAGTGACTAGGTTTTTTATGGTGTCCACAGTGCCTAAGTTCTTTTATGGTGTGAACAGTGCCTAAGTTTTTTTTATGTGTGATCTTAATTTAAGTGCACCGGGAGGTCTTCGGGTAGGACAGCAGCATAGCAAATTTGTTGTAATTGCTGAAGATTTTTTTTCTGGTAGAATGAAATTGTTTTTCTATATTTGGGCAACATAGTCTAATTGGGGTCATCAAGGGAGGTTCTGGGACTCGCAACTGTCATTATTTTCAAAAGTGGCCCCATTGCTGCTTTTTCTTTCTTTTTTTAGGAAGGGGGAATCCCTTACACTTCCTAGGAATGCCATTACTGTCTGCAGTCACACTCACATTCTTCAGCTTGAGGCGCACGTTCTTAGCAAATCATGACATCCTATTGGTCGAAGAGGTATGTAACGCGTGCACACCACCTGTCCGCGAGCGTTATCACCTGCATGACTTCTACTTTTGATTGCCGAAATGTTTCATAGTCATGTGTAGTTCTATTTGTCAACCTACTGCGCTATGAAACATAATTAGACCGAAGCCTACGATAAGGAACGATAATATAATGAATATAATATATGTACATGTATAATGAATTATAGTTTGACCCTTCATTTGGTTCCGACAATATCTAATTTGTAATCAGATATCTGCTTCACTTAGATACAAATAATCAACCAGGAAGCAATATGGAAGCAACCGTGGAATTCCAGAACCTTTCACTTCAAGACGCCTAGTTCTCATGGCGTCTTCTTTTAGGTCACGATCTGTTTTGTGATTTAGGCATTTACCACGGAGGCGAGTGAGCTGATTCTCTCAAAACCATTCTGCCACTGTATCCAGGACAAGCAACGGTGAGTGGCAAAATTTACGCTTTGGAAAAATTACAAAAATCAGAAACCTGGACTTTTGAAATACTTCGTTTGCATTATAGTTTATTCACTTTGATATGATTGTTTCAGCTTAATCAAAGCATTATGAAGGACCCTCCTCTAATTTCTACCGTACTTTAACCCACATGCTTATACACCATTCCTTGTATGCAGCTTTTGCAGTTAAGCTGCATCCTTTTATTTTCAAACGAGATCATCCTGCTAACCAATGAGCCAGTTCGGTATTTTCAAAGAGCCAAGGTCTTTTAGAAACAAAGCGTGCGTGCGCGTGAGTAAGCGTATGACTGTGCTGATAGGACAGACTATTATGCGTTCATGTATTGCTATTCCTGAATAGCCTTGTACTGGGCATGCGCTGATGGAATACCAAACTGGCTCATTTATCTTACGTGAAGTGTATGTCAAATCTTGGGCAGATGCATTTTGTAGTTGGAGGTATAGATTCAATGTACAGACAACTTCATTGTGTCCCTGTATTCGTCTTTATTTTGGGCACCAGCTCCAGCTCCCCGCGATGAAGTCAGGGTAAGATAAGTGAACTGCAGTTTCAAAACAAGTTTCGATCATTTTTTCACATTAAAATTGATACGGATATTGCATACATTTTACAGTTCGTCAAGTTCTTTTCATTTTTTTCTTGTCTTCTAACGAAGGCTGAAGTTGGTGCTGAATTCAGAAGACAAGCTCACATTGTAGACGACATCATTGGCTACACTGGTTGCTTTGGGTTACAAGAGCAAAAGCTGATGGACCTGTGTGAACATCTCGATGCAGATAGAGAGGATGGTAGGAACTGGATTGCACTGGCTGAATGGTTTACTTCAAGAGGTTATCGGTTCATTAGAAAAGCTGAACGCATGGAATGTCCAACCAGGGAGCTACTGAAAGCCTACTTAGGAGTGCGCAGACTGCATGGCATTGTGGATAAAGATGCAATTGAGTACCTGATCAGAGTGTTTGGAGAACTTGGATTGGAAAATGGTGTTGAGATCATTACCAGCTCAATAATACACACCCAAACCCAGGGGCAAACAGCCGTGAGATACCTTAAGATGAACACTACATTTCAAGTTGTTTTCCAAGTACAGTGTATCTCCCAAAGTTTTAAAAAAAAAATTGGAGTAAAAAATGGGGCAAAACGGGTGGAGATCAAAAACGTGTAAATACTATGGATTTAGAGTAAAAAAAACAAGCACATGTCTGTCTGTGGACAGAGCATGTGACTTTCTGCTGTTTCCTTTTTTCGTGATCATTTATTAATTAATCATTTTTGTCTGTTGCCCACTGGATCAGTGTCCTACAGTAACGTCGACCTACTAAATTCCACACAGGACGATGTGCGAATGCTTCTTTATCGTGGGTAAGCGCAACCAGAATGAGCGTGGTGTACCATTGGTGATGCCATTATGACGTCATTTTAATTTCAGCAAAGTGGACTTACATGTACATGTCACATGTGCCTTTACAGTGACTTTGTTCAAAGTCACTGTTACATTTTGAAGTTGTACAAGAACACTGAATGTGATTAGCATGTAGATATAGGGTACCATTGGCGGAAATCAATCAGTCAGCGTGTTATCAGTGTATATTACCCTTCTACATGTATTTGGACAGAATTTATCAGATTATATCCACCGTTTAGTTAATTATTGACTCGTCGACCAGCTCATCAGAAAGCTTGATGACGTGACATGTAATAAGAAAGTTGGATGAGGTGCCTGAGTAATTAGAAAAAATGAGATGATTGGCAACACAATCAAAATCTGACCACCTGATGACACAAGAAGTGTATCCAACATCGTTGTAATCGTGACTTTAGGCTGCTGTGTCTGCAAAATGCTAGAAAAATAATTGCAAAGAGAAAACTTGGATCTTTACAATATTGCTGGAGTGGTCAAGTGTTTCTGACAGTATGAGATCATTTTGGCTGAAAAAAAAAAACAAGAAAATATTAACCCATGTCCCAGGCTGCCAACTTTATTTATTTATCACCAATCCCCTAACAAAGTCTTTTACATGCATTCAACCCATATCCCGCCGTAGATATCTGTACCAGACAACGGAATGCTGTATTATACTTCAGCATACACACACTGCAAATACATGTACATTGATTTGTTTTCTTTACAAGAAATTCTAAAAGTAAGTTATTTTGTGGTTGGCTTTGACTCAAAATTCTTCCAACGAATAGGATGAGTTAATCAATTGCAATTTTCTTCTAATCTTCACAAGGGTTGGCCACATTTTTTTTTAAATTTCAATTTTTTATTCGCCTTCCCTTACCAAACATTTAGTCAAATTATGCGCTCATTTAGCCACCCACCTCTGTTCAAAATAGGCCTACAAGTTGGACGTCTTTGTGAGCAAAACAAAGCGAGTTGGAAGCTACAGTACTTGTCCCAAATTCATGATTTTTATAATTATTTCTACGATCTGTCCCGATTATGGCACCTCGCATTGTAATGAACCTAGGGTCGACAAAATAGTGAGCTCGAGCGTAGTCTAGAGATGATTTTTTTTATACAATAATCGGGCGCGAGTGCGTTTAGTTCAATCATATAGGGGGCGCTGTAACTGACATTGGTGCGCTGTTCAGCATTCGCGTGAAAATGCCCACGTGCGTTGGCTGGCTTTGTAGAGCAAGCAAACGAAAGGTAACTTCATTTTTTGTGTGTTAAATAAGGAGATGTTTATGCAAAATATGTGCCCAGTGTTCGTTCAATGCACGAGAGATTACTGTGGTTAGTTTTAGCATTGACTTACTACTTCTGGTGACTACTTTTCACCTCTAATCTGAATCAAACTAAGTTGAATATGTTGCATTTGATTTAGCCCCACTAGTGCGGCACGGACTCTCACTCCCGCTCCATCCTTAGCCACACATCCGTATAAGCAATTTCGTGTCGGCGTACTGAAAATTTTCGGCGCTTCTACTTATCGTGGGTGCAATTTCTTTTGCATACAGAGATTATCCTTAGCACGCGTAGCCTATCTGCTTTCTTAGCGCCATTTATTGAATGATTTCACTCATGTTGTTCTGGTATTTTCCAGTCTTTTTGCCTTCACCCAGTCAATCTCATGGGCTCGCTCTCACAGTCGCCATCTTTAAAATAAGGACGACGAGGGGTCAAGTGACGTACTGTTCAACGGCCATGTTTTAAAGATGGCGATTGTGAGAGCGAGCCCTTGAGATTAAATGGGTGAAGGCAAAAAGACTGGAAAATATCAGAACAACAAGAGTGAAATCATTCAATAAATGGCGCTAAGAAAGCGGAGAGGCTAAGGATCATCTCTCTGTGCAAAAGAAATTGAACCCACGATGATAATAATTTCAGTATGCCGACACGAAATTTCGTATACGAATGTGTGGCTAAGGATGCATCAGGAGTGAAAGTCTGTGCCACACTAGTAGGGCTACATTTGATTATTCTTACCACCGTCCCTGTACGACATAGTACCATACCATAACGTGGCGCACTTTGATATTTCGCCCGATGATTCAGTAACCATTGTGTCCTTCCTCCATGCACCAACTTAGAGCACTATTTTTTACCTCCATTTCTCAAATTTCACAAGTGAAATTTCATCACAACCTTTCAATAGACCATAGGGCTACATCATATAGGATCAGGTCAACTCGGACCCAAACCTACTCGTACCCATGCCAACTTGGATCCATGCCAACGAGAACCCACTGCGAGTCAACTCAGACCCACCGAGCCTTATACTGTTTTGGCAAATTTGTGTTAATATTTAAATGTGCAAAGCCTGGCAGCCCCAGCAGCGAGGCTTTCAGCATGGGTCCCAAAATATTCTTGCTTCTAAAGATGTTCTGGTTTGAAACCTTCAATTCTTTTAAGCAGTACCCTAGATAATCATTTACATGTAAACTTTTATCAAATTCTAATCATTCCCGTTTAATCTAGGGTTTACGTATCAATTGAAAAGTTGCAGTGTAAGGGATAATAATTTATCACAATTTAAAACGTTTAATTTCGTCTCGTAAAGAATTTTATACCGTACCATTTAAACGTCAATCTCATGTCTGAGTTTAATAAAGCATTTTCACATTCCAGGTAAATCAAACTTCATTGCCTAAGACAGCACTTTAATTACTTCTGACATTTGTTGGTACGGTTAATGTCTGAAAGTTTCTAAAAAAGCTATAGGATCTGTCAATCATTCAAACTCATTCATGGTGCTGCATGTAGCAATGCACTGGGATTTAAACTGATGCACGTGGTATGGCCCAGGCTCACAAGAGGTGACAAGTTCATTTGGCATCCCTTGACTGAAGTAGGATATGGACAAATGAAATCTAAAACTTAAGATTTTGTTAAGTTTGAATAAAATAATGAAAGGTTGAATAAAATAGAGTCCAAAAGTGTCATTTAGAACACTCTGGTAATTAATCACACAGAAACATTCCTCTGGTTGGGTCTGAGTTGACTCGGGGTGGGTCTGAGTTAGTTTATATGGGTGCGAGTTGGTTGTGGGTCCGAGTTGACTCGAAACCCATTATGCTACACACATGATATACTGTGTATGTAGGCCAGTTTCGAGTCAACTCGGACTAAAACCAACTCGGACCCACGCCAACTCGGACCCAATGCCAACTCGGACCCACAACCAACTCGGACCCATAATTAACTTGGACCCATAACTAACTCGGACCCTGCCAACTCGGACCCAACCCAAGGAACATTCAGTTTCTGCGTGATTAATTATTAGAGTGTGCTAAATGACACTTTTTGCCTCTGTTTCATTCAACCTTTCGTCATTTTATTCAAACTTAAGAAAAATCATAAGTTTCAGATTTTATTTGTACGTTTCCTACTTCAGTCAAGGGACGCCGAATGATCTTGCGGCCTTTTGTGAGTCAGTGCCATGCCGTGCGCGTTGGATTAAATCCCATTGCATTGGTACATGCAGCACCATGAATAAGTTCGAGTGATTGACAGATCCTGTAGCTTTTTAGAAACTTTCAGACATTAATCGTACCAACAAATGTCAGAAGTAATTAAAGCACTGTCTTCTGATTCCTGAATAGGCAATGAAGTTTAATTTCCACTGGAATGTGAAAATGCTTTACTAAACTCAGACATTAGACTGACATCTAAATGGTACGGTATGAAGTAAGATTGCGCCTTGGGATTTATAGGGACTGGGTCTTTGCCCTACTCCTTTCCTGTAAATGGACGGGTCCACTGTATAGTTATTGTGTGCTTGACACTTTGACCTTTTTTACATGGCACAACTTCTGATCTGAGTTTATATGTTCTCCAGTTCTTAATCTTAGGATATATTAAAGAGGTAGTAGGCCTATTACTGATTTAAAAACTGAGAATGTTAGTTTTCTGGGTTGGTAATTTCTTGTGTATTAACAAGACCCCTTGCACGGCTCGTCGGAGTTTGCCCAGGCCAAGGACAGGGTGAGTTCATCACCAGATTTTACATTGGCGTCACAGACAGGACTGATTGATACAACACCGTGCAGCGTGTTCGGAAACCATGCCATGGATCAGCAGTACTATTACAGTGTGGAGGCTATGTTGGGAAAGCAGTTTTCTCAAAGGGGCTTTGACGACACTCTGGATGGATTTTTCTCGTGTTTATTGGGTCAACTCTAACTCTTCTTAATATTTGGAGTGCTGGCATTTAACAACAACCAAAGAGAAAGAAAAGAGCAAGCCTAGCTTGACAATAAGTCTTTGCAATCAGTAGGAATGGGTCAGTTGTAGAGCGTGACCACGGCTGTAGAGAGGGAAAAAGTTAAATTGTGAGCAGTAATTTCAATCAGTGTGAATGGGTTACTGTTTTTCCATGTGACCTCGGCTAGGTCTAGACGACAAAAAAATTATAGTCCAAGGAATCAACTATCTGGGAAGGTTTAAGAAGTTTCGTTTGGGGTCTTGTCATAATAATGTGTGTGTTTTATGGCATCATTCTCAAATCCTTGGTCAGTGGTATTTTCTTTTACCACGGTCGGTCAATTTTGTCTAGATTTTCAGTAGAGAACTTACCTAAGAAAGTTGTCAGCTTTCTTTCTTGTGACTGTAGACCTTTCTGATCGGTCTTTATGGCTCTGTTTACCAGACCCACGCTTCTGATTAGTCTATGTGGCTCCAGCTGTTTACCAGAATCACTCTCCCAATTGGTC